TGTTAATTTAGAAAGATTTTTTTCTGATATCATTGCTTATGATTATAAGACGGGAACGGTGAACGTGTGTGCGGGGGAGGGGGTTGATAGTAATTCAAGTGCACGTCTAGATTTGAAAAAAAAAAATCACATAATAAGCCAGTTTGATTTTGTTTACTAGTATATTAATTACTGTTCTTCGAGCATAATTATCAATCTGACACTCCACTACTTAACCTCGTTCTGAAAATGCATGAAATATTTGTCACTGGATGAACAACAAACAACAATCAATCGATCTCTACTAAACCCGCACAAAGCTCCACAGTCTGGTCTGGTTGATTTTGAGTTTGAAAGTTTTAAGCGGCAAATAGCGTGTTCAACATATACACGAAATCCCGAACGATAATCGCAAGTTAACTTCTTTCTGCTCTTGGTCTACATGTAGCTCTAAGTTTACGACGCCTTTAGAGGAAACGAGCGGAGAACTACATGTGGTATATTTCATTACTTAAAGTGACAAAAACCTGGTTGGAAATCTAATTCCATACCTGGTCAATTGAAGGCAGTAAATTATCCTGCTGACCTATGAAACTACTGCGTGTGAATTTTACAAAAATAATGTACATGATTCCTATATATTGTCCACAAAAACATGCGTATGTATGCAATGCCGGTATCTGGAATACAATTGTTCCCGAGGCTCCGTGTGTTGTCTGTATATGTCATGACAATTGCTATAAATTGTCCCTAACGCTGAGGGCATTTTATGCCGACAGCCACGTAGTTGTCGAAATTTTTCTACGGTCGACTAAGAAATATTTAGTGTATAGATTTCACAAAGAATTGGTATCTAAGCATGCACTCGTGCACTTAATTGAAGCATGAACAGAAGCCTCTAAGAGAAACATGCTGAAATATGTATAAAGATGTCAAACAGGCGAAAAACGAGTCACATTTGACATTGAACCCTTACATGAGGAATTACAATTTCAGTTTAAACTTTCTTTTCCTAAGACTTAGTTAAAGTTAAAGTTAAAGAAATAAACAAAGAAACAACATGCCTAAGACTTTTCGGACTGCTTGAAAGGCTGATCAAACGGGTAAGACAATTTCATACCGCAGAAATTACAATTCGAAATGGTTTAAAACTGTGCACGAATATGTATAGGATGTCTTTTTCTTAAGATTCTCATTTCGTTGGGTCGAACAAGTAATATTTTACGTGAAAATAATATAAGGGAAATTAAGCTTTTCCTGAGTAGACATTAATAAATTATGATTTTATTATAAAATCATTCTCAAGGTCTTAAAAGGGCAAGCGAGGCTATAGAGGTATCATCGTGGTCCTATGCATGATACATGTATGTGTAATTGCCAAAAATTCACGAAGGTTCAAACTCTGAAAAAAGGCAAACTGTATCCAAATGAGCCCATAAAAGGAGTTGCACATTTTCTATGTATATAAATACCGCAGCATTGTACAAAGTTTAGAAGCTCCTAGGTTAGGAGTTTATTCCTCAAAACGGATACCCTCTTCTCCCGCTCGCCTGCACCTCCGCGCGCGCCAGCTTGACTTTCATCATATTATGTAATAAGTCGGTTCTGCATTGCTTGCAACACGTCCAAAAGTTCTGACCTCCGGTAAACACCCCTTTAAGTTAAATGATCCGTCGCTGCTGATTTCGAAAACTCAAAAAATTAGAAATAGCAAATAAATATTGATTTAATGTATAAAAGGTTGGTGGGGGGGGGGGATGGGATTAGGGGTTGTTTCTCTCTTTTCTTCTCGATTTTATATCCTTTCTGCAATACTCATGCCTCCTGTTAGTGTTCCAAAAGAAAGAAATATTATGGGATTTATCATTTTTATTCCTCAAGGAATTATTGTTGTGGACTTTTTGTACATAATAAAGAGATCAAAGGGACGACTTTTATAAGGAACAAATATACGTGGACATCAGTACTATGCAGTTAAAACACAAGATCTATATTCAATTGTTACACTGGTAATTTAAATCTTTAAATCACTTTTGTGTTTTGATACGATACCCGCATTTAAAGTCTAATTTGTCAACCTCAGCGTCGAGTATATACCATTTCGTAACATGTCTAATGAAAAAGGGATTATTATATTGGTCGGTGGAAGATTGTTGTGTTTTAACAGTTTAAAGGTTTCTTCGGGATTGTCTTCGCACTATGTTTGTTGTAAAAAAAAAAACTCTTCATTTGCTTGGTCTAACTTAACAAACCCGAGACATCACGTAACTGAATTGAATTTCATCTGATGAAGTCGCGCTGTGAATTGGATGGACAGTTTCCTCGGATTGCAAAAGCGTCTTGCCAGAACCCGTACTTGTTTTCTTACTTGATTTCTAACAATCGGATTTTTACCGTGATCATGCAGCTTGACGGGTGTCCGAGTTGATGGAAAATCACCTATCCTTCTGGAGAACCTAATTGTGTCTGTCGTTTTTATTGGTGTATGTTTGCCACTTGTTATCCACTAAGTTTCTAAAGAAAGTGCGGAGATATTATAATGGGTATGCTTTTACATGTACGTGTTCATATAATTAATATTTCCTTGTTCATTTTATAACAGCTTCAGTAAAAGCGGGGTTATAAAGTAATCACTATGTCCGTCCGCCATCACCTGTTATCTGTAGCTCCTCCTAAGCTTGAAAGAATTCTTCCTTTTCAAAAAAATTAAGTTTCCCCCTTTTAGAGGGGAAAAAGATCTTTTCTGTAAGGTGTTTGAGGCATTTTTAAAGTTTATTAACTGTTATTTTGAAAAATATAATGTGCTGTTACAAATGTAACTGTTGACTAATTAGCTGTTATCAGTTTTCTAAAAATTGACATTGTTGTTATCTGTTATTGTGAAAAAAATTACCCCTGTTAACTTTTTTTTTTTATTTTTTAATTGACTGTTTTCTGTTTTCTCATTTAAGATAATTCAAATTATTGTTATCGTTTATTAATATTTTAAATTTATTGTTATCTGTTTTGAGCAAAATCAAAAATTATTTACCTGTTAATGGACTCCCTCTAGCCCCCCCCCCCCCCCCCCCCCCCCCCCCCCCCCCCCCTCTTTACATTTGCTTTATAGATAATGCCTTGGATTTTTGTTGGTTATCACGTTAACTTGTTTAGGTGTATTAAGCTGTGAAATGGCAGTCCTGTTCAGCTATAAAGTACGAACTTTATAAAGCAACTAAGATTATTACTCTCTCAGGTAATGTTGACATTAGATGGATTCGGCTATTTTGCTAGGTTCTTTTTTGTTCACATAGCCAGCTTTTCGATTGTTTCATTTCTTATACATCCTTGGCATTCAAAAAAGATATTCGACTTTGAGCGTTCTTGATGAGGTAAATACAAAAAAAAACGCTTCGAACTCATGAAAACATTGTTTTCATTGTTTTACAGCACTGGGTAAACACCGTTGCTGGGGGACTATCAGTCCCCAAAAGCTATCATCAGCTCAGTAGTCAGTACATCCGTACTGACATGACTTAAACAAACTTTCTAAAATTGTCCGTTCATAAATAAGAAATTATAAAGAAACTAAGGTTTCAACTCCCTCAGGCAAAGTTGACTTTAGATAGATTTGTTTATGTCCTTTTTGGTCCTATACCTCTTTAACTGTTTCGGTTCTTATACACCCTTTGCTTTCAAATATTCGCCTTTGAGCGTACTTGATGACAGTAAATCCAGAAAAGCGCTTTGGACGCATGAAATTTATAAAGTGTTGTTCTCATTTTTTACAAATGTTTGTGAAAGTGTAAAGTTACCCAAAAAAAGTAATTTTGTCTGCTCATGCATGGAGGAAGCGAAAACTTTGAAACTTACGTGTATATACTATATATATGTATATTCATGTGATTATATAAGTGCATGTGCAACTGTTATGGTGGAGGATCTGTTTACCGCGTTTTAATGTGGATTAATTTATTGTGCATATGATTTTATTCTTTGCCGTTTTACAGCTTGCTGTATGTGCTCTAACTCTGTCGGAAAATGCACAAAGAAGGAAGTATTAGGTATAAAATCCGAAACCTATTGTAATGTCAAAACGGACATCCGGAAATCATTATGTTTTCCGAATTATTCCCAAACTAACTCAAGATGAAAAATATTTTTAGAGGATAACAAACTATGGTTACATGTACATGTAGCATACTACCTTTAGGACAGAGAGTACCATTGATATATTTGATGTGGAAGATGGAGAAACTACATCCCAAACAGGTCTCCTCATTTAGTAATTAAAACTGTTTAGTCAATTAAGAATGTAGTCATTGATGGCAGATATTTGACAGGCACTGTTTAATTCATTGACGACTTGTTTGACATGTGACGATTAAGAGAATGACACAATGTTTAGACACTTGTCTCTTCTTCAAAACCATTAGTTTAACTCTTGTCTAAATGCTTTGGTGTGTTGATAGTGTGTTGTCTCGTTGACGCATATATGCCGCATCTTCTTATCTATATAGAATGCTAATGGAAAGAATTTGAAGGATTTTCAGGAAAACCCGTTGCTCAGACTGAAATTGATTTAGTTTAGATTGCAGACCGGTTGTTCTTGTATTTGCATATTTCCTCTTTCCAGAATAGACCGTCTTTGCGTTTATTCGCACATGCATTTTGTGCGCACTTTTGAATTCCTACAATCAGTATAAATATACAATTGAAACTCAACTTATTTTGAATAGCAATAAAGTAAAATAAAGGATCTTAAATGAGAATAATATATAGGGCCTCAGTAACTGAGTGGTCTAAGTATTTCATCGAATTTATTTCATCTTCTGTATCACTAGCCTGTCAACACTGAAATTGTGTGTTCGAACTCCGCACGTGGTAGCCAAGTGCGTTCCAATCCAATCTTAAATGACTATAGGTTTGCCTGCAGAAGACTGGAAGTTCTCTCCCGGCACATCCACTTCCTCCACCATAAAAACCGTTTGCTACGATATACGACAATAGTGCTTTGAGTGGCTCTAAATACATAAAATACATTTAAAACAAGTTTTTTATTATGTACAGTGGTAAGCTCAAGTATATTTATTTAAAATATAAAACCTAAATTAACATTGACAAAATAACCAACTAAAAATATATATATGTGTACGTAATTATTCATTATCGTCCTTTTGGTCTTTGGTACAAATCTCCTTATTTTATCATATTTCAAGTTAGTTAATATTCTGTGTTGGACAAAATGACTTTCAAGGACAATCGTAGCGTCTTGAAATTACGACCTCAATATTTTTTTTCACAGAATACCGGGATATTTTGTTTTTATGTCGGAGTTATTCCTGTTTTCCTTGTTTTTTGTCTTTCTATTGTACAGTACTAATTATATATAAATGATAAAAAAAGGCCATAAATTCGTAAAAAATAAATAAATCGCTTACAAAGTAAGCATGTTTTTTCGAACATCTTGATAAATCTTAAAAAGATAAACATAATGCATCCACAATATCAGTGGAGGATCCAGGGGGGCGTAGAGTGCGTACGCCATCCTTTTGATTGCCAAAAAAATAATTATATCATTTTTTTCACGATTTGTATGATTTTTTAGCATAAAATCGTCCATGTATATAATCCGGCTTACGGAATTACGCGACCCTTTCAAATATCCTGGATCCGCTCCTGATTTACCATTTAGACAACGAACTGAAGGTATAAGTGACAGATTAACAGAAAGAGGGGACACACTATCAGTTTTTTTCGTCATTCGTGCCAAATATAGGGGTAAGTGTTTAAAAATACAATGATCATTCTGCCATAGTGATTGATTTAGGGGAGGGGGTGGTAATTGAGGGGTACCACTCGACTCATCATCGTGTTACGGATCGGGAGACATTCGCTTTATGAATCATTTACTATTTACAAACATTTTCAAACTCAATCGTTTTCTTTTTTACAAAACCTTTTCGTTATTTGACAAAATATCACAATGTTCTGATTCTTCCTAAATTCTTCCTCATTTATGTCACTTTTATAAAACGTGAATACATTCAAAACGAGGCTAATAGATTGTGCACGTTTCTGTATCGCAATGGCAGTTCTCGTTCACAAAGAAGTGTCGTTGATACCTGTGGATCCTGTCTTACTATAAATTGACGCGTTCCAAAGTCCAGAGCACACTGAAAAAAAAACATAATAAAATGTAAATAAACTGTTATTTTAAATATACCTTGCTGTGATAACTTGCAGATATAAAAGTCAAAAACAATTCGTAAAGTAATTTGCAAAACACAACGATACAAGTTATGGCATCGACATTCATCTTTAGAGGGGGCATGAGTTTTTAAATATATTGATTAATTCTGAATTTCGTGATCGGAAATAAAATTGTTTGATTCTATTGCAAATTAGTAAAACCAACAAAAAAAGCTGCCCGGCGCTAAAAAAAATCATTTTATTCTATTGAAAAACTAAAATTTAAGTCGTGAAAATAATTATGTTCCCTCTCCACACACACAACTGACGTATAGGTAAAACGTATTGTCATTCTATTTCTAACAGCTTGTAAAAAAAAGAAACAACAATAGGATTGGTTTCTATATGGGATGAATTATTGGTTGATTGATTGCTTGGTTGATGATTGATTGATTGATTGATTACTGTATGCTTTATGTCCATTGGTAGATATTTCACGCATGTTCAGGACGAGAACAAATCAACAAATTGAACTCTAGAGGTAAACAATGCTCTCTAATAGTCGTCCGGGATGAACAGCGGGAAATTTGGACTGCCACTGTAAAATGAGGGTTAATTGGAAATAAACAGAAATTAAACCTTACAACCGACCACTTACGGACCCCTCAAATAGTTGATTCTTATCGTGCAGAGAGCGTAGCGCTCTCTCAACACAAGACATCTGATTTAACTTCCCGATTCCGACCAGACGTGACTGCGTATTTATACATCCTGCACAGCTGAATTAATTCCCGACTTTCTCAGTAGTTTTGCTGCCGGTCAAAGGAAGACCAGAAGTAACAATATTTCTATACCTAGTCACCCTTGTCAAGACCACACCAAATTTTGTCAATTGAAAATGGTATGTAATTAAAATTCAGGCAAAAATCCTATCTATAGGAAAAACTGTTAACTTATCCACTGAAAAATATTTATCTGTAAAGTAACTGCATACGAATTAGAAAATCAACCCAAGTAGGAAAGTAACAAAATAACGTGTTATTGAATAAAAGTCCGATTTATTTTGCAAAAAAATGGAAGACAAATATCAGCACCCAATTTCAAAGATAAAAATTTTAGTTTAGCTGCCAAGGAATTCAAAATGTTAATCATTTAATATTTATGGTTCGATATTATGTAAGTTCAATTATCAATGTTCAAATTGTGGGGGAAAAAAATATGTCTTTTGATTGCGAACAAAATATTTCGTATTTGTTTTTGTTTATTTATTGTTTTACTTTATTAAAATCAATTGTTGTGATGATAAACACAACACTTTTTAATAAGACCAATTTGGCATATTTTTAGACTCAGTACATTGCACTTTTCTTTTCAATTAGTAAAATAATCAAAGCTATAATCAAACTGTATATTTACAGTTCTTCAGCACTAAAATGTTCTAAATTAATTTATACATATAGAAAATATGTTCTCAATCAAAGTATACCTCTCTTATCATCTTCTGTCAAATTGACATCAAAATGAATTAAGTGTTAATGTTTAATATATCTGCCAACTTCAGAAATATTTATGGGTGGTGCCTGTACTTTTAGTATCAAAGAAGATTAACAGGAATAAACATGTCCATCATTCAGATTGTATCATCATTCAGATTGTATACAATGCTAGATGTTCCATTTTCGTGACGAATTTCGGAGCACCTAAGACCACCCCCAGTTTTTGGAGGGGTTCGTGTTGCTTATAGTCTTTAGTTCTCAATTGGCTTTGTGTACTGTTGTTTGACTGTTTGTCTTTTTCTTTTTTAGCCATGGCGTTGTCAGTTTATTTTCGACTTAGGAGTTTGAATCCTGAAAGATCCTCCTCCCAGCCCCAATTCCCGGCCCGTAATATCAAATTGTTGTCGCCAATGCTCTTCGTGAATGGCAAGTGGTATGTATTAGCAGCACTTGGAGTCCAACATTCGTTAGAAGGTATCTCTGTTCCTCCTTTTTTTAATTGTTTCTAAAACCATTGGCAAACTCAAACAAATCTTGGCTAACATGTTTAACCCCGCCACATTCTGTTTGTGTTTGTTCCCGAACATGAGACTGTTATTCAATGGTTGTCGTTTGTTATTGTATATCATATTTGTTTACATGTAACTGTTTATTTTTGTTAACTTTACATGTTTTTCACTGATAGGTGTAAAAGTTACCTCTAGTTGCGTGAAGAAATCCAATCCAAGAACTAAGTCTGGTACATCTCCTACAAAGAACATAATGTAAGTTTAAGGCGCTAAACATTATTTATACAAGTGAGAGTTAAGCTTGGAGATATTCTAGTAAAAATATCCAAAAGTATGTTCTATGTGGAAGAATCGCTAGTTCATGTTGTATGCTTACCCAATTTGGCGCAACTTTTGAATTGAAGATTATCGGTACTCTTCAACCTCTTAATTTTTTTGGCTTTGCAACTGCTTTGATTCGAGTTATATTGTTGATAGATATAAGAAGATGTGGTATGAGTGCCAATGAGACAACTCTCCATCCAAGTCAATTTATAAAAGTAAACCATTATAGGTCAAAGTACCGTCTTCAGCACGGAGCCTTGTCTCACACCGAACAGCAAGCTATAAAGGGCCCCAACAATTACTAGTGTAAAACCATTCAAACGGGAAAACCAACGGTCTAATCTATATAAAAAACGAGAAACGAGAAACACTTACGAACCACATCAACAAACGACAACTACTGAACATTAGATTCCTGACTTAGGACAGGTGCAAACAATGACAGCGGGTTTAAACGTTTTAATGGTACCAAACCTTCACCCTTATCTGAAACAATAGTGTAACATCACAACATAGAAAGACACACTATAAAATATCAAATCTTGTTTATGTAGACAACACTTGTGCTAATAGCCTGGTAGCTTTAATATCAAAAGTTCGTTCCATAAACGCTCATTAAAAACAAGAGAGTTCTATCATAATGTAATGGATATACCATTGGAAAGGCATCTTTACTTTTGAATTTCGTGTTCTGTGTAAATCTTTTCGTAAATGGTATATACATGTATGTATTGTCAATGAAACTTTTGATATTCGTTTGGTGCTATGTTCTATTTAAAAATACCTGTATTATAAGTTTCTTACCGATATATGCTTCACAGGATTACAGTCCATTGTCTTCATCCAGTATTTGTGAACATAGACCATTTTACAATTTTTGCATATATACTTTAAAAATGGTGTTTAGATCCTAAACACAATTCTAAGCACACCCTCTGTGCACTTTTTTACACGTTTTGGTCTTAACGTGTCTCAGTGTTTAGTATAGTGTTTAGGATCGTGTTTTAATTTGAAAAATAGTGTTTTATTCCAAAACGCTTTAATTCTAAACCATGTTTACATTTAATGTGCTTACTGAGAAATGTGTTTAGATATTAAACACAATTCTAAACACGTTTAAAACTAAACATGTCATACAACAGTTTAACTTTTGAGCACGATTTTTAGTGTACAACGAGGATAACATATGACACAGGAAGAATATTATTTTACAGTGATCAGCTAATTCTGATAAACCAATTATATATTTATATAAGTCTAGAGATTTGCACAACGATACTTATATAAGATGGTATTATACGAAGATGTTGTTATTAAATCGTGTTGACAATATATATATATATATACAAGTCTAAATTGAAAACAACGTTCAAACCTAAGATTGCGTTGGATAAAACCGCAACTTTTATACGTGTGCATGTAAAACAAATTTCTTGGTAGAGGGGTCTAAATACAGCACAAACAACATTTTCCAAAAGACCAAAAAAGTGAAAAAGTATATTTCAACAAAACGCATTTGACTAACAGGTCGAACAACGGATGTTCTTAAACCCTGCTGACTGCCACTGGCGATTGCCAAATAAATTGATCACCAGATGTAACAAAATGGATCTTAATATTAATTTAATACCAAACAGAAAGCAATAAACTTGCGGAAAAGATGATATACCACAAACATGAGGTGCAAAAATTTGTACACCATATCCGGATTTCGACAATTAATGTCTCTTCAGTGATGTTAAGGATCGAAACGGTATTTGGAAGGCCATATAATTTACCTCGATTTAGGATAGACTCTTGAATTTTAAAAATTCGAAATAGGATGAACGGATCATATAAACCCGAAGGAAAATATAATACAAGCCCAAACGAAAAAACATAAACAAGCCTAAATTGAAAACAACGTTCAAACCTATGATTGCGTTGGATAAAAACCGCAATTTTTATACGTCTGCATGTAAAACAAATTTCTTGGTAGAGGGGTCTAAATACAGCACAAACAACATTTTCCAAAAAACCAAAAAAGTGAAAAAGTATATTTTAACAAAACGCATTTGACTATATATATATGTAATAAAATAATTATCAACATTAAACGAAATGTGGAAATCAGCATGCATAGTCATATACTAGTAAGAAAGATAATCCTTACTGAAATTTTCAATACCAATATGAAGGATACATTTTCTTTTAGGTAAAGAAAATATAACAACCAGGATATTTTAAAAGGGAGTGCAGAATGGACCCACCGACGATCACCAACAAAAGAATGACGGAAAATACCAAGGAGATATTAACACTCATAAGTTGAAGATAGACTGACTGACAACTCCATGATAAGTTTTGCGTAAAAATGGGGAAGCCCTATAGCAGGAGTCTTCTCCTGAATGTGTTCAATGGAGCGGAACATAGGCAGACGAAATATTGAATATCCAGTTAACAAGTTTTTTTTCAGATCAAATACTACGAATATTACGAAAACCATGAAAATATGTATTTAGGGGCCAGCTGAAGCCCGCCTCCGGGTGCAGGATTTTCTCGCTGTGTTTAAGACCCATTGATGGCCTTGTGCTGTTTTCTGCTCTTTGGTCGGGTTGTTGTCTCTTTGGCGCATTCCCCGTTTCCATTCTCAGTTTTATTCAACAACTAATAATGATTTCACAATACGTAATTTATGGTTCTAATTTGTCAATTCAACAAACAAGGTGTATGACGATCATGTAAACATAAAAAAAAACTATTTTACTATTATTAGAGCGCCTATCTAGATTAAAAGAGACGAGGCGATTTACTTAAAAGGTTGGAGGGGCAGCCAAAAATCCAAGTCAAAAGACAAATTATACTATGACAAAATAAACATAAGACAAACACAAGTCTTCAAAATATTACATAGAAAAACTATGATTTAGCGTTAGGAGCATTAACTCAGTTGCGCTAAAAGGTTATAACATTTTACATATATTTATGATACATGTATATGAAGAGCTATACTGTATAGGGCTCAAAGCGTACAAAAAATTTTCTGAAGTAAATTGCCATGGTTGGTAGATTGTAAAACCAATTCTGACAAATTATAATCATTAAAAAAATTAATAAAAATACTTACCGCGAATAATGAAGTCAAAATGGATGAGTCTGTTATTTATTACAAATGGAACACCTCTGGCTATGTCGTATGGTTGGAATGATGCTTCTTCGAAGAATCTGCATATAATAAAAAACATTGTTTCATGGGTACATTGTATTGCCTTTTTGAATTATTTACATTATTTATATTTGGTAATTCTCTAAGATTATAACTACATTGTATTCTAACTGAGGGACGCCCATTTGGCTGTGTGGGATTTGTAAGCATACGACCACACCCGTTTAGCTGAGTAGGATTTGTAAATACACGGCTACGCCTGTTTGGCTGAGTAAAATTTCTAAATACACGGCTACGCCCGTTTGTCTGAGTGGGATTTGTAAATACAGGGCTACGCCCGTTTGGTTGGTTAGATTTGTAAATACAAGGCTATGCCCGTTTGGCTGAGTGGGATTTGTAAATACACGGCTACATCCGTTTGGCTGAGTGTGATTTGTAAATACACGGCTACGCCCGTTTGGCTGAGTGGAACTTGCAATTACACGGCCATAACCAGTCAGATCCATTTTGCTGTGCTGGATTTATAAATATACAGCCATATCAGTTTGGCTGTGCAGTTTAAAGTATAACATCCGATTTAAATCTTCACTCTAAAGGCAACCGCCTTCTTTGGTGGTATTATACTTGCTTCAAGAACGGAGGATAAGGGACCAGATTCATGACAGAGTAAATCCAGACTTCAGCCTCCCAGCTAAGCACCGGTCACAGCACACCGTCTCTAAATGTCCTGAACGAATTTGAAAATATTATGATTACTTCTTGAAGAATGTATTGAAGACATTTTTATGAAAATGGAAATTGACCTGAAGCTCCAGAGGTCTAGCTCCATTAAAACTTTGCTGATTCGAAGTATAGCAATAAAAGGAAATACTAGTCGGTTCGAGGATCACAGTTATGTTATGGGTCGATTAGAATTACAAGCCTTCCAGTAGGCTATTTTTAAATCACTTTGCAATGTTATAATTCGAATATTCATGCAATATTTGTCACTGGACCTCAAGTTAATTTTCAATCAAAAACCCACAGAAACAAAACAATATTAACTTAATCCTGCATCTATTTCTAGATATCTGCAAAATGTCGACGAAATTAAATCAATGAATTCAAGCGTAAATTATTCTTCTGCTTCCAAAATCATTAAAATACCTCTTAGATAAGATAATAAAAAGAATCAATTGCGTAATAAATGTTTTCCTAACACTTAATTATTATACATAGTATCTAAATTGAGGAGTGTACCAACTGCTAACAATCACTTGTCTGGTTTACTTTTTGTAGACCTTCCATGATTGTCAGGTGCAATTGTTTTCTGGGGGAAAAACAATCTGATATTCACTTATATATTATATTACGAGAAAAGTAATTATATTGAAAATGAAAATGAAAATAACGCTGCGTTAAAGATCCTTTGGTGGCCTTGGTCTGTTTTCTGGTCTTTGGTCGGTTTGTTGCCTCTTTGACACATTCCCCGTTTCTATACTCTATTCCACTTATAAATTTCGTGCATTTAAAGCGTTTGTCTGGAAGTACGTTCATCGGGAAAGCTCTAACCCAAACATTTGAAAGCCAGCTAATCATTTCACAAAAAAACTTTTCAGTATAACTTACGATCATTTTTTGTCGTAAGATTTTTTGTGAAAGGAGCCCCAGGGATGTATAAATTCGTAGAAACTTTATGAGCAAAATGACCAAAAGGAACCCGAAACGTATTACCAAACTAAGCTAAGGTAAACATTGCCTGAGAGATTTATAATCTTAGTTTCTTAGTAATTTATTAATTTATCAACGGGGACTGTTTGAAAAATGTGTTATAAATCATGTCAGTATTGACCCCCTTACTAATACCTTACTAACGAGCTGATGATACCCACCGACCGTTCTGGTTGACGGGGCTATGCTCTGGGCAGGACGGTCTTATTGAGTTTGCAATTAAAATATAAATGAAATATGTGTTTTCCTGAAATTCATGGAGAAACCACAAGCGTTTTAGGTCGGATTCTCCCTCCCCGAACTATTTTGTAAAAAGGAAAAAAACAGTATTTAAGGCATAATAAAGCGATACAGTAAAGAAACTTTGCTGAAAGAAAATATAAAAATGGCAGGGTTCATGCCCCAAGTGTCTGTAGGTGAACTGATACTTACAAATCTTGGTAAAGTCTTCTGTTGATGATAGACGATAACACACATGTGTTGATTAAAGCTTTCGCTTCTCTTGTTTGGAACTGCAAAGATTGTAAACAAAAAATCACGTATTTTGGTACATTGTATATCTATCTTTAATCTATGAATACTTAAAAATTGTGAAAGTAAGATAAGTATGAATAAAGCCATTTTGATGTATAAGTATTAGTAACATGTGAAACTAGAGGCTCTAAAGAGCCTGTGTCGCTCACCTGATTCTACTTTGTTTTGGAAATCATGTAAAATTGAGAATGGAAATGGGGAATGTGTCAAAGAGACAACAACCCGACCATAGAACAGACAACAGAAGAAGGTCACCAACAGGTCTTCGATGCAGCGAGAAATTCCCGCACCCCGAGGCGTCCTTCAGCTGGCCCCTAAACAAATATATATACTAGTTCAGTGATAATGAACGCCATACTAAACTCCAAATTGTACACAAGAAACTAAAATTAAAAATAATACAAGACTAACAAAGGCTAGAGGCTCCTGACTTGGGACAGGCGCAAAAATGCGGCGGGGTTAAACATGTTTATGAGATCTTAACCCTCCCCCTATACCTCTAGCCAATGTAGAAAAGTAAACGCATAACAATACGCACATTAAAATTCAGTTCAAGAGAAGTCCGAGTCCGATGTCAGAAGATGTAACCAAAGAAAATAAACAAAATGACAATAATACATAAATAACAACAGACTACTAGCAGTTAACTGACATGCCAGCTCCAGACTTCAATTAAACTGATTGAAAGATTATGTCTTCATCATATGAATATCAGACACAATCCTTCCCGTTAGGGGTTTAGTATCATACCATCATAACATATATGAGAAGAACATAAGCCGTGTCATGCCAACAACTGGTTTTTAAATAAATGTGTTTAGTGCCGATGCAAAGACCCTATAAGTGAATCAATATTAACGCCAAAATATGCAATCTTTAATGACCTGACAACAGTATCGTAACTATATCCCTTCTTAATAAGTCTATTTACAGGTTTTGTTAGCTTCAGAGGTGAATACTGACATTTTTGTGCTTTATAAAGAATATTTCCATAAAAAATTGGATGTGAAATACCTGAACGTATAAGAAGTCTGCATGTTGAGCTATATTTACGAATGATGTCCTTATACCGATGATAAAATTTAGTAAATGTTTTGACTAGTTTGTGATATCGAAAACCCTGGTGTAATAATTTTTCAGTGATACATAAATTTCTCTCGTTAAAATCTAAAACATTGTTACATACACGAGCGAATCGTACAAGTTGAGATATATAAACACCGTAAGATGGTGACAAGGGAACGTCACCATCTAAAAATGGATAATTAACGATAGGAAATGAAAAATCATCTCTTTTATCATATATTTTAGTATTAAGCTTTCCATTTGTGATATAGATATCAAGATCGAGGAAAGGGCAGTGGTCATTGTTAGTATTAGCTTTATTTAAAGTAAGTTCAACAGGATAAATTTCTTTAGTATACATACTGAAGTCGTCATTATTGAGAGCCAAAATATCATCCAAATATCTAAAAGTATTATTAAATTTGTGTATCAGATGTTGTTTCGATGGGTCTTTGCTGATTTTTGTCATAAATTGTAACTCATAGCAATACAAAAAAAGGTCCGCAATAAGTGGTGCACAGTTAGTCCCCACTGGAATTCCGATAACCTGACGATATACGGAATCTCCAAAGCGAACAAAAATGTTATCTAGTAAAAATTCAAGGGCATAATATAGTATCAACGCATGTCCAATTGACATAGTTTTTTTGTTTATTGCTACTAAAAAATGACCTAAAAGAGTTTGAACATATATATTCACATTCTGACTTTTTAAATGCCCATTTAATTAGGTGTGTGAATTTTTTCTTAATGAGAATGTGAGGCAATGTTGTATATAGGGTAGAAAAATCAAAACTTTGAACAGATTCAAAATCACCAATATATGCATGTAATTTATCAAGTACTTCCAACGAGTTCTTGACACTCCAAAAGTAATTAATTCCACTATTTTCGAAGGCCTTATTTGAACAATTTATTATCAGGTTTTTGATTGTACCAAGTGTACTGGTAAGAAGAATAGACAATTTAGTAGTGGAACAATGGCTTGAAGACGAAATGAATCTATATTTGTAAGGTGTTTTGTGTAGCTTCGGAAGCCAATACATATAGTTGGGACTTTCATTGTATTTGGTTCTGCTTGTAAAGCGGTAGCTAAAAGTTTATGTTTGTTACAGATGTCGTTTTCTGAAAATGGAGTCAGTTGGAATGTTGGTGAATTGGTGATTTCTTTTTTCAGAACCTCAATGAAAAATTTACGTCAAACAATAAAAATATTATTAGCAGCTTTATCGGCCGGGACAAAAACAAATTCCTTGGCTAGTTCTTTTAGTTTATGTTTGATACGAGAAATAGGTTTATTGTGGTTATTGTTAAGAGTAAAATGTTCTTTAAAATGTTGAATACGTATATCAACTATGTTCATTACTGAATTAAAAAAAGAGTCCAAAGATTTTTTGTCAGCTTTTTCCCGTTTTATCCATTTCAAACAGTAAGTATGGAGTGAGTCGTGGATGATATTACGACACTCATTCCAATTAATAATTGACGGGGGACGATATTTAGGTCCTTTACTGAGGAATGATTTCAACTCTCAGTCTTGAACGATGTTAAGATCTCCTGTTATAACATGGGAAATGGGGCCATAAATGTATTCGGAATTACTGCAATTACATGAAGTAGGTGTATTTTCACTGATATTAACATCTTTACACAATTGGCTATAATTAAACACAAATTTCCGGGTAGATTTCTTGTAAATATAACAAATAAGAGGGAGCTCAGTATTATCAAAATATCCCGGAATTTGTTCTTTAACAGAATCATACAAGATACCCTAATATTGATTGAGGCCAAATTTGGTTTAATATTGGCCCCGTAATTTAATCAAAAACAGAAAACTTTTGTCAAGTTTACAGAAATTACCAATACATTCATTGAAATTGTAGAAAATGACCTTATAAGGACAATAACTCCAACAAGATGTCAATTGACAATTGAATATGTTGACTTATGTGTAGATCTTCTTTTCTTGATATTTTTGCAGTTTACAGTTACTGTATATCTCAATCTGTAAAGAAATATGTATTAAGGTCCCCTGCTGATGGCCATCTTGGATGATGGTTCGGCTACAAAGTAACACTTGGTCAGCACCTCATTAGGAACATTCATGCCAAGTTTGGTTTCATTCTATTCAGTGGTTCTCTAAAAGAAGACATTTGTATGTATTGTCCATAGGGTCCTATGTTAAACGAAGTCCCCCGATGGCGGCCATCTTGGATGATGGATCAGCTACAAAGTTACAACACTTGGTCAGCACCTCATAAGTAACATTCATGCCATGTTTGGTTTCATTCCATTCAGTGGTTCTCTAGAAGAGGTTCAAAATGTAACAAGTTAACGACGACGACCACGGACGACGGACGCCAAGTGATGAGAAAAGCTCACTTGGCCCTTCGGGCCAGGTGAGCTAAAAAAAGCAAGTACTGTATAAGAAAGATAAGAAAACATATCAAACAAATAACTATGTGCACAGTAAGACATTGAAATCTGATATATTACAGGTTTGTGATCGATTGAAATTTAGCTTGCAACAGGTCACCTACAAAATGTACTAAACAGATTTGATGAAAGTCGGAGATCTTTAACGTGCAGAGAGCGTTCAACTCTAGCTGTGCATTACATTTAACGTCCCTATCCCAACCGGAAGTAGCTGTGTATTTATACATCCCGCACAAACAATTCAATTCTTAAGCATGGATTCTTCCGCGTGGTTAAAGATTAATAGGTAAGCATATGTCTATAACCCAGTCAAATCCTTGATATGCGGCTTTTATGACTGACATATCAGATTAATTTTGAAATGATAGAACCAAAATAGTAAAAGGTAGAAGTGTAAATAAAGCATCCTTTACTGAATAAAATCAATATGCAGTTACTCTATAAAAACGATCACAAAAAGTAAAGAGTTACTCTATAAAAACGATCACAAAAAGTAGAGTTGCTCTATAAAAACGATCACAAAAAGTAAAGATTTAAACGACTGCACATATTGTACTCTATAACTTTTTAAAAAGCATACACAAAAGCCTTATTCTTTATCCTGGTTCGTCGTTTGTTGTTCTGTACATAAATCAGTAGTTTGAGTTGTTTTAATGTGGTACCAAATACCTTGACTAATTCATAAAATTTTGACAAAATATTTACTTTGACCCTTTGGCAAAAATATCAAAAATTTCAAAAAACATGAACCACACACTTTATCGGAAAAATTTCATTGGATATATAGCAGTTTGACAAACACTAATTTTGATCATTGAGAAGCTTAGAATTTCCTTAACAATAGAATGTAATTAAAACGTTCACCTGATTTTTACAGAGTTATCTCCCTGTAGTGTTATGTACCACCTTAAATTTGTTATTTCGGGGCTTTTTATGGCTTACTACGCGGTATGGGTTTGGCCATTGTTAAAGGCTGTACGGTCTATAGTTGCTAACTTCTACGTCATTCCGTCTCTGATGGAAAGTTGTCTCCTTGGCAATCATACCACTTTTTTATATACATTGAAAGTTATATTGTCATTATTTGTAGCTGCGTATGCATACATCTCGCACATTATTTTCCTAACTATTTATGAAATATTTGCCACAAGGCATTAATAATCAAACATCAATCGAACAATCAATGTTTGCTTCTTGATAAAACCATACAAAAACGTGTTGACTTTGGTATAAAATATGTTGACTTGGACTTCTCCCATTCACTAAGGAGGAGCATCTTTTTGGCTGTACATGATAAATATACAGCAAGGGGGCCTCAATGGCCAAGTGGTCTAAGTAGTCGAGCAACTATATCACTAGCCCGTCAACACTGAGGTTGTGAGATCGAATCCCGCACGTGCCAGATGCGTTCAACGCCAATCGTAATTGACTAGGATTGTCAGTTTTCCTGCTGAAGGTTGGTGGTACTCTCCGGGCACTCCAGCTTCCTCCATCAATCAAAACTATTCGCCACGAAATAGCATAATAGTGCTGTAAGTGGCGTTAAACAATAATCAATCAATCAATCAATGGATGTGCAGGATGTATAAATATGCAACAAGTCCGGTTAGGGACGTTAAATTATGTGTCATATGCAGAAAATCACATTCTATGCACATTAGAGAAACCTTGTCAAAGCCTGCTTGGGGATCCGTATGTGACCTGTTGCAAGGTAGAATTTCTAAACCTTTCCAACAACAAACAGGCAATTTCCCACCTTTAATTCCGTTTTGTAGAAAACTATCAATTGGTGACTTGTCACATTATTCTATTCCTGAGTGTGTTTTAAATATTTGCCACTGGACATTAGTTAGCAAACCAATCATGTTTTCTATTTGACTTAGCAAGTACATGTAATACTAGTATGTGTTGCACAAGAAGGCAATCTTTTAAAGCTGAAACCTTGAGCAGATTTATAAATAGTTAAATCATCGATGTCATTATATTTAGTTCTTCTGGTAAAAATGATGCTATAACATTATTTTTTCATTTACCACTCGGCTTTATTCAAGTTTGAAACTTTTAAAGTGGTTTCGTGGTAGCGTGTTCGCCTCGAATGCGTTGGGTCGTTGATTAAGATATATGCAGGTCCGCTAAGCACGCGGCATTTAGGAGTAAGATAAAAAAAAATTGATTGGCTCGGAATAAGAGCACATGTAATGGGTTTTGGTAGGTTGACAGGTCTTCTAGCGGACTACTCGTATAATACGTGAAGGAATATATTTCAAAGTTTACTTATATCTTGAGTATGCTGTCAGGTTACCTTGCATTGAATGAATGGTAAACAGAATGCTGTATTCCTAAACTGTAACTGTCTGTCAACAAATTTAGGCCTCCTAAGTGTCTGTATGGTAGGTACTGTAGTAAAGCTCTCTGTTGTTCTTTGTTCCAATGTTAACTGTAACACAATGAAAAATCCAATCTGATTAAAATACATCGTTTTACTTTCTGTTCTTGTAATTATTACATGATTAGTCAATGAAATTTCAGCCTTTAAGTTTTTGAAGTTATGTATTAATCCGATAAAACCTGAGGATCTCGAAAGGTCTTTAAAAAAGAAATTAGAATGGAGCGTTTACAGATCCTTGTAGGCAAAGCTTTACCTTTACTGTCGCACTGACAAATAACTAGTAGATCACAGATTCTGGCTACGCTTAGCATTTTATTAATTAATTGCTTATTAGTCTTTGAAATAAATTTAAGTACCGTACTCTAAGCCCAATTCCACGGACTCTAAGATTACATGAAATGTTACCAAATTATACTATCTTATTTACCTTTAGTGTATACCAATAGAGACTGTTTGTGGGCCTCTTGTTATTATGATTTGTTTATTTTCAATGATTTTAGTTGCTATCAAAAGGACTTATATTTCTTACACGAGTTCATATATTCTTATTTATATTGTATATTAATGGTAGCAAATTGAGAGACACAATGGCGGTTCCAGGAGGGGGCGTAAAGGCCTTACTACCACTTTTTTTTATCGCCAAAAAATCTCATGTTTTTCAAGCTCTATTTAGATTTATAGGAATAACATCGTCTAAAAAACTTGTTATCCCTTTTTCTGAAATTACCTCCCTTTAAAAAACCATGGATCCTCCCTGAGAGTAGAACCTATTTAGATCCGTATAGAAATAAGTCCATTGTTGTATTGATGTACGATGCTTATCTCCTGTAATTCAGGTCCATTTACTCTTTTGCAAATCAAAACAAATAATACTTATGGGCTAACATTTAAAAAGATGCAATCTTGATAATGTCATAAAAAAATTTATTGAAACATTTTTTGATAGATGATGTAATGTTTTGTCTCTCCTGTTACTATGTTCAAAATAAATTGTGAACTATTTAGAAAAAGGTTTCGATAAAATTCATGGCCAATAAGATGGTCTTCAAGTGTAAAAACTTAAACCTATACATTTTCAATCTGTGTAAAGGTAGATTATTTGTCAATTTTCCATGTTGTATTGAAAAAAAACTCTGTTTACAAAGGTTATAAAAATAACCACCATCAACGTAAGTTTAAGATAACAATTAATAATGTTCAGATCTTTTTTTCTCTTTCTAATAAACCCATTTGCAACATCAGTTAACTCCCTTGCATGTTGGTTTACTTTTGTCGTTTTGTGTTTGGTAACAGGATATACCAAATCAAGTTCTATCCTGTTATCCTTTTTTGTCTATCCTGTAACCAATAGCATGATTGCTTTTAGTATATGCTAAATTGTGAAGATAAAAAAGACGTTGTAACATTTAAATGCGTTCAAACAACTGCACATTTCGTTAGGAGTAAAATTATATGTAATTAATTTCCTTTTAAAGTCAATTACATCGAGGAAAATTTCTGTTTGTGAGGCGGCTGAATCTTTGGGGTTCGAAGTTCATCCAATGAACGTAATTTTTGCTCTACATTTTTACAATAAACTATTTCATCAAACTACATTACAACGTAAATTTATAAGAACATGCAAACACATGCAAACATAAGTTTTTGAAGTTGTGTATTAATCCGATGAAACGTTGTGGACTTCGGCTGTTGTCTGCTCTTTGGTCGGGTTGTTGTCTCTTTGACACATTCCCCATTTCCATTCTCAATTTTACATGACATACATTTCGTTTATATTTAAAACAATACTACATCTTGAACAGTACTAAACTTTACATAGAATTACATTTAAGCGGAGGAAAATTTATGAGAGGCGACCTCGGAGGCGACTGAATTCTGGAGATCGTCACAGTAGTTCAACCAATCAAGGGAATGTTTATTTATATTATGTATATGATATCTATTTTCACTGCAGTTTTTGGCATTCTTTATAGTATATATATTTGTTTAGGGGCCAGCTGAAGGACGCCTCCGGGTGCGGGAATTTCTCGCTGCATTGAAGACCTGTTATAGTGACCTTCTGCTGTTGTCTGTTCTATGGTCGGGTTGTTGTCTCTTTGACACATTCCCCATTTCCATTCTCAATTATAATTTTATTTAATCGGAATTGTAGAACAATTGAATGTTGTTAGTAGATACAAAACAGGGAATGATGAACTTTTTTGGCAAAAGATGAATTGGATCGGGGATCCATGTATTCACATTATTTATATAACTCTCCTTACTCTGGGGAATTTCATGGAATTTCGTGACCTACATGGTTCACATATTTCTTCATTTCTGAATGCTGTTGTGAAATAACTACTCCCTTTGGTGAGCCCTTTTGGTGAAGTGATAATGTTTTTCTGCTGTGATTTTTAGTTTCCAACACGTTATTGCACTTTTTACAAGTCTATTAGTGTTGCAATTTAATAAATTTGTTGGTAACAGCATAGACATGATAAAAGGGTACCCACTAATTTTTTTTTCACTAAATGTATTGAATTTGCTTTCCTCTACACTGTTATCCAAGAAACATGCTGTGTTAAATTTTCATGATGCTTTGTGCTTTTGAAATCATCACTGAATAATTTCCTATTCATAGGGAGGAACAAGATACCGGTTGATCTAGTATCGGTAACAGGATAGACATGCATTTCATGTACGCCGATTGAATTTAGTTCGTAGACAAAATGTTGCATAGAATAATAAAGAGGCTTTGATTTTTCGTTAGTGTAATCATTAACATTCTAAAATAGTTCCTTTTGAAGATATCAAGGCAATCAGAAATAGGGAAAAAATCATTAGAAATATTTTACCCTTACACTGTACGCCCAAAAAATCGGACTTAAATATATTTCAATCTTATCAAAATAGATCTAAATCGTGTTTATTTAATATTTATGTTCCGACTCATAAATGCTACAAACTTTCATTTAAAAACTGCTTTTTTTACATGAAAAATACAATTTTTGACAGAGGTGTACTGAAAAGTCGACGTTTTTTGAAAATTACTCAAATAAGGAACTCACTTTTTTTAAAAGTTGAACCACATGTAACCCCCTCCACCTTTTTTCAAATCTTCTAGATTCGTGCATGATTGGTCTTTTTTTTTTATTACAGATGATTATTAATATTTCAACATAAACGTTACATATAAAATGAAAATATAACTTATCAAACGTTACCCAATTTCTACGAGTACTTAATAATTAAATATTATTTCTAAGTTCTTACCGGTGTTGTACTACCCTCCGACTCTTCCATACTTTCATCTCGAACGAGCGGTATCAGCGGTCGAGGACGCCTTCGTTGATATCGCAGAGCTGCTTCTTTGACAATACTTCCATCCGCCATGTTTTATCCGTGGACCAACGCGAAGCATTCCATCAACTTGAGAATATTAGCTATAGTCTTGACACGATGTGATAACCTTTCTGAAGTAACCATGTGATGATGAGATTTAAAATCAATATTTATAAAGGTGTTTTATTAAGGAAGTTGACATCTGCGGAAATAAGCTATTGGGAAAACAATGAATGTGCTAATTTGTGTATTGATTACCTTTTCTGCAAATTTCATTGTATTTCCATTTACCTGGAAGTTCCCTTTTGATTATTTAAACTTTTTAGAAATTTCGAAAACACACGATTGTTTTCTTGTCTTATAACGAAAGTAAATATATTTGCAAATGAAACAAATGTTACTAGAAAGAACTAAAAGTGAAAGTAGTTGATCATTAACAAAGTTAATTTGCAGAACTATATATGATGGACCTTTACATCACAGTTAATTTACCTCCATGTTTTTTCTGTCCGGAGATCGATTTTATTTGAAATATAAAGAGGTAGGACCTATTTTCTCCGGTGATTTGCATTTGCGCGACAAACCATTTTTCATTTACGCCAAAGTAAAACATCTCATTTGCGCCAATGATATATATTATATAAATAACACATAGCTGAGAGGGTGATAGAGCAGATTGTTACCCCGAGAAAACATTGTCAACTGAGGCGAAGCCAAGGTTGACAATGTCTTTTCGAGGGGTAACAATCTGCTCTATCACCCTCTCATATATGTGTTATTTAATTTATTATACTGAATGTTCTGTTATTACTGTCTATTAAATTTCAAATTCAAAGTTATAAACTATGTCGTCTTGTACATAACAAGCATCTGTATTTATTAAAGCGCACACTTGAGCAAGCGTCTCCGTGAAGGGTAATAGAGTATTTGCCATGGGATAGAGTAAATTGTCTCCCTCGTATTAACTAATCAAAATCTGGCATTTTGACACGAAGTATAATAATTAGTTATATCTTGCTATTTGGTTTATATTATTTTAAATCGCTTCAGTTATCAAACATTACATTTTTTGCGGGAAATATGCGCATTGCATTAAATTTTCACCACATTTTTTTTTTAAATTCATGTTATCTTAACGCAACAATGTTATATTTTGTTTATTCGCGCCAAAAATAAATCCTTATCTTCCGCTTTTTTTCCTGTAGCAAATATGGTATTGTATCCCATATACGAACTATTCAGTAGAGTACCCCAAGCAAAATTACTTAAGTCCCTTCTTATTTCTCTTATATTACTGAAAGTCACCTGGGTATGAAATCGGTAAGTGTTGACAAAATGAACATCATGGGACAAACAGAGGAAATACGTCTGTAAATTTATGTCCGCACGTATATATCATTCAGTGTATTAAAAAATATAGAAAAGTTCTGTACATACTAAAATCAGGTTGTCGATTTTCTCGTTTAAAATTGTTTTATACTATTTCATTTCGAGGTTTCTTTTAGCTTACTATGCGGTATGGGTTTTGCTCATTGTTGAAGGCCGTATGGTGTACTAGAGTAGCTTACATCTACGTAATTAAGATGTTGCTGGATAGTTATCTCATAAATCATATCACATCTTCTTATTTTTATATTATTTAGATGCAAAAATTTGAATAAGATTGAAATATTTGCCACTGGACTTCAGCAAAGAACGACCAATCAAGATATTGATTAATCTGGTGATGTAACCGTAGTATATTTCAACAGATGACGCATCTTCAGTCAAAAAACATACCTGCTTTTTTATTTGTTTCTTTATTTCTCTACGTTATCTTTTTTTCTCAGTGCTGTTTAGACAAATTTTTGCAAGTCATTTCATTTTCTTTAATGTTTTTTTTTTCGGTTATACCAGAATGGTCAAGCGAAGAAAATTACCGCTAATAAAAAAAGGATTGTGTCTGGCCATGACTTAAATCAAGCTAGCCGTCGACTTGGTCAAGTACTTAATCAGGCAGAAAATGAAGTTCTGTCAGATAAAACCAATGATTATATCTGATAGAGTACAGAGACAAGATGTTATTAAATAGTATTATTTGTCCGTTCAATACAACCTTGTCCAGTGTCGACTACAAGACCACGAACTCTAATAAGCTTCCAAGACATAGCATGACAAAATGTGTAAATTTATTGATAAAAACACTCTCTTCACGGTGTTACTTCGTAAAACTAATCAAAAGATAAAAACAAAGTATGGAAAAGAGATTAAAATAGATATATGCTACTTAATTTACATTTGATTTTCGGCATTTCTTTCATCGGGCAGGGTTATCAATTTTTTTCAGAGACTTTGTACATGCGCCTTGATAACGGATTTAGATACAATTTTAGTAAATAAACAAAAGTGATTATCGTGTATATGTGGAGATGGCCTCTTCTCAGTTTTTATTGTCAATTTTTGTGATATTTTCTTTACTCTTAGAGGTAAGGTTTTATTATGCAATTTTATACATTTCTCTTACAATTAGAGCAGGTTCGCTATTTTTTTTCTTTCTAGAAAGATATTTGTGTTCATTTTTATGTAACAATTAAAATTTGAGAGTTTTAACTACAGATCTATGTACTTACAACATGTACTAATGAAGATAATAGAAAATAAATATTTCAGCCTTAACAACAAGTATTCAAATAAAATACATACAAAAAAGAAATCGGCCGAATGAAAAGAGGTGTGGCCAGCTTCCCCCTTTATGTCTTTCACTCGCAGGGTCAAAAATTTAAAAGTTGCTGAAACCTACAGAACTTTACAGAGACTATATATAGTAATGTATGGGAACTTATAAATCATTTTACATGCATAAGGTTATTCATAACATCAACATATTCAACGCTAATTTTTTTTTTTTAAACCTCATTATTTTTTGCAAATTGAATTTAGGGGACGACCATTTGATTATCTAGAAGGGGGACTTGTGGATTTTAAAAATGAATATCCTCCTGGCCTAGTAAGAGCTGAATGCATGAATATTCTGCAACACAAAATGGAGGGAACAGTTGTGTACAAAAGTAAAAAATATATGTTCGCGGAAGAAATAAGCATGCATAGCAACAAATGAAAATGAATAGTCAATCTGCAAAAAATCCTCCTGTCCTACCCTGACCTCCGTAACCTCCACTCCCAAGATTATCAAATAATCGTCCCTCAATATGTTTTTGGACAAAGAACTCTTTTTTTCAAATTACATTTACGTTGCAATTTTTGAGCCACGGCAGGTGTTTGAAATACCTCTTTGCTATGTTTGAAGCTTACTCCCTTCGCATACTTTTACTAAGAAAGTTAAATGCAAAAAGTTTTAAAAGATATTGAATTGAAAGAATGAAGACTCAGAAAGCAATATAAAAGAAATATGACCAAATTGTTGAAGATAAGAAACGCAGGGGCGGATCTAGAGGATTAGGCTAGACGGCGTATGCCCCCTTTTATTTGAAAAAAAAATCATTTTTTACCATAAAATCGTCCAAAACATTTTTCTCCTGGATACGCTCGGCGGTATGAATTCACATTATGCTCACTTTAAAAAAAAGCTGGATCCTTCCCTGAAATATGGAACTCCAAGTGTGATAGGGGATATAGAAACAAAGTTTCTTGTTTCCTGGACATCATCAATTTGGCTTTTTTTTTTGGACCCATGGCAAAGGAATAATCGTTTGGCTGTTCAAACTGTAATTAAATACGCAATCCCATGTGCTGTATATCCATAAAGAGTCCCGTGTAAGGAGAATGATATGTTGTCTGCATGCTTAAGAACCCCTATAACTTAAAGTCTATAAGGGAGCTACCATTTGATTTTTAGGGGGGGGGGGGCTAGGATTAAAAATTTTGTCCTGCATTTTTTTTTGTTGTAATCTCTGTCCTGCCTTTTTATTTTTCACTCTATTCGGTCCTGCCTTTTTTTATACGACCGCAAAAATTAAAAATTTTTTGGTCGTATATTGGTATGACGTTGGCGTCGTCGTCGTCGTCGTCGTCGTCGTCGTTGTCGTCGTCGTCGTCGTCGTCGTCGTCGTCCGGCGTCGTCCAGCGTCGTCCGAAGACACATTGGTTTTCGCACTCTAACTTTAGTTTAAGTGAATGGATCTCCATGAAATTTCACCTTAAGGTTCAATACCACAAAAGGAAGGTTGGGATTGATTTTGGGGGTTATGGTACCAACAGTTAAGGAATTAGGGGCCAAAAAGGGGCCAAAAATAAGCATTTTTGTAACTTTCAGACAATAACTTGTGTGTAAGTGTATGGATCTCTCTGACATTGTACCACAAGGTTCCATATCACAAAGGGAAGGCTGTAATTGATTTTGGGGGTAATTGCCTCAAAATTTTAGGAATTAGGGGCCAAAAAAGGGGCAAAAAACAAGCATTTTTCTAGTTTCATGACAATAACTTGTGTGTAAGTGTTTGGATATTTCTGAAATTGTACTACAAGGTTCCATATCACAAAGGGAAAGCTGGAATTGAGTTTGGGGGTAATTGCCCGAAACGTTTAGGAATTGGGGGCCAAAAAGGGGCCAAAAATAAGCATTTTTCTAGTTTCCAGACAATAACTTGTGTTCAAGTGTATGGATCTCTCTGAAATTGTACTGCAAGGTACCATACCACAAAGGGAAGGCTGGGATTGAGTTTGGGGGTGATGAATCATAAGGGGGTTCAAAAAATTGGGGGGGGGATTTTTTTTTTTTTTTTTTTTCTTTTTTTCCTTTTTTTTTTCTTTTAAAATTTTCCATTTTAAGTTGGTTATTTCTGATTTATATTTAAAAGCAAATAATAATGATATGGTAGGAGATACACACCAAACAGGATGTGTAAATTATTATATAATATGTATTGTGCAATAGCAAGAAATTTTCAATTGCACAGTATTGCACAATAGCAAGAAATCTTCAATTGCACAGTATTGCGCAATAGCAAGAAATCTTCAATTTAACAGTATTGCGCAATAGCAAGAAATATCCAATAGCACAATATTGCGCAATAGCAAGAAATTGTCAATTGTACAGTATTGCGCAATAGCAAGAAATATTCAATTGCACAGTATTGTGCAAAAGAAGATACTTCGTATAAATTGCTTATTTCTTGATCAATTTCAATGGGGTTTTATTCTTGAATTCTTGGGGTTCTTTAATATGCTGAATCTAACCGTGTATTAAGTTTTTGGATTTTGGGCCCCGTTTTTAAATTGGTTCACATTGAGGTCCAAAGGGTCCAAAATTAAACTTTGTTTGATTTCATCAAAAATTGAATTATTGGGGTTCTTTGATATGCCGAATCTAACCGTGTATTTAGATTTTTAATTTTGGGTCCCGTTTTTTAAAGTTGTCTACATTAAGGTCCAAAGGGTCCAAAATTAAACTTAGTTTGATTTTAACAAAAATTGAATTCTTAGGGTTCTTTGATATGCTGAATCTAAACATGTGTTTAGATTTTTGATTATGGGCCCAGTTTTCTAGTTGGTCCAAGTTGGGGTCCAAAATTAAACTTTGTTTGATTTCAACAAAAATTGAATATATGGGGTTCTTTGATATGCTGAATCTAAACATGTATTTAGATTTTAGATTTTTGGCCCAGTTTTCAAGTTGGTCCAAATTGGGGTCCAAAATTAAACTTTGTTTGATTTCAACAAAAATTGAATATATGGGGTTCTTTGATATGCTGAATCTTACCATGTATTTAGATTTTTTATTTGTGGGCCCGCTATCAAATTGGTTCATATTGAGGTCAAAAGGGTCCAAAATTAAACTTTGTTTGATTTCATCAAAAATTGAATTATTGGGGTTCTTTGATATGCCAAATCTAACCGTGTATTTAGATTTTTAATTTTGGGTCCTGTTTTTTAAATTGGTCTACATTAAGGTCCAAAGGGTCCAAAATTAAACTTAGTTTGATTTTAACAAAAATTGAATTCTTCGGGTACTTTGATATGCTGAATCTAAACATGTGTTTAGATTTTTGATTATGGGCCCAGTTTTCTAGTTGGTCCAAGTTGGGGTCCAAAATTAAACTTTGTTTGATTTCAACAAAAATTGAATATATGGGGTTCTTTGATATGCTGAATCTAAACATGTATTTAGATTTTAGATTTTTGGCCCAGTTTTCAAGTTGGTCCAAAATGGGGTCCAAAATTAAACTTTGTTTGATTTCAACAAAAATTGAATATATGGGGTTCTTTGATATGCTGAATCTTACCATGTATTTAGATTTTTTATTTGTGGGCCCGCTATCAAATTGGTTCATATTGAGGTCAAAAGGGTCCAAAATTAAACTTTGTTTGATTTCATCAAAAATTGAATTATTGGGGTTCTTTGATATGCCAAATCTAACCGTGTATTTAGATTTTTAATTTTGGGTCCTGTTTTTTAAATTGGTCTACATTAAGGTCCAAAGGGTCCAAAATTAAACTTAGTTTGATTTTAACAAAAATTGAATTCTTCGGGTACTTTGATATGCTGAATCTAAACATGTGTTTAGATTTTTGATTATGGGACCAGTTTTCAAGTTTGTCCAAGTTGGGGTCCAAAATTAAACTTTGTTTGATTTCAACAAAAATTGAATATATGGGGTTCTTTGATATGCTGAATCTAACCATGTATTTTGATTTTGGACATTGGACCATAATGGGTAAATTAAAAAAATTGAAGTTCTTAGACCACATTCTTTCTGTGTCAGAAACCTATGCTGTGTCAAATATTTAATCACAATCCAAATTCAGAGCTGTATCAAGCTTGAATGTTGTGTCCATACTTGCCCCAACTGTTCAGGGTTCGACCTCTGCGGTCGTATCAAGCTGCGCCCAGCGAAGCATTTTATTATTAGTTTGTCCTGACTTTTTTTTACATTATTTGTCATCCTGCCTTTTTTTTTGCAAAGTGTCTCATCCTGCCTTTTTTTACTCAAAACTCCTGTCCTGCTTTTTTTTCAAATTTCATCCTAGCCACCCCCTTAGGTAGCTCCCTAATGATATAGATTTTTACTCCTCGGTGTGGAGGTGTGTTTTATATTTTTGTTTTGTCTGGAAAGTTTATCTTGATTGATATTTGAAATACCTTCATACAAGTTTTATATTTAGGATTGTGATTATAGCCCTGAGAATACCAGGCTTATGTTGATACCTAGTTTAATAGAATGGGCTTATTGCATATTTATCTAGTACATACTGAATAAAACATCCTGTCAAGTTATTATGACAAATTTATTTAAATAACAGTGTAGCGGATCTTTGGTATATCGACATAAGGAGTATTCGATTCAACTTTTTGATTAACGAACGCATTAATTTATACACATATATTTCATTGGCACTGAGTCATTTCTAACAGCATATTTGAAAACAATTTAAATGTACTAGAACAGCTCTTTGCTATTTTTTTAGAAAATGTACTTTAAACATGCAATGAAAATAGTTTCAAATTTGCCTCAATAGAAGATTGTAGTATTTTTTTTTTTTTAAAGTTTGACAGTTTAAGGATGCATGTCTCTACCACACATAGCATGCAAAGTGCAATAGTTTACAAAATGATACCTTAAATATGTATTCCGTACGGTGCATTTTTTATTATGATGCAAATTTAATGGATAATTTTGAATTTTAAACACATTAAGCAACTTGTTTATCAATTTATACAGGATAAAGTAATTTCAACTTCAAACAAAAACATAAACCTTCTTCAATATTTGTGTAATTTCCAACAAAAAAATGTAACCACAGTAAAGTGTTATAACTTCTTTACAAATACTTCGAAACGACAATTAAACATCAATCAATCAAATCTAAAGGGAATTGAAGGAACTCCCTGAAAACAGTCTTAAATTTCTACTTAAATTTGTAGCTATTTGATTTGCTTTCAATTTATTTATCATTTTAACCAGACTCCAACTTATGAAGAAAATTATATTTTAAATCTACAATATCTTTCGACTTCTTTGGACGTCTATGATAAATGTCTAATATTGTTTCTGATTTTTCTGTTAACCTATATAAGGATATTTTGAGGGTTTGGACTCCTAATACATTGTAATACATCATATATCTTAAAGTCTATCGACTTGACATTAACTCACTGGTATTAACATAGACGAATTGTTGTGTGAGTCAAGTTATAGTGTTTTGTGTCCACTTTAATAAAACAAATAGAGATAGCTTCATACTTTTGTGATTTCCAGGAACACGTATCTATCTCCGAGATTTCAACATTCTACGAGTTTTTGTCAGAACTATACACATGATACGTGTTGGACATTGAAAGTGCAGACAAAAATATTTTTATACTGTTCTGCCTCCCTTATTTGTCAGATATTATTTCTCTTAAAAAAAATTGAATCAAAATTAGCTCAGTACTACTGTTTTTCTTTTCGCTTTTGCATAATTTTAACTCCATCTTTGACTAATACTCAGCAAATCAAACATTACAGAATTGGATATATTACAGAATTCAAAAATCCATGTGCTATCTCCAATGCAAATATAAGAAATGATTTCTAAAAGATTTATTTGGTATGGTAGTGTTCTATCTCCAGAAAAGGGAATGCTTTATTTATTTAAGGTGCTTGTTTATTTAAATAAGCAATTGAACAAAGAGTTGATCTTCAATATAAAAAAGAAGATGTGGTATGATTGCCAATGAGACAACTCTCCACAAGAGACCAAATGACACAGAAATTAACAACTATAGGTCACCGTACGGCCTTCAACAATGAGCAAAGTCCATACCGCACAGTCACCTATAAAAGGCCCCGAAATGTTTTGTAGATTACCTTAGCCGTATTTGGCACAACTTTTATTAAGTCCATAAATTCGATTGCTTCATAACTTTCTATATCTCAGACAAATATTTATGATATTGAGATTTTAAACTTCATAATCAATTTCCCAACATTTAAAAAATGGGATTCACATCATTATAATTCTCAAATGACGAAATACATATTCTTCTTTTGATAAACAGACTGGTCCTATTAAAGATATTTGCATTCTTATGAGGAAAAAAATCTTTACTTATAAATATAGGCAACAAACGTGAAAAGTTTGTATAATAGGAGACAGTTAAAACTTAATAATTACATTTTTCATTAGAATCCATAATTTTGATTGGTTGACAAGAATCGCGAGGCACTCCGATATCAAATTAGATTTCCGTATAAAATTCAACGGCTATGACTGCACGTGCTATATTCATGACAATGTTAAAACAATGCATAGACAAACAAACGAATTCTTGATATAACTCTTGATTTCATGGTTGCAGCATAAACATGTAATTATAAGAATTGAATGCTTCTTTTTACATCGCGATGACCGTGACGTGAGGGCATTCCGATGTATTGTTGCCACATAGATTTGGCATTCCGATGTATTGTTGCCACATAGATTTCTACTTACGTAACTTTCGTTTTTGACTGGTACATGTAACCGATCTATAAATCCGCGGACATTATCGAGTGCAAAATAACATTCCTTATCGCTTGTTATAAATTCATTTCTTTAATGAATACTCATAAAAATATTTTTTTTAGAACATAAACTAATAATATGAAAATATTTTGTCGTTAGAAATATGTATAAGTAAAAAATCATTAATATCTATGCACACGTACAGAAAAATTGTGTGAACGCATACGGAAGAATATCTCAAGAACGTTTTGCGGGAAAATATGAATGCCTACTCCAATCTATTAGAAAAATCAAATTATTACAGAAGAGTGTCCACCAGGCACTTGCACTGCACTATAATATAATAGTTATTACAGTGAGGTTGAAAACCCTGTCATTTATTCATCATCCACGCACGAACTTGTCTCAGTATCTCTGTACATTAACCTCACTTTCAGGTATAGAGATGTGATTTTTTTCTGAGACAAGTGCTTGTGACCATCCACAAGAACTTGCGGTCATCCGATGTTCAGTACTTCAGTACTTTGATTGTAACTTTATAGAGTTGTAAAAGCATTGATTGTGAGCACATGTTTAATATGAAGCTCCGCGCTTAATTCTAAATGAGCTTCAATTCTTAAACAAAAGTTCGTTAAGTTTTCAAGAATATTAAATGTGCCTACATAATACGGTTGTCTTTTATAATTTACAACATAATATTGTGGTATTCTTTCAAATGTTCTATCGTGATAGTTAAAAATTGTCTCGACCTGCTTATACTGTAAATAAGCAACGATTAATTAATTACGAGAAAAGTGGATCCGTTCTGCTGACAGATCTAGATGTCATGTTTGATTAAAAATTCCGACTCCTTAAATAGAAGAATGAAAGCGGAAACGAATCATGCGCGCTGACCCCAAAGCAAGTAAATATTCTATAAATAGGGTTTGGAATTCCTCTGAGAATTCATATGGAAAAATAAGCGTCTATATAAAAAATTATACAATCAGTGGCCATTGCGGATAGGAAAAAAAACAATTGACAGTAAACATATAAAACATGTTATTTTTAGTATACTTTTGAAAGTTTAACACAGAAAATAACGAAAATAATTGAAATTATTAGAAAACAGAAAATTAGCCGATTTTTGAAAGATTGGAGAAGGCAAAAAAAAAATTGTCCTGTCCTAAAGCACCCGTGTTCTTTTTTTTTTTCTTTTTTTGCCTTTATTGTATATATGTCCCATTTACTATCATATGACATTTCTTTTTTTTTATATGATATAAGATTATTATCATACACGAAAAACGAAAATGATCTTCAGCTTTATTTTAAGCGCAATTCAGTCACCGGTTTGCTTCTGTGAGTCGATCCCTTTGCATTTACCTGATTCAGCAAGGGCATAAACACTTTATAACAATCGTAACTACTCGGTCATTCCGAGAATGGCCGAGTAGTTACGATTGCACTTGATGACTGATTAACTTATAATTATATTTTTTGTCTGTCAGAGACACTGTCATTGAATTGGTAACAAATATTCTTATCGTTAAATCGAACGACGAAAGGGGTTTTGATTCGAAATTGATATTTTTTTCACAGGTTTTCAGTAACCCACGTGTGCGAAGGGAAACAGCTATAACACTATGGCCAGATGGAATAATCCCGTATGCTATACCTGCTTCTCAATATAGTAAGTAGTTTAATTTTCTGCAGATTATACTTGATGGGCTGCTGCAAAAGATAAGGTCGGAAATTTGCCCCGACAATTAAACCAGGATAATGCACCGATCATTCATCTTTTTGTGTGTTTGTTGTGGGAGAGGGGAACTTGTTTCTTTAACATTTTAATTTGTAGAAAAAAATTGAATTGTTTCAAAAACGGGAAGACAATTTCAATTAAAAAGTAGGGGGAAAACAAATATAATACTGATTTTCAAGAAATAAAATTCGTTTTCTTGTAGTTTGAAATTAGTTTATGTCCCGATAAATAAAAACTATTCCCCCACTATAAAGATGAATGGTCAGTACCTAAATCAAGCCAAAAAAAAATTCTCAAAAAACTGTTCTTTAAATTTCTTTGAAGTCATATACTAGACAGTGCTTTAGACAAGTCTTTTAAATGATTATTCGCAGTTAAGTAGGAGTTAGCCACTAAGCTTTTGAGCCACTTTGCTTTTGAGCCTCTCAGATTTTGGGGTAAAAAAACAATGTCGTAACGATGTTACGCTTACTTTAGAATTTCCGTAACTTTGGTTGTTTTACACTGTATGAGAATCAACTATTTACTGGTATATTCAAAGCAACGACCTAGTTAACCCCTATACATTTTATATCTATTAAATGAAATTTTATTCTGTTGCATTTCGACATGGCCAAGTTGTAAGTGAAAATTCATTTATCACGATAAACAACGAAAAACATGTATCTGGAAGTAGATTTTTTTTCGAACAAAGAAAAATTGCAGTTACAGTAATTTTAATAGAGATCTAAAAACTGCTCCAACTTAGCATTATCTGAAGATTCTCCAATTACAAATGTACAATTGAATGTTTGTCTACATTTTTGTGAAATCTGAAAAAAGTTATGGTTAACTGTATAAATCATTTGAATAATTAATATAAACGACCAATATTATACACATAGATAAGACAAAATTACTTAGTTTGTACAAACATGTAGTATCAAATGGTAGCTTTACATGCAATCATGGGTTAACATACAATGATTGTTAAATTATCGTTGTGCCAAGCATATTATCTAAATTTCTCTTTGAAACCAAGTTCATTGCCTCATTTTGAATTTGAAACTGAGATTTGAATGGTTCCCTCCGTAAAATATTCAGTATGCCTTCGGAATATACAAATGCATCACGCTTGTCAAATAACAGCTGGGTACCAGTCTAGCAATACCCAATCAATCAAATCATTGTTACATTATCCATGTGACAGGCATTGTCATCTCGTACGTTTTATACATTTTTCTCTGAAACCAAGCTCATTATAGAAATATGAACATGTAATATGATTTCCAATGATACAACTATCCACCAGAGACCAAATGATTGTTTAGTTTTGAATATTCATGAAATAGTTTCCACTTGACGATAATCAAAGTTGAATTATTCACATTTACTGAGAACTATCCAATAATTCAGAGATCACATGGTCAAAGCTGTTCTCACTATATAAATTAAAGCATATTAAGATCTATTAAGCATAAAACTGGCGCAGAAAATTTCCCGGACGATCGAGGAAGAGAAAACAAGATTGTTGTTACTACATTATTGGCATATCATTGGTCTTTTGTAACACAGATATTCCATAGCGGCCAACCAACTCGTTAATTGATTGTGTGTTGGTGTTTAACGACACTTTCAACACTCTTCGCTATTTCGTGGCAAATTTTGGTTGGTGGAATCATGAAAGGAAAAAATTGTCATATCAACTGGTATATGTGTTAAAATATATCTATACTACTAGAATAACGAGGTCCAATTTGTTAGCCGGCATGACATAAAAACAACGAATCAAAGAATTCAACTTTATATATAACTAATATAAGACAATAGTGTTAATAAAAAATTTCACCATTCAAGTCCCTTTTGTTTTCCACCAATGATTAACAAGTTCCGGGTCGAATCCGATACCGATACCAATAGTATGTCACCTGTTACCTAATGTGTACGTTCCGCCTCTGTCAGGCGCACCACCTAACGGTGTATTAGGGTTTTGCTATATACACGGGTCATAATCACATCTGCACTTCGGCATTATACAGGGATTAGCACTGCTAAATTCAATCATTGTCACATGTTGTTTCCTGTTGTAGTAAGAAAACCAGGACGTTTTCAAACAGAAAGATTTTGAAAGCAGAGAAAACTTTGCACCTTAAAATCAGCATGACTTTATCAGATGACAATACGAATACTAAAAATCCAGGCTTTAAATAAGGCGTAGGTATTTAATTCATTCACGGACCCGCGATGTCGCGTGTGTGTTCTAGTATAAATAAAGATTAGCTACATTCAATGACTTATGAAATATGATTTCTTTTCAAATTAATTAAAATTATACATTCCTTGAAAATTTTTCCGGTCTTCATTTATTAATTAATGATTTAAGTCTTGACATACAATGTAACCACATGCGAACTTATTGTATCTTGCAAACAGCCGAAGAGCAACAGAAAAAGATACGGGTTGCTATGAACAGATGGGAGGAGGTCACGTGTATTCAGTTTGTACCATATACGGAAGAATTGCGAAAACAAATGGGCGTCAAACGATATATTGAATTTTATCTTGGGTCAACGTAAGTACCGTTAAAAATGTAACTAAGATCAATTTATACTTTTACGTTTTTTCTTGTCTCGGCATTGTCTCATATTATATGAATATATTATTTGTTGATTGGTTGTTGCTAGCTTAACGTCAAATGTCAAATATTTCATGAATGTTCATGACGATATATCAATATAGAAGTAAGGCGATGTGGTATGTTTGCCAGTGAAACAACTATCCAACAAACCCCAAACGACGGTGATGTGTATAACTTCTGGTCACCGACGTACGACCTTCAACAATAAGCAATACCCATATCACATAGTACAATACATAAAAAGCCACGGGATGAAGAATTTGTGAAACAAGTATAAAAAAAAAAAAGAGGCCACTGACTTGTTTTCTTTTAAAACCATAAACAATAAAAAAAAATGTAATCGACGGCGAGCTCCCGGTTTTGGACGAACACATAAATAGTATGGAGTGGCGAGTAAACAGAGCTTGACTCATCTGATAAGCACGAAACACTTAAACAACTCACGAAAAGACAAAACACACAAAGTACCGATCGTAGAGTACTCACAGTTACTCACAGTTATTTAAACACCGTACTTTGACCTACAATGGTTTACTTTTATTAATTTTGACTTGGATGGAGAGTTGTCTCATTGGCACTCATACCACATCTTTTATATCTATTCAAAGCCAATTACAACTAAAATATTCAAGTTTTCGAGTTCTTTTTTTTCAAAACTAATGAACTATATAGACTTTACTTAGTGAAAGTGACTTTTATATGACCTGATGATGTTTTTAATCTTTCAGATGTTTCTCTAAGATTGGACTTGCTAGTAGACAACCACAAACAATTGGCATCAGTCTCGGTTGTTTTGATGTAAGTCATTCAATTGACATCAAATTCTATGTTAACATAAGTATTCACTTTCCATAAAGAAAAACCAAACAAAATGGAAATAATCGGTAAAAATGAAAAACCAAAAAGGTTCATTTTCATTTTTCAAACACGTCATGTCAAAATTAAAACGATATATCCGATACTCCTTGTAGAGATATATTAATTATTAAATATACCTTGTAACAACTCTCTGAAGGTCTGTAGGTGGCTGTTGCATATAAATGTCTGCCTCTTTTCCAAACTTCCGGTCTCCATTCTGGTCGACCTGTCAATAAGAGTTTAGTTTTGGGCCCCTTTTATTTTTGATATATAAATATAAGCTCACTCGTTCAAATCTAGAAAAAAATTGTATTTAACTTATATAAGACCATTATTTGAGTATGGTTGCGAAGTATTGGATCATTGCGGTGTTGCTAAAACTGAACCGTTGGAAAAACTTCATCTTGAAGCTGCAAGAATTTTTATAGGCCTTCCTTATTGCAACAGTGAAATTTTATATATTCTGAAACGGGTGCGAACCTTTGTCTGATAGAAAAAACCGAAGAAAACTTCAGTTATTTTACAATATTTATAATGGACAAGCTCCTAATTATTTACGAACATTGATACCACCTCCTGTAATAACTATTTCTGGATATGATCTTCGAAATAATACTGACCTCATAGTACCATTTTGTAGATTGGAACTTACAAAAAATCATATTTTTCCAATACTATAAGGCAATGGAATGTAATCGATAACGTCATTAGAAATTCCGTCTCTAAATTTAAGTATTCCCTACGAAAGAAATCACATCAAACCAAAACCCACAAACAATATTATGTTGGTGAATGTAAGGCAAACATTATATTAACAAGACTTAGACATTCATGTTCAACTCCAAATAATGACCTTTTTAGATTCAATATAATACATTACCAAAGCTGTCGGTGCTGCAGTCTGACTGAAGACAGATTTCATTTTCTCTTTGAATGTCCGCTTTATGCAAAAATCAGAATTCACCTTTTAGACACTTTTTGTCCCGTCTTTGGATCTTAGTACTTTACTAAATGTAAACGAAAATTTAGCTCTTAGTCAAAATACATCCTTAATTAAAGAAGTTTTGCTTTTATTCGGAAAACGTTTTGACCTTTAGAAAGATATTTTCCGTTCTTTTTTTTTAACTGATATAATTTAGTATGTCGATGAATATGCTTTATGGCATGGGCTGTTGTTTATCTATTTGGGAAATTGTGAACTTTTTTCTATAACTAGTGTACAAATCTATAATTATATAATGTTGTTGTTTGCATGTCTTTATATTTATATATTATAACTTATTATATTTAGGAGAGGACTATCTAAGTTATGATACCTTGTGTCTGATCCTTTTTGCTATATGTCATAAAAAATAAAATATGTTTAAATGGAAAAGCACTTATAGGTCCCCGTACGGCAATGAGAAAACCCCAATATCGTACAGTCAGCAACAAACGACTCAGACATGAAAAATGTGAAACAATTCAAACAAGAAAACTATCTGCCTAATTTATATATATATATATATATATATATATATATATATGTATCTCCCTCATGCAAAGCTCCGATTCATTGCCCGGCTTTGGCTATACTTTTTTGTCCTTTTTGGTTTATAGCTCTTCATCTTTTTTATGAGCTTTGGATTTTAAAATATTTTGGCCTCGAGCATCGCTAAAGAGACATTGATTGTCGAAATGCGCATCTGTTGCAAACAAAAATTGGTACCGTTTAGGGAGCTATCATTTGATTTTTAGGGGGGGGGGTGGGGCTAGGATGCAATTTGAAAAAAAGGCAGGACAGGAGTTTTGATTAATGGTAGTTCCCCCCTCCCCCTTAAAATCAAATGGTAGTTCCCTTATGTTATTATTATACAATACAGTTTATGAAAAACTAATATTACAAACATGAACCAACGACAACCACTGAATGTTTGTTCAATTCGCGTAGTCTTAAGACTTATTCATCAAACTGAAAGGCAATTTTTACTTTTTTTCAGACAGTTTCTTTATGCCATGAAATTGGTCATGCCATTGGCCATATCCATACACAGCGACGAGCGGATAGAGATGGTTACGTTATAGTCCACTATGATAATATCAACGTACCTTCCTTCTTTCAGTTCGAAACGACTGTGATGCGTAGAACTCCCTATGATTTATTCGGAACGGTGTATGACTATGCCAGCGTCATGCATTATAAACCAAAGGTATGTTGGTTTTCATACAACCCCCTACTTTTGGTATGTCTTTTATGTAGTTCTGGCAATTACAATGTCCGATTAAGTTTCGATGGAGCATTCCCAGGCAACAAAAGTCTTGTTTTCAAATTTTGCAAAACTGCCTTGTCTTAATTTGAACACGATTCCACTAGTTCATGCATTATGGAGGGGCCTGATGGGTTATTTTCGTGATCGGCGCATTTTCGCTATCGTGATCCGTTTTTCTACAGATTTATTTTTTTTTATATTTTCGTGATCCGTGATCATAGAAATTTACTTTCTGTGAATCGTGATTGACAAAAAAATCAACTCGTGAATCGTGATGAGACCCCCCCTCCCCCCCCCCCATCAGGCCCCTCATTATGAACTAAAGGTATGTTGCTTTTCGTACTACACCCCTAGATATGTATGTACACCTGGTCAATACAATGTCCCCCGTCAACACAATTCTTGTCATCAATTTTTTCAAAATTGTATAGTCCTAATTTGAACGGAACTCTAAAACTTATCTTTGAAATTATGTTTTTGTGGAGGGGAGTGTACTTCCTTTTCTGTTATTTGAATCCAAAAGTTGATCGGTCTGTTGAAAGCCACATACATATACCTTACTCATTTCCATGCTGATTTCTTTGTCAAATTCAAATTAAATTTAAAATGAGACCTGTCAATGAAACAACACCGAAACGACAAAAATGGATAAAGCAAAAACTACATGTCAAATCATTAACGGAGAGAGGACACGGTATGATAAGGTCACTTTCTGGCACCTTGAAATCAAAATCAAAAAAGTATTATTAATCTACCAAATAACATCCTTCAGATGTTTTTAGACATTATTCTCTACATGACACCAGTATTGATATTTTTGATTTTTTTTCTTGCATATTTGCATCATGGCTTCAAACTTTGGTTTTAGTGAAAAACTGCATAAACTGCACATTGTCAAAAGCCCCATTTTGTGATCTTGCTATTGATAGTTAGATATGAGCAACAGCTTAACCCAAAAAGATATTTTGCTACCAGATTTATTTTACACAGATGTTAATGTGTGTAGAATATCTTTTTGGTAAGGCTAATATCTCAATCATATTGCTCATAGTTATTTCGTCCAACAGCTATGTCACACACAGTTTAAAATTGTCAATTTTGCTAAAATATGTCAATTTCAACATGTGTATGACATCACAATTGACTTTCTGTACAAAATTGTCCAAATGATATCAACCTGTTCATTTATTGATAAATATCAACCGAATTATGTTTTTGGTTGGAGGAAACCCACTAGTTTATCCTACGAAACTAAATAAATAAATAAAAACTATTTCATTATTTACTATTCATTACTAAACGTTGAGTAATGAATAATGACTATTTCATTATTCATTATTGAATTTTGAAAAAAAAAAGAAAAATGGATGTACTTCTGCGCGATATTTTGAAAGGCTATAACTTTTTACTGATTTAGAAATTTCAGGGGGCACATAATGACTTTTATCGTACCTCCGCACCCTCCTTGTCTTTGGTCGTCCGAACGTTTGTATTAACTAAAAATTATATTAACTGCAAAAATGATCATGTACATGAATTATTTGTGAAAAATTGCATTCATTAAGTAATCTAATAAAGAAATCGGTAATTTAGACATAGTGTTCGAAATCTTTGACCTAAAACAAAAAAAAATTATCTGATTGTAATTTCAAATTCCATAAATTAATCATTTCTGTACTAAATGACGGCGAATTTCAATCAAAGTACTGAAGTACTGAACATCGGATGACTGCAAGTTCTTGTGGATGGTCACAAGCACTTGTCTTAGAAAAAAAATCACATCTCTATACCTGAAAGGGAGGTTAATGTACAGTTATAATTTATTTTCCTAGACAAGTTCGTGGATGGATGATAAATAAATGACAGGGAGTTCAACCTCACCGTAATAAATATGATATTGAAGTGATACAAATCAGTATACTCTGGTTTGGTGTTATATATTATATTAATATTTGTATATTACAGTTACATGTATATATAATTTTCATCCATTTTTATATCATTCTGTTCTACTATATTAATAATAGTGCAGTGCAAGTGCTTGTGGACACTCTTCTGTAATAATTCGATTTTTCTAATAGATTGGATTTGAGTAGGCATTCATATTTTCCCGCCAAACTTTCAATCTTCCATGCAGAGTTATCGGTCCTTGAGAGAGAACGAGGACCGATAACTCTGCATGGGAGATTGCAAACGTTCTTGAGATATTCTTCCACATGAGTTAACACACATTTTCTGTACGTGTGCATAGATATTAAAAATGTTTTACTTATATATATATTTCTAACGACAAAACATTTTCATATTATTAATTTATGTTCTAAAAAGATTATTTTTAGGAATATACATTGAAAAAATGAATTTATAACAAGCGATAAGGAATGTTAATTTGCACTCGATAATGTCCGCGTATTTATCATGTTAATAGATCGGTTACAATCCCAACACGAAAGTTACGTAATGGAAATCTAGGCGTCAGCAATACACCGGAATGCCCTCACGGTCATCCGATGTAAAAATGATATGTATTACTTCACAAGAATTTAAAAAGTCACATCAGTAACATGTATCATAAATATGAATTTACTATGAAATTATACACAATTACTTTGATTATATGCGACAATTGCTTGTTTTAATGTCACAAATTTGCATTTAAAATAATGTAAAAAAAATATGTTCAATGACCTACCCTAGGTCAGTAAGTTTCTATTTGCCCTTTGCGTATGGAAAATCGTGCATAAATTATTAAAATGTACATATTTTTACAGTCTTTGATTAGAAGTCAAATTCCGCATCAAATGTAGTTTTCGGTTCAGTGAATCCCTTCTCCGGTTTAAACACGGATATCTTTATTCAAAAACAGACCAATCGTGTTTCGCCATAAGGAACCGCCTACTAGGTCACGTGGTACAGTGCATTCCTCTGGTACAAGAGGAAAGTTTTTGTTTGATCTATATTGTTAGTTAGTTAACTTAGTCTGGTATAACGAAATTTTGTGCAATTGGCTACTGCTCAAACACATTTCTTAGTAAGTAAGAGTAAACACTCGAATAAATGAGGGTCAGGATGGGGTTTACAGAACAGAAAATCATAGTAAAATAAATAAAGAATAGAGAAAATTGAGTTTAAATATTAAACAAAAGAGAAGAATCGGTGTGGAAATATAAATAATAGAGAAGAGAAATAAACCAAAAATAAGGATTGAGAAGTCCGTATGTATTTAACTAAAATATATATATTAACTGCATAAAAGTTCATGTACATGAATTATTTGTGAAAAATTGCATTCATTAAGTAATCTAATAATGAAATCGGTAATTTAGACATAGTATTCGAAGTCTTTGACCTAAAACTAAAAAATTGTCTGACTGCAATTCCAAATTCCATGAATTAATATTTTTTGTACTCAATGACGGCGAAATTCAAAAATGATATGTATTATTTTAAAAAGTCACATCAGTAACGTGTATCATAAATAGGAATTTACTATGAAATTATCTCTGAGAAATTATACACAATTACCATGATTATATGCGTCAATTGCTTGTTTTAATGTCACAAATTTGCATTTAAATAATGTAAAAAATTATGTTCAGTGACCTGCACTAGGTCAGTAAGTTTCTATTTGCCCTTTGCGTGTGGCAAATCGTGCATAAATTATCAAAATGCACACATTTTTACAGCCTTTGATTAGAAGTCAAATTCCGCATCAAATATACTGTTGTGTTCAGTAAAATCCCTTCTCCAGTTTAAACTCGGATACCTTTATTCAAAAACAGACCGATCGTGTTTCTTTATAATGAACCGCCTACTAGGTCACGTGGTACAGTGCATTCCTCTGGTACAAGAGGAAAGCCGTTGTTTGATTAATATTGTTAGTTAGTAAGTCTGTTATAACGAACTTTTGTGCAATTGGCTAGAGTAAACACTCGAATAAATGGGGGTCTGGATGGGGTTTACAGAACAGAAAATCATAGTTAAAAAAAAAAAGAATAGAGAAAATTGAGTTGAAATATTAAAAAAAAAAGAGAAGAATCGGGTGCTGAAATAAAGATAATAGAGAGGAGAAATAAACCAAAAATAAGGGTTGAGAAGAAATGCTTATTAAGAAATAAAGAACATAGAAACGAAAACTATTCCATTCCTGACCCTCATATATGTTCGGGGATATCGACATTTATTGCTGTAAATAGTTACCTTTTGAGCTGGCATGTCAAAGGCATATTATAATGCCTCAGCGTGTCTAGTACAACGCAAGTATCAATTGGCATATGCTTGTACTATTTGCCACTAGACTTTAAATATAAACTAACAAATCAATCTTAATATGTTAAGAGAACACACTGGAAATTCAAAGTCATTATTTCCTCAACATACAATTATATTGTTACATATTTCTGGGGCAAATCCTTTGGATTCCGAAACTTAAAACTGCTGTTACCCCTCCACATGTTTTACCTATATCAATACATTTTGAGTTCGTGCGTTGTTCGTTATTTGTTTATCTTTGTTCGTATGTCTGTTTTCTTCTGAGAAATCGGGTTTCACAGTTGTATTGTGCGGTGTTGTAGGCGAGTCCTGTTATACTTTAGTATGTATCATTTATCGGAAGTGGTAAAAATTTCGAAGGTGGGCAACACAAAATAAAACGTGCATTAATAAAATTGAATGGAAATGGGGAATGTGTCAAAGAGACAACAACCCGACCAAAGAGCAGAAAACAGCACAAGGCCACCCACCAATGGGTCTTCAACACAGCGAGAAAATCCCGCACCTGGTACGAAAATGTTTATCTATTGTTTCAGACTTGGTCAAATAATGGACAAGTAGTATTGGAAACCAGAGACCCGGCTTATCAATCTGCCATTGGTCGAGCAACAAAAATAAGCTTCTATGATGCAATGTGGGTTAACAGAGCGTATAGGTGTAATGGTAAGTTAGATATATTTACTGGTTCATCTGTCCTTATCTGCTTGACATTGACAACATCTGAGCAAAATTACATGAGAGACAAGGGAGAAAACCATCTTTATTTCTCCTTTTCCTCTTCATCATTATCATTTGTTCAAAGTATTTTATCCAGCTTTTCATCATTTAGTTAAAGATTTCGTTGTTGAAGTAAAGAAGTCATAAACTATGTTAAACGAAATTGAAATTCATAGCAATACACATTTAATAAACATTATTTTTTCTTAATTTATCCCAATATTTGCAATGTATATCCCTTTGCATCATCTATATGTAAATATATTTTTTATTATGTCTGCTTTATCATACTGTCTACATAGAAAAACAATTTATACTGCAACTAGTTGTGTTTATTTCCTAATTATAGTAACACAGCTTTATTTTGTGCAATGTCAATTTCATCATGGAACACTTTTTCCACAATCAGGGGTTCATTAAGAGATGAAAATAAGTTTGAAATTTGTGCAAAAATTTAAATAGCTATCAATGTTTTATTCAAGTTGCAGTGTAAAAACAATATTAGATCAATGTCATAAAAATATAACTTTTTTGTATTCGGCACAAAACTCGGGAAGGGCTCGGTAAAACCCCGCCCTTCCCCAGTTTCTCAGCCTTATACAAAAAAGTTTATATTTTTCTGACATTGACCTGATATTGTATATACATCATTGACATTTTTATCTATGAATTTAGAGCAATGCGACAAATCTAAGCGATGTCTAAACGGAGGTTATATAGGTGGTAACACCTGCAAGTGTATATGTCCGGATGGCTTTATAGGCTACCATTGTGAAGCACCGTTACCTGGATACCAAAAAAGTAAGTAGCGTTGTAAATCAAAGGACTGTGACCTTCTTTGAAGATCACATCCCTTTACTTCGAGTACAAAAATAGCTTTAAATTCATCTATCACAAAAGTTTTCCCGTTTAAATTTTTTGAAAGGTTAACTTCACAACTTACTTATCACATTACATTTATTTCCTGGATCAATTTTCATACATGTCACAGTTTTGTAAACCAACTTATTTTCGCGCAATTTGTTTTGCATTGAACCCTTTACGGACGATTTCGTGGCAATTCATTTTTGCGATTTTCTAAATGTCGGTGTATTCATATGCGATTAGATCCAAATTGAACATTTTTGCGACAATTATATTCGCGTCATTTTTCTACTCGCCAAGTCTCGAAAATTAAATGGTTTACAGTTCAAGGGAGAGCACTGATTTATTGTTGTTTTGGCTGCTGTAGAAACTAAACATGCATTATTTTTATTTTCAGTAATAACTTGGAGATGTCCAGGAGGGTGGATATTTGCTAATGGTCGTTGTTACAGACTTTATTCTAATATTTACATCACGTACGACGCAGCTTTAAATTTCTGTACAAATCAGAGAGCAACTCATGTAACATTTGAAACCGGGGTCGAAAGGGTGAGTTCTGTTATTCAATAAAGTAACAAACCAAACGGTTCTGGGCTGTCGTTCAGCTCTCAATTTGTTTTGAATAGTCAAACTTTTAATACTGATATACATACACGCGTTCTTGGTACAAAATATGCTTCTATCCTCAATCATAAGTTTCTCATCTCCACGGTAATATCATAATAGCGTTCCTCGCCACGATTTGGAGAAGTTTTAGTTTCTTTCCCTAAGCGTGGTAAAAATTGATATTGGCTACATCTTCGCTGAGCATGCATGAATTATAAGTAAGTGCAAAGATTGTTTTGCTTGGGATAAAAAAAATGTGTCATGAAAAGATGAACTACATGTAGCACGTTAAAAATCTGGCTTAGCAGAACAGTATATAACAACGCAGGGTGGTATGTAATATTTGCCACTGAACGTTAAATTTCATTCCACTATCATCAACTAATATAACTTCGATTGAATTAATGTGATTCATGTGAAAATAGATAAAATAAATGTTAAGATAGAACTTTTTCAGTTCATTTCTTACATCGCGTTATTAAACATACATGATTAATAAAAAAGGGGACCTCGGTGGCAGAGTGCATGTCTAAGTAGTCGAACTACTGTATCACTAGCCTGTCAACACTAAGGTTGTTAGTTCAAATCCAGCACGTGGCAGGTGCGCTCGACTCCAATATTAATTGATTAGGATTGTCAATTTTCCTACCGAGTGGTTCTCTCCGGGCTTTCTGGCTCCCACCACCAATAAAAGCTTACCTCCGCGAAATAGCACAATAGTGCTGAAAGTGACGTTAAACACCAATCAGTCAATCACAAAAAGGTATGAACCAGTAGTCTTTCGTGGTGTCCAGGTCAATCTTCTTTTTAAAACATACCGACGGGATTAATTATTAATGTTTGTGTCAGATGTATGCAATATCAGTCACTGGACGTTAAACAAACAACAAGTTGATCATATCATTTGTGTAGATGTTTACTTTTGTTGCTGCATTATATTTGTTCCTAGATATAAGAAGATGTGGTATGAGTGCCAATGAGACAACTCTCCATCCAAGTCAAAATTTATAAAAGTAAACCATTATAGGTCAAAGTACGGTCTTCAACACGGAGCCTTGGCTATAAAGGGCCCCAAAAATTACTAGTGTAAAACCATTCAAACGGGAAAACCAACGGTCTAATCTATATAAAAAACGAGAAACGAGAAACACTTATGAACCACATCAACAAACGACAACTACTGAACATCAGATTCCTGACTTAGGACAGGTGCAAACAAATGCAGCGGGTTTAAACGTTTTAATGGTACCAAACCTTCACCCTTATCTGAAACAATAGTGTAACATAACAACATAGAAAGACACACTATAAAACGTTTTGCCTTCCTATTATATATTTGACAAGTACATTTGAATGTGATTGTAAGTACAAATAAATCTTTGGTAGTATTTCAATAGTTAAAAAAAAACCAAACAAACAGTATTATTATTATAAGATTAATGATAATATGCATATTGTCATCAATCCAGAATAGACTATTTTCATACAATCGGTAAAATTTGGGGAAACACTTATCTGTAACATAAATAATCGGTACAATTTGGGGAAACACTTATCTGTAACATAAAACAGTTATTTTTTCCCAAAATTGTGTCGATTGTAAGCTTGTCTTTACTTCTTTTGGTTGCTCTTACTTGACAGAGTACCAGAGTGTCCTACCACATAGTAGGAACGTCTCGAAAAATTATTTACACCGGAGTCAAAAGAAGAAAATATGAAAATGGTCTATTTTGACCTCCATATTCATAGGTGAGTAGCAGCATTTTCAGAAAAAAAACTACATACGTTGACCTATAGCTGTTAATTTCTGTGTCATTTGGTCTATTGTGGAGCGTTGTCTTATTGGCAATCATACCACATCTTCTTTTTATATGTATGACTAAACCCAGTATTTTGTGTAAGGCTGTACGACAATTCGTATTGTTAACTGAGTTGTCCATAGTATTTTTCAAAATACTGAGGATTTGCTACCCCAGGAATAGATTACATTAGCTGTATTTGGCAAACCTTTTGAAATTTTCTGTCTTCCATGCTTTTCATCTTCCTACTTTATTTGGTCTTTTAACTTTTTCTTTTCGAGCGTCATTGGTGAGTCTTTTGTAGACGAAACGCGCGTCTGGCGTACACAATTTTGACCCTGGTATCTTAGATGAGTTTATTGTATACTGTTACCTAAAATTGCTCAAATCTTTGTCCTTTGGTCAATATGGCAATCGTAGCATAGCTCCTTATTTGTTTTTATGTTTAACAAATAATTTTATTTGGTTTTAATCAATCGATCGATTGTTGCTTGACTAACGTGTAATGGCCAATATTGCATACAAACTCATGGCGATAACAAATTTAACATAAATCAAAAATTAATTAAATTATGTACAGTTCGAATGACTAGCCGGAAAATTGGACTACAACTAAAAAACAGGATATAAATGATAGGTCGAAAATTTGTCATCTATATCCATTGCTTAATGAACCTGTTATTGTAAGATTGCTTTAGCTTTTAGGTAACTTAGCTTCAGACTTTATGCTTAGCTTGTATTTGCAAAATTATTTAGATTTTTTTGCTTTTTTTACAATTTCATTTTATTTCTTAAAATTCACAATTTGCCAAAAAAAAAATCAGTAAATAAATTCCAGATTTCTAAAAAAAAACCCAAACTAATTGATTTCTGTTCAACACATCAGCCACTATTGATAAGCTTGCATGTGGTCATCTTCATTTTTTTCATATTACATAAGACAACCTATCTTATAAACTAATATATGAATTATCTATAAATGTTATTTAAATAAAAACCGAATGATTTATGTAAAATAAAAATAAGTTCAAACATGTATTATATTTTGTAGGACTGGGTGGTGAATATGCTTGAAGAAATGAAGTTTACTGACGACACCAAAAGTATCTGGTTAGGAGTCAAGCGAACTGCCAGTGAATGGTTAAACAGTCAACCTTATTACCAATGGCTTGATGGCCAAGCATACAATGATTCCCTAATGTAAGTACAGAACCTATTAGATTGCTATGTTTGTCTATAGAACGAATGAATGAATATTTTTCGCAAAAGCATAAACATGATATGGCAAAAATAACAACATATATTGCATAATATAAAACATGTCTAGACAGCAGAGAACAGTTATTAGTAAAATACTCTGACAAATGTGAAGTTATGAAACTCTATGAGATCTAATATTCCATGCAGTTTTTATATATATAATTACATGATTTGATAGTAAGAGACTTACTAAATTCTTGAAATAAATTTATACAAAAGTTTATGACTAACAATAATACTTTGGTAAAATGTGTGTTTGCACAGATCTATAAGCTGGACAAACAAGAACAAAATGGTATTCATCTTCAATAACACACATTTTACAGCATCTACAGACACTTTTTTTCTTGAAATATTATTGTATGAATTATATATGACATATCGTGCACAAATCGATCATTATATTTGCTCATAAACCTGGTTATTTTCAATTTAGATCTGTGTCTATTTAACTTGATATGAAAATGAAAAAAGTCCTTCCGCTGTTCATGTTTATTTTTGGTATTTGGTTCTTTCTGTAGAGCTAACATACTTTTCCAGATATTTATTCTATATTTTGTCTTTAGTTTTAAAAGTCAATGTAAACATGCACAGTTTGAATTGATTTGTCTGATTCGATATTTGTCTAATTCGATCGAAAACAAAACAGGCGTTTACTTTTAATACGTATCTATTGTATTTCATCTACTAGAAATATAAAAAAAAACACTCAACTTCTATGTTTTTGGGTGATGCTAAACGGCGGAAACGGAATACGTCTGTTCTGTTTTCCGTTTCCGCCGTTTAGCAACACCTTATATTTTCCAAGTTATTAGTATGGTACATAAACACCTTTGGGACGTTTTATAATTTAGTTGTATTTTTCTGTACTTGATGCTTGCAAATATATTCCGTTTCCATTTTAGGCCAATTCACGATCTCGGTACAGAGGAAGGAGATAATTGTGGGTCCACTGACGGTCAGTTCCTGTCAATTGGGCCTTGTTCAAAGAATTCGAACAGAGGTTTCATCTGCATGAAGGATTTTGGTACGGAAATAGATAGTACAAGAAAAGCAATTTATAGTATAGTTATTAAGTGAAGTTTAATATTTTTTACCCAAGATTTGTTGAATGTTGTTTGTGGTTAAAGTCCAGTGGTAAATAAAAGAAAATATCTAGCGTTCAATCAAAAAACAAAGGTCCAATAAAAAATTAGAACACAATTGCCAAAAAAACAAACAACCGTCCACAAAACACCACACCAAAAACGAAATATTAAGCAACACGAAATATACCAACAAAAGACCGGGGGTTCCAACGGCTTCTGTGTTATTTATGTTCAAATGAACTATATATTGAACATCGTCAAGATACGAAAATTTAGATAAAATACGTAGATGCTACAAAGTTGAACGACCGGTGGGATTTTTAGATGGACATGTTTATTGTCACTTGACTTGATCTTTCTAAACAGGTAACTCTCATAGGACATCGTAAAGAAGTTTTTTCGGTCGTTCATTTAAATGCAGATCGTGGCAATGTCCGAATATACCGCCTAATTCTGACTGAACTTTGCTTCATGATTATAAATTCCGTGTAAACAAACTTACACCTTTATTGCATTGTTCAAATGGATAAAAAACTTTGTTCTTATACATTAGTCATCATTATGGTTGTCTCAAAAGGAGAGTATTTAGGGACGACATCAAAAGATCAATGTAGGATAAAAAACTAAAATCAAATAGTTTGGGGGTTGGGGGGTTAAAATTACTGCAAGTTTTGTTTATCAAAAATCGATTTTACATATATCCATATTGGTCAATTAATTCTTCCCAAATTAAGTTAAGAGGAGGGGGTTCAATGAAAAAACTATGTGAATTAAGTTTTTTATCCTACATTGAACTTTTGATGTCGTCCCTTACGATATTATTTTTAAAATTTCTAACATCAAAATAATGTTATCCGAATAATTCAGTCCCTCTCCGTCATTGATCTCTTCTTTTTTTGCGTTAAGGATAAACACCTCTGAGGAGTAAAACATTTCTAGAATTATACTTTTTTTCTTATCCTGACTTTTGCATTTATATGACTGTAATAAAGTGATTCATGAAGAAAACATCGTATGGTGGTGCACTTCTTTTTTTGCTACGGCCATTTGAAAGTACCCCATTCTTAATGATTTTCCCATCTTTTATAAGTTTCTTCCCATTTTTTGGGTTATTATCATGAAAAAAATCAGTTTCGCAATTAAACTTTTTTTTCATACTTTCACTAAGGATGAAGTGGACCAATCTGAATAAATTTAACTTAAAAAAAACTATAGGTTGGTGTTAATATTAGAAAGTTTTATACAATTTTGTTGCCTAGAACAAAATGCATTTTATTTCAACTTCTTTGTTATAAATGATTGAAAAATACATATCTAGTAAGAATTTTGAAAAGAAAAAATTGATATGGGATGTACATATTTTTGGTAAAATCTTTTCTTTGTACCACTCAACATTTCGGCTGATGACACTAACCGGATTGGTTATAAAATTTGAAAAATTTATTACTCAAAACTGCTTATTTGTTCACAATTTTTTTCAAAGAGTTTAGGTTGATTATAATATTTTTTAAATTCATTGATATTTTTCACTTGTATCACATGTTTTGGAAATAATTCCCGAACGAGATTTCAACGAGACTGACACATCAGAAGAATACATCCTTAATGTAGCATGGAACAGCGGAATATAACAACTGAATTATTCGTATTACGGAGTAAATGATAAGGTGTTCATAGAATTGAATATTTTTTTTTCATTTTCCAATTCTTTACTCTAAATGAAAGCAAATACAGCTCCGTTATTTCTTTGGTGTGAAAGAATTTTTCATTTTCCATTTCGTTCGTAAATATGACAAATCAACTATACAATTATCCATCTACCAATTAGTTAATACACTGATTGCTGCTATATGTAAACCTTAAGCCAGTTTGCCTATATAAGTAGATTTTACCAGTAATTATATGTTTATTTCAGACTAATTCAATTTGTTTATATTGCCAGTAATTATATGTTTATTTCAGACTAAGTCAATTTGTTTATATTGCCAGTAATTATCTGTTTATTTCAGACACAGCATGCGGTGGCAGGTTTCGCCTTAGAAAAAAGGAACAGTATATTACCTCCCCTGGATATCCCAATGAATACACAGACAGCATGGAATGTCAATATGTTATACAGGTGAACAACTCTTTATTGAAATAAATGTTGATAGAATAATGGTTTAATAGTAGATTTTTAAACGTGCAGTTGCAAATATAACAGGTATATTGAGGAGTAAAATGCAAAAACAGGTTTTAAGGTGGATTGGGATATTAGTTGAATATCACACTTACCAAACGGTTTCTGTTTTTGCCTTTCCAAGATTTTGAGTCTGGGGCTACTGGATAAGGAATTCTATTTCTCACTTTCAAGACATGTCTCAGTTTCTCAGTTCAAAATTGACATTTTTAAAGTTGGAAATTCCAAGATTAATGTTGAAAATTCCAAGATTAAAGTTGAAAATTCAAAGATTAAAGTTGATAATTCTAATATTAATGTTGGAAATTCCAAGATTAAAGTTGATAAATCCAAGATTAAAGTTGGAAATTCCAAGATTAATGTTGAAAATTCCAAGATTAAAGTTGACAATTCCAAGATTAATGTTGAAAATTCCAAGATTAAAGTTGATAAATCCAAGAAAAAAGTTGGAAATTCCAAGATTAAAGTTGATAATTCCAAGATTAAATCGACAATTTGAAAAAAAAAGAATGGCCTTAATACGCTACCGTAGATACCAGTCTTTCAACATTTGTGTGTACCTAATATCTTTTATTCTGGAATAATTATATGCTGCCAACAGAAATCCAAGATTCTGTTGAGCATACATTTTACGATTATATCATAGTCTCTTTAGTTATCACGTGATTAATCATGCTAAAAATTGCATATGGAGATTGTGATTGGGAATTATTAGTACCTTCAATAAACCTACAAGTTTTACTCGCAGAAAACTACCAACGTTCAACGTTAAAAAAGTTCGAGCTTTGCTAGCGAGTGGGCGAAACATTACTTTCCTGAATATCACAAGAAAAATTTCGCCACAAAAACAAATCGTTATCGATTCGTTTCCTTTTTGCTACTTATTGTTCTGCTATATGAAAAAAATATTCCAGAAATTTTATGAATAATATTTTTATAGACAAGGCGAGACAGACGGATAGAAGTAACATTTGAGGTTTTTGAACTGGACGTAACAAGTGGTTGTAAAGACGATTATGTTCTAGTACAAAAATCAAACAGTGCATTAGATACAGGAAAGAAGTAAGTTAAAATTATAGGTGCAATTTGTAAGTTTACAAAAAACTTTTTTATCCTATTATTATGTATCATATATTCTTGTTCTTTAATAAGAGTTTGAAAAAAATAAAATATTTGCTTTATTTATTTAAGTGGGGTATATTTCAAAGATATCTGTAAAAATCTGATAATTTTAGGAAAGGACAAGGTACGATAAGGGGCGTTTTTGGCCCCCTCTCCAAATAAGTTTATATTAATATCATTGATGGTCTTAGTATAGAAACTTGAAAAAAAACAATGATTTTTATTGTGGTCCTGTGAAAGGAAGGTTGCCTAGCAACGGTTTTTATCAAATATCAAAAGTATCAAAATGGTTACAGCAACAAAACATGAATTAAATCAGCGGAAGTTGACAAATCTATTGATGTTTAAAAAAATATAGGTTTTAAAATTTTAATGGCACGTCACTTTTAATTTGAATGAAAATTTTGGGCCGTTCTCTGGTACTTATAATACCTTGTCCTTTGGCAAAATAAACATACTATTGGGTGTTGCCCAAGATAAGTTTTGGCGATGGGTTATTATTGATAATTTTTGGCGATGGGTTATTATTGATATTTTTTGGCGATGGGTTATTATTCAATCTTATAAATGCCTTCTGTTTTGGACTTAACTATTTATTATTTGTTAGTATTTATTGTGAGACAGTATATTGTCTTCCATTATTACTTTATATGTTATTCTGTCATAGCTGTGTACGTGCAAAAGAGAGGCAAAAGATACCAAAGGGACACTCAAACTCATAAGTCGAAAACAAACTGTAGTGGTGGGTCGAGGGAGGTCCGGGGTTGGAACCCCCCTTTCTTTGACATTCACTGCTTTTGAATGGGGACATATGGTTGGAACCCCCCCCCCCCCCCCCTTTTTTTAAAAATGGCTGGATCCGCCCCTGAACTGACAATGCCATGGCAAAAAAGCAAAAAAAAAAACGACCAAAAGACAAACAACAATACACAAAACACAACATAAAAAACCGAAGACTGAACAATACGATGTAACACGATAAATATAAATGGTTTGTACATATATGTAATGTTAAATGATGAAACTTCGGTAAATTTTGAAATGGATTTTATTTAAATTCGTTCTCTATCGTTCTCAAATAAGATAACTGGGAAGCTGGCAATTGCTTTAATTCCTGTCCCACAAATCCTACAAAAAATCTAAGCAAATAGACAATATCTTTCAAATAAACTTATTGATAATTCAAATAGTACATGCATGTATGAAAAAAGGTTTAAACACGTTGTTATGTTAAAGTATCAAGCTAAATCAGTTAATCTTAAATAATGCTTTGTTTTCTTGTAGATATTGCGGCGAAGGACTGCGAAACAAAACATTGATTTCCGATGGCAATCTTATGATCCTCACCTTCATATCAGACATGCGCACATCTGGTATAGGATTCAAAGCCAAAGTAAAGGCAATACCACCGAGGTATGGAGCTGGACGAGGAGATCCGACAAACTTTCTTGGTTCTTTCTATTCGGTTTTCTCTTCAAACAACGAACAGACCCAATCTAATTCCTATCTTGAAAGTGCGTGGAATATATTTAGAAATATGGACCTCTCAAATATTCTTCGATAAAAGAAGGAAAAAGACGTTTGTGTTGCAGTTCCAACAAACATTGCTGTGACAATGCTTTTTCAACATTTAGCTCTTTCCAGAAAACTTCTAAATTTGACTCTAAAATTATACGAAACAGATTTTTCCTGTTAATTTTCATTTCATGTATGCTTTATATAAGTGTCTTCTTTTCTTTCAATTGCATAATTCTCATGACTTAAGGGAAATATAAGATGAAGCTTTTTGATATTGAATTTACATTTTCTCACATTTTTTTCTACATTTGAGTGATCTTGTATTTCTTTTTAAAATTGAATTTTGAATCACAATTTCAAATCTAAAAGTTTCGAAAATGACTTTCTGGAAATATGTGTACTGATGCCAGTTTCTTCTATATGAGATTATTTTATGTTTCTATTAATACAAAATGTATTATGTATAAAATTAAATGTATATATTTGAGTGTTAACAAACTTTGTATACAGACAGACCTACAAACCTGTTTGAAAGGTCAGTAGTGTTTTTGGAGTGGGTTGGTGGTTTATATCATTTTCGTCTAATCGGATTATGTCCACTTCTCTCATAGCTTGAGTCTCTGGTCTAACATTACCCCCAAACATGGATGGGTACATAGATGGATTTTTACGTCCCACTTGCATTTGTAAGCCTTATACCATGTGTTTCTTTAGTACCAGAGCATGAGCCTGGTTTTGTTTGGCGAATACCAGTTCTTCGTTGTAGTAGATTAATTAGCTACATAAGCAGGATATGTGCTTGCAATGAAAGAGTCTGCATAAAAAAAAACCTGCTATCCGACCCCAATATCTGACTACGGTAATGATTCTGGTTGTTTTACCCAAATCATTGTAATTCCGAATGACAAGGTGCGCTGTATAAAGATTGTATTTTATAAATAAAAGGAAGTGTAAAATTTAGGTAGAAAATATTACATTTGAAAATAAAATTAACCCTTTGCAAATTTTATGCATCTGAGGCACTTTTCTGGATTTATCCACATTGGGAATGCTTAAAGCGTCAAGGATGCCGTATCCCAACAACCGAAAACCCAGAAGGCATGCACCAAGTGATCAACGTGATACTGCCATCGGCAAAAGAAAAGTGTCTATACAATATGTCACTCCGAGTCCAAAAGAAATCACAAATTAAATACAGATGAGAAGATTTTCCATCAACATCAAGTTTTCCGAATGACAAAAACTTGGGAAAGATGCAAAAGACAACAACTGACGAGATTTCTGACACGGAACAGGACATAAATTAAAGAGGCGGGGCCTAATTCCCATTTGTTTGTTTCACTCACATGGTCAAACTCTAAAAGTTGTCAAACTATACTGGAAATGAATTTAAAAGGCGTCTATGTCATATATTTTAAATATTTCTAATCAATTTTACATACTTCCATAACATTAAAATGTTGTTCTACGCTGCAGGTAACTGTAGAAGATCTTTTGATACAAAACTTTTAATATTATTGGTTCTTTTTCTGAAAATGTTGGACTGAAGAACGTCGATAACCAAAATGAACTGATTTGTATCCGTAAAAGAAATTACAGCTTATTTACTTCCAACAGAATTTTGGTTTAATATGCTATCAAATAATTGGGACTAAAAATTTGACAAAGTTGCTTTTTTTGGCCATTTTACGGGCGTTAACTATTTTGGCAATTTTATAATGAAAATAACCGATAATGTTGTTAGCACAAAGTAGGGCTTTGAAAAAATGAATTTAAGTAAAAAATGAAATATTTTTTGAAAAAGTCCCTGGTATGAAACAATTGAGGGGAAACTGGTTTTGTTTTTATTTCAACCCCTTTCAGTCTAGAACAACAGAGTAACAAATTTAAAGGTACATAAAAGTACTGCGGTTAGTTTGAGATAGACTTTTAAATAATTACATTACATGTATGTTTCATGAGAATCTGTTAGTTTGATTGGCTAACAACAATCGCACGCCATTCAAAAATTAACCTTCATATCAAAATGAAATGTTACATTCGTGATGACACGTGCTTCCACAAAAAAGTCCACAGGTAAATAAAAGAATAACTTTATAAAAAAAAATTTTCATGGCCTTAATAGCATGGAGGGGTCGTTTACTGGATTTATCCAATCCGCCAGTGAGATGTGTGTCCGTCTGATGTGATAACAAGCTGGTTGGATACGTTTAATATAAAAATAGGTGATGACAAGCTAGTAGGATTCGTTTAATATAATAACAGTCAATCTCTGTTAAAACTGGATATACGAATTTTGATCCCTAGTGACTGTCTATAACAAAAATACAAAGACAACTTGAAGAACAACTAAATAAACGTCAATGAGACAGCAACCCAACGATACTCATGTAAAATTAAAACTTTATTCCTTTATATTGTTTTGAATCAACTCTCCTTTGTACAATCGATCGAAAGCAAATTCAATATCAAAATTTGATTATAGAGATTTCAGCAACAAATCAAAGTATTGATTATGTGCAATTTTGTTAAACGCATGGGAGATTAATATGATCGATTGGTTTTCTATATTCTATATAAATTAGTGTATGCACACATACTTTATCAAGGGACCCGGGGTTGGGAAATGATTATAATGGTTTCCTTGCGTTCCTATTTCAACATCAAAAACCCGAGGAAAAATTGTTTTACAAAAAATAAATGGTAAGACCTAACTTAACTGTCTAAATAAATATAAATGGCCTTGTAAGAATTTGGAAAAATGATCTTGCCCAAGACCAAGACTACAACAAAATAAATATTCTGTCCCCACAAAATCAGTTTGTGTACAAAAGGGAAAGGAAATGGCCGCGTGCAACTAACCATCAGTGTCCAAACGAAATGAATGTAAGCAACTAAATTTTACAATACTGCCTTCAACAATGAGCAAAACATATACCGTATAGTTAGCTAAAACAAAGTCCCGGCATTGCAACCGTCAGTTCTATCATGAAACAATAAGTTAAAATTTCATGTTAGTTAGTGACTTCATAAACTGAACATTCCTTTCCGTGATCAGTCATAACAAGAAACTTATTCTTAGTCGGATGGAAAGCGATATCACGTGGGGTTACAAGATTTTCTAAAACTGGTTCCTTGTATCCTGTAGTCGTGTTTATTCGTACAATGGAACCTACTTCTTTGTTGGAAGTACATGCATATAATTGCCCCTTCTCATCGACGTCTAGTCCTGTGATCTCATTGTCTCTTTTCAGAGTGTAGGGAATACGACTTATTGAGCCACTTTCAGTCATATGTTTAATTGATTTGCCATCAGAAATAAATATTCCATTATGGCCTTCCATGCACATAAACTCCAGCTTAATTTTAGTTTTTAAAGACTTAACAATTGTTTGATCTTCATTTAAGACAATAACTTCCCGAGAGTTGGTATTTGAATAAATCGTGTCATTGTTAACCTTGACACAATTGAAACAGCCGCTTGTCTGGGTAAACCAAGGGTCCTCTGTGAAGTTCTCTTTATTAATTTTGCAGAGGCCTACGGCGGGAAAAGATGCATAAATATCATTTTTCAAATCACAAGTTATGTCTAAAGGGCAATATTTCACTTGTGTTGATTGAACACTGGCGCTGGCAATGTCATACATACTTATCAAAAAGTGGCATGAAAATACTATGCGATTATCTAAAGTGAAACAAGCAGAGTAAATTCTTGTAATTTTGAGCTGAGAACAACTGATCTTCTGATCAAGAAGGACTTTTCCTTGTTGAAAATGATAGGTGTGATCTTGCTGACCATTTAGTGGTCCTGGAACTGTAGTTTTACTCTTTTCTATTTTTATTCCAGATATTTTAGCTAAAATTGGTTTAATCTTTCCTATGAAGTCATATGAAGACGACCGAATTTCGTATGCTGTTAATTTCTCCTGAAATTTATCTAAGAAAGCTTCCTCCTCACCTTGTAAAAGATCTAGCGTCTTAACGGCTGCGAGAATTCTTGTTTCGGAAGCATGCTCTGCAAGCGTTTTAATAGCGGTTTGCCAGGTCTCCGATTTAATTTTTCTTGTTGTCAGATCTTTAATATTCTGTTCAATTTGGTCTTTGCATTCTTTATCAAGGACATCTACTTTTTTATCGATTACCTGTTCCAGTTCATCTAAGAACCCGATAAGTTCCTTTCGAATATTTCTTAACTTTTCTTTACATTCGTCTTTCTGGACAGATACTAAACTCAAATTGTTCTTGTAAGCCTCGACTATTCTACCTATTATAAGCGAAAAATCTGACATTCGCCGTTTTAAATCCTCTATCGATGTTCCCGTTCTCACGCCTTTTGATGCTTTTTCCATTGACCTGACATCTTTGCATGCGCTATGCAATTCTCGAAGACAAAAAGCGCAACAGATTGTATCATGTTGTACACAAAAGAATGAAAGTTTCTGATCCTCGTGGATATTACAAATTTCTGGAATGTCTAAAATCGATGAATCTACTTTTTCAGCTTCAAGGATTGAGATTGTCTTGTGGTTCGCTGTTATTTTCCCTTTACGGTGAAATTTCGCGCACTCCACACAGAGATATTCAATGCAGTCGCTACAACACGAAACTGCTTTTTGATTTTCTCCATCTCGATTACATGGCTCACACCTCTGTACATGTATGTTGGAGGCGCCAGCCATTCTTTTTAGGACGCCAGGTATGTTTGGGGAATTTTTTTCTACAACAAACAATTTTAAGTGATCAAAAGTACATGTTTTTATATATTTTTTTTAATAACACGCATTGAAAGATGTTTTAACAATATATTGCACTTATACTATTTGTTAAATGAATATTTGAACTTTAATAAGTTCTTATGTACCATATTTTGTTGTTTATAGTATTTATATTGAAATGTTTTGTCATATAAACGACCACGGCAATGTTCTAATATACACCTACGGCTGAAATATGCTGGCGTATGATTTGCCTATTGAGTGCAGAATGTGGAAGCCGGTCATAGGTTTTCAATAGTCGATTCCCTAAGCTTTATAACAAAGAAGATGTGGTATGATTGCCAATGAGACAATTCCCCACAAGAGACCAAATGACACAGAAATTAACAACTATGGGTCACCGTACGGTCTTCAACAATGAGCAAAGCCCATACCGCACAGTCAGCTATAAAAGGCCCCGAAGTGACAATGTAAAACAATTCAAACGATCGAGAAAACTAACTTGTTGAGTGGTCATTTAAATAGGCGCTAGGTTTTCGGTTTGTCACCTTTTTTTGTTTTATGTATTTCTGTCATAGAGTGCATCATACAATGCATGAACGGTGACCTATTATAGTTTATAATTTCTATGTCATTTGGTCACTGATGGAGACTTGTCTCATTTTGGCAATTATACCACATCTTATTTTTATATGATACACTTGCGACTTGTTATAAAGAAGGTAATTTAGTCAAAATCCAACAGAAACAAATGTTTTGAGAGAAATAAAAGAACAGAGTTCCGATGTCCCCCGCACCTTTTTGCCTGTCCAAGAGCAATAACTAAAACTAGAGGCTTGAAAGTGCCTGTGTCGCTAACTTTGGTCTATGTGCATATTCAACAATGGACACTCTCCAACATTGTAGACGAGAATAGAATTCATGACAAAAATATATGTTTTGTTGTTCTTGTATTGCTGATAATTTAGTCTGTTTAGTTTCTCTCTATCTTTTTAAGTTTTTGCTCAAAACACAAAAGAGGGTAAAAAAATCCTCATTTAAGGGCAATCACTCCTATAAAGAGTGACAGTCTACTACCTATATCGGCAAAAATTAACTTGTAAGTAGATCTTGCCTTGCTGATCATTTTTGCATATTTAAGTTTCTATCTATCTATTATAATTTTAAAGATACAAGACAAAAACGCAAAAGATTGGTAAAAGTCATCATCAAAGGGCAATAACTCTATGAGACTTATTTGTAGAACGTGTCTTGCTGAATATTTTTGCAATTAAAAGTTCCTCTCTATCTATTATAGTTTTCAAGATAAGAGGCAAAAATGAAATGAAATAAAATGGTAAAATTTGTCATTTAAGGGCAATAACTCCTATACGAAGTTGTCTGGCAGTTTTGACGAATACGGACATTTGGTTGAGCTCAACATTCTGAACATTTCATCATCTGTAAGATTTTCTCTATTTATAATGGTTTTCAAAATAATAGACACAACTTGCATTTAACCCCTTTGTTCTATTTTAGCCATGTCGGCCATCTTGATTGCCAGGCGGTATCATTGGACATTTTTTGTATACTAGATACCCCAATGATAATTGTGACCAAGTTTAGTTAAATTTGGCCCAGTAGTTTCAGAGGAGTAGTTTTTTTTTATAAAAGTTAACGGACGACGACTACGACGGAAGACGACGGACGACGAACGCCAAATAATGAGAAAAGCTCACCTGGCCTGAGCTAAAAATATATATTTTTGGTCCTTAAAATCGTTCTATAGATATCTCATAGAAATGTAGGCTTGAGAGCGATTACAAATAAATTTTCCATATAATTAATATTTCCAAGGATATAACTTTTAAAAAAATAGTTCATCGGCACTGAGTTTCGAACTAGCCCGATACATTGCGCCAAAAGCCTTTGATGTAAATGTCATACAAATGTGGCAAGAATTGTACATATTAGAGCACTTACAATGCAATGTTTCATATACTTGATATTGTCGATGGGCATAATTCTATGAAAAATAGAGGATCGGCACAGATTTCAAAGGTGTCAGAGACATCGCTGACATACACTTTTGAAATAAATTTCATAAAAGCTGTATAGAATTGTGCACGCACTTTTCCATATAACTGATATTTTCAAGGGGCGTAACTCTTTAAAAATAGATGATCTCATTGTTTTTCTTCCTGGTCCGAGACATAACAGACAAACAATGATACCTTTTGATAAAATTTCATAAAATTCTGGCCAGAATTGCATTCATAAGTGAGAGCGCTTACATTGCAATTATTCTTATAATTAGTATTTCCAAGGAGCATTATCCTTTTCAAAATAGTTAATCTGCACTGATTTTCGAATTTGTCCGAGATATTGCTAAAAAAAAATACATGTGAGAGTGCTTACAAGACTGGACAGGAGGACGGACAAACAAACTATCGTTATTTCTGTGTCCACTCAACGCGTCGCGGGGGGGGGGGGGGGGGGGGGGAGATAACATTCAGATGTGCTAGCGATAGTGTACATAAATGTAAAAAATGGATAGTTCATTTTAGGTCACAAACCAAATGTGTCTTACCCTCGATGACGGTGAGGTTCAAAAAAGCATGAATCGCTCTGCTGACAAAGATATGCAATATTTTATTGCCATATTTTGTTCACCAGTATATCAATCAATTATTTTTATAAAAAATCCCAAATTATTTATTTTTATTAATATTCAGCTTTTTCAAGTGCCTCAAGTGAAATCAGTGTCTTTTAATTAATTTACTCTGTTCAGTGCCAGAATCACATTTTTTTTTTCAGCAAACGTAACAAAATATTTATAAAATCTATTAAGCCCTAATCCTTTCTCAAAATCGAATGGAACCCCGCTTAATAGTCATTAAAAGTATTTAGTACCATTGAATCATCTTAGTTTCCTTGTTTATGAAGTCAATATCTAAAAACAAGAATGTGTCCATAGTACGCGGATGTACTATCATTTTCTATGTTCAGTGGACCGTGAAATTGGGGTCAAAACTCTAATTTGGCATTAAAATTAGAAAGATTATACCAAAGGGAACATGTGTACTAAGTTTGAAGTTGATTGGACTTCAACTTCATCAAAAACTACCTTGACAAAAAACTTGAAACTGAAACGGGACAGGCGGACAAACGAACGGACGGACGGACGGACGGACGAACGGACACACAGACCGAAAAACATAATGCCCCTAGCTGGGGCATAAACATAAAAGTTTTCGTAAAAGAGCACGACAGTTTCAGTCATGTGACTAATTACTACCTTTTCCCTTGCTGGTGAGGTTTGTTAATTACAATTTCTGTCTACGTATTACAGTTTTAAAGATAAAAATGTGAAAAAGTTAATATAGGTGCCAAAATGATCATTTAAGGGCAATAACTCATATAAGACAACTGGAAATTTATGTCATGTTTACTTATTTGTAGAACTAACGTTTACTAATCGTGTTTGAGGTTTCCCATATATCTCTATTCTGTATAGCTTTCAATAATATATCGGTAAATTCCACAATCATAACAAAATCGGTAATAAATCGTCTGGCTGGACAAACGGGGGAGAAGATCTTGATATTCAATAGCACTGGCCTGCAAGATTTTCTCTATAATTGTGGTTTAAAAATATATGGTAATTGCTTCCATATAACCCTTATATTCTCTTTGGTTGTGTTTTTTTTTTTTTTTTTTGCCTATGGCGGCCTTGATGAGCTTGATAGGCAGGAACACAAAACACAATTTTATATATTACAATCACTTAGAATCATTTAGCTGATGTTTGATTGAAATTGATCCAGTGGGTTCAGATAAAAAGATGCCGATAGACGGATGCCAAGTGATGGAAATAGTTCACACGACTCAAAGGATAAGGTTATATATATATATATATATAGCGTAACAGGAAATGCTCAAAATGATAATGAATTGATTGTGAATTCGTTACATCCAGTGGCAAATAGTCTCATGCATATTGAGGACGTGATCAAATTTACAATTCATAAAATAGCGTGAAATTTAGGCATTCAAATACCAAACGTACATTTAAACAAAGGAATTGGACAAAAGAAAAGGCAAAGCCTATACCAATCCTTTCCCATATCATATTTATCTGATAATTCATAGCTCATTCATTATTGCAATGCGTCAAGGAAGACAACCCCTACGTCTTGATATATTTTATTGGGTTTGCATTTTTAATAAAAAAAATTATAATTAATTCTTACCAGTTCACTACTTAAAATATTAATGTACTGTGTTATACCACATTATTAGTAATGGTAGGGAAACAACTAGAATCTTTTAAGTGATATGTACTCAAATTCACTGCAACAAAGTTTTTATACTTATATAAATAATATTATTGTTTATTCTAATACATAGTATGACAGTATACCATCTTATTACAAAGTCAGTTAATTTCATGATTTTATTAATAAAAAAAATTAAATGAACTATTGATAAATATATTTGCAAAAAGATTGAACACAAATTGATTATTTTTTTTTTATTTGATGTTAGATTTGTTTTTATTAAAACCCGAAAGTGGTAAAAATTACACTGTGGTTAAAGTCTAATGAATAGTTATACTATTAGAGTGTTGTTTTATCTTTCACTGTAATTAATTTTGATATATGAAAGTTTTGGTTATCGTTTGTTAAAGTCATTTAGTTAAATGGCTATCCTGCAATAAGATATTAGCCTAGCATGTTCTCGAGGTCACGTAGTAAATACTTTGATATGATTTATATGTTTTGTTTTTGTAAACAAAGAGTTGGAGAATATTTGGAGATTATTTAGATCAGTTGGAGAATATCTAGAGATTATTTAGGTCAGTTGGAGAATATTTGGAAAATATTTAGGTTAGTTGGAGAATATTTAGGTGATTTGAAGAATATATTGGAATTGATGGATATATAAGGGCCATCTGTTTCAGTGTTAGGAAGAATTGAGTACGAGAAGGAAACGATAAAATATGAAACGTTAAAAAGTGTTTGTGATAGTCTAGGCAGATCTTGGCAGAACCTTGTGAGATTCAGTGAAAGTTGACTTATATAACTGTTGGGTTTTTTTAAACAGTATTGGACACTGTTGCGTGTTTTTGTGCGCACAGTATTGGACAATGTTGCGTGTTTTTTTTTTTTGTTTTTTTTTTGTGCACAGTATTGGACACTGTTGTGTGGTTTTTGTGTGCACAGTATTGGATACTGTTGTGTGGTTTTTGTGTGCACAGTATTGGATACTGTTGCGTGTTTTTATGCGCACAGTATTAGACACTGTTGCGTCGTTTTCGTGCGCACATTATTGGACACTGTTGTGCGGTGTCTCCGCACAGTATTGGACACAGTTGGGCGGTTTTTGTCCGCACAGTATTTGACATTGTTTTGTGGTTTTTTGTCCGCACAGTACTAGACACTGTTGCGTGGTTTCCGCACAGTATTGGACACTGTTGCGGAGTTTTTGTCCGCACAGTGTTGGACACTGTTGCGTGGTTTTTATGCGCACATTATTGGACACTGTTGTGCGGTTTTTTGTCTGCACAGTATTGGACACAGTTGGGTTGTTTTTGTCCGCTTAGTATTGAACACTGTTTTGTGTTTTTTTTTTGTCCCCACAGTATTGGACACTGTTGTGTGGTTTTTATCCGCACAGTATTGGACACTGTTGCGTGTTTTTTTGTCGAGCCTACGACTTCTGTCGCCGAAAGCTCGACATAGGGATAGTGACCTGGCGGCTGCGGCGGCGGCGTTAACTGGGAACCTTAAGTTTTCGTCTGTCATCTGTTCATTGTCCTTGATCTCATTTTCATGGTAAAGTGACTACTTGAAAAAAAAAGTTAAGATTTTTAGTATTCTGAATTTCTCTTTTATGATGAGTAATATGATAACTATACTTGGTATGTACGAAGCTTGCAAGGTCCTCATGCCCGTCAGACAGTTTTACTTGACCTCGACCTCATTTCATGGAGCAGTGAACAAGGTTAAGTTTTCGTGGTCAAGTCCATATTTCAGATACTATAAGCAATAGGTCTATTATATTTGGTGTACGGAATGGTTTTTAGGTGTACATGTCCACCTGGTACATGTAGCTGTCATTTGACCTTGACCTCATTTTTACGGTTCATTGCTCAATGTTACGTTTTTGTTTTTTTGTCTGTTTTTCTAATACCATAAGCAATAGGTCAACTATATTTGGCGTATGGAATAATTGTAAGGTGTATATGTCTGTCTTGCAATTATCATCGGACCATGACCTCTTTTTCATGGTTCATTGGTCAATCTTAAGTTTTCCTGGTTAAGTTTTTTTCTTAGATACTATATGCAATAGGTCAACTACGTTTAAAGCATATAATGATTGTAAGGTGTACATGTCTGTCTGGCAGGGTTCATCTGACCTTGACCTCATTTTCATGGATAATTGACAATGTTAAGTATTCATGGTTAAGTTTGTTTCTTAACGGGTAGATACTATGTGCAATAGGTCAACTATAGTTAAAGCATATTTGGTGTATGGAATGATTGTAAGGTGTACATGTATTTCCAGTTTGGTTTATCTGACCTTGACCTCATTTTCTTGGATCATGTTAAGTTTATATGGTAGTTGTAGTAAAGCTTTATATTTAGGACTACCAAAATAAAATCAATGAAGGCGAGACATTTCAGTGTGTTCACTCGTGTGTTTGCACAGTATTTGACACTGGTGTGTGGTTTTTTGTCCGCACAGTATTGTGTTATTAATAAGTACGATTCACTTTTGGAAGTTATGTGCCTATAGCCTATACATGACTTCATACAGGAACTTCTTAGGAAGAAAGATAAGAAGTTAGCAATATCCTTTAACTCTACGTTCCGCTATATAGATGATGTTCTCTCACTAAATAATACAAAATTTGGTGACTATGTTGAACGAATCTATCCCATCGAACTAGAGATAAAGGATACTACAGATACAGTTAAGTTTGCCTCATATCTTGACTTACATCTAGAAATTGACAATGAGGGTCGGTTGAAAACAAAACTTTACGACAAAAGAGATGATTTCAGCTTCCCAATTGTGAACTTTCCATTTCTATGTAGCAACATTCCAGCAGCGCCTGCATACGGAGTATATATCTCCCAATTTATACGATATTCCCTGGCTTGTGTTTCCTATCATGATTTCCTTGATAGAAGATTGCTGCTCACAAGGAGGCTTTTAAGCCAAGAGTTCCAAATGGTGAAGTTGAAATCATCCCTTCGTAATTTTAACGAAGGCATTACGAGTTGGTTGACCGTTATGGAATAACCGTTTCACAGATGATATCGGATATGTTCCTTATGTCGTAACTACAATACCCTTCCCTTTTCACGAATGTGACTTACCGAATTAGACTATTTACCGGATTTGTAATAACATAAGCAACACGACGGGTGCCACATGTGGAGCAGGATCTGCTTACCCTTCCAGAGCACCTGAGATCACCCCCAGTTTTTGGTGGGGTTCGTGTTGCTTAGTCTTTAGTTTTCTATGTTGTGTCATCTGTACTGTTGTTTGTCTGTTTGTCTTTTATTTTTGGCCATGGCGTTGTCAGTTTGTTTTCGATCTATGAGTTTGACTGTCCCTCTGGTATCTTTCGTCCCTCTTCTATATAGTTTCTCCAGCAGTTTTATTTGTGATTTGAATTATATATTGTATATTATGTAAATATTCGTCCAGATTGGAATTATAAATTAATAAACAATAGATTAGTCAATTTACTAGTATATTTTCATTTAACAAAACTGCACATTACTTGTTTATCTGTCGTCATATCGTCCGTCAATTCAATGTACCCTGACCTGAAAGTTTCGTTATACTCGACCGCCATGGCAATATTATGTAGTAGAGAATTGATAAATTATAAAAATCGACCAGTTTCTTGATTATATTGCTGTGTATTTATGTGTAAACATTTATTTTTATCAATATTTAGATCGTAGCAGCCCTGATGTAGGTTATCAAGATTGCTACTGTTGAATATTCTCAGTTTTCGAAAGACCTCATATTTTTGATGAATATAAATTGTGCATATATTAAAGAAATGGAAATGGTCTTCTATCTGGTCTCCACAGACAAACAGAGAGCTGTCTGACAAATGATCACAAAAGAGGGGATGTTTTATATTACTAGGCTCATTTCACAACTGACAGTGCATTATATTATTTTTTTCGTGAATCAGTGGGAAAAAAAACTGGACAGGGACTAATATCCTCATTGAGCATTTATTTTGAATCCTGTAAAGCTTAATTATACTTATTCTTACTTCTCCATCAAGTGAATTCCTATTTTCAGAGTATATGGGATACAACTGTTTTTTATTAGCAGACCATACTTAACATTAGTGATGGCGTACGACAAAACGTCTGCGGCAATGTAATTAAGAATATCTCCGGAAACAGTTTTATGAAAAAACAATAAATCGTTTTTCTGTCTCCTATTCTTGAGAAAATCCCAACCTAATTTTACGTATATTTCCCATCTACATGTAAGTGTTTCCTTTCTAAGCCCACCCTCAGATACAGTTTTAACAGCAACTAGTTGTACACGAGGTTAAATACAGACTCAATTATCTCTGATTCTTCTTTTGTACAGTTATCTCAAATTATGTTCCCATATTCCAATATAGGTATAAAACATACAATTTATAGACTTTCATGAAACAGTCTATCAATTTTTGTTTTTTTAAATATCTCATAATATGACATGACAGATTGAAGTATGTTTATCGAACAATGTAGTCACAAAAACGAAAGTAGATTCTTGATTATTATATTTAAGACCATTTAACCTTTTAAATTTTACATGGGTCATACATTATCGATGCATTAAATACATACTATATTGACTAAGCTGAAATATGTACATACCAACTATAATATTCATTCAACAACTACCCCATTATACAGTACATACATGTATATACAATTTCAGTAACTACCACGTGATATGCTAGATATATGTGTCAGTTAATCTATGGAACTCCAAAACTGTCTGATAATGTTCATTTTCATGAAGATGTGCTTTTACCGTTATATGATGTGATTTTCCGTTATATAGTGTGCTTATACCATTATATTTTTATTATAAATCTTTATTGCTAAATTAAACCCATAAGGGTCAAGCAATTCAAACAAACAATGATACAATTAAATACAATACAATGCAATGCAATGCAATGCAATACAATACAATACAATAGAACATATTTTAAGGAAGAGTTCATTTTACAAATTTATGTAAAAAATAAGACACACTTGTCTGACATGTGTCTGATCCCCTCAGTTCTAAGGACTGCTTAGATGACGTGACTTTGTCTTTAAGTCATGTACTTTGTCTTTATATACAGTTGAATCAACATTATGTGATGGAAACTCGACATTATGTGATGTGCAATTATAAAGCATAGTTCTTTCCGGATGAGATAACATCCGTCGAAAAAAATATTGCATATGATATTGTAAGATTCTTTCCGGAGGAAATTATTTTACTGTGAGATATTTTCCATTGACATTTAATTTTTACCGGAACGGTTTTACAGATAGACGGTGTGAAATTGTTGTTTTGAGCCAAAGTAGTAATATTTAAAGATTTAAATCGAAAAGTTAATAAAGAACTAAATCTATGCAAATACTATAGACTCATAATGAAGTTTCTTAAAAAAAACTAAAGAAGTGATAAAAACAACCAAATAATTGTATTGTAATCGGAAATAATATCACATATGCTAGTTGTAAAATAATATCCGGAAATAATTTGTTAGTAAAAATATCGTCCGTTTGAAACCATGCAAATTTTCTATTTCATTATTACAATATAACAAAAAAATCAACTATCATGAAAAATATGTAACAGAATCAGAAATAATGTCACATACATTTTTTATCTTATAATTATGAAATAATTTTCTGATCAATAAGAAAATACATGTAAGGTATGTGAAATACAGGTACAAATAACTGGTTTTCAGATGCGAGAACAATAAAAATGGTAAAGGTAGAAATACAGTCACATCACTACCATTACGGAACTCGACGAATCAGTTTGGTGATAATATATTCAACTATGAAATGCATTCCGGAATATAGTTTCCGAAAAATGAAAATCTCTAATAAGCACCTCCCTTTGATTGATAATTTATGCAAATATGTCCTACCTTGGAAACACATTTATCATTATGGTTATGTATATATAGATTGTGAGTACCTTTAGTTGTAGACAATGGGATTGTAGTTCCCAAGCGTATGTGAAATGTTAACCTGATAGAATTTACTGTTAAATACATTCTACATATTAAGATCGAAAGAATTTTTCTCCCCGACATAAATCTACCTCTAAAATACCATGTTTGGGAACTACTTACTGTGACAAATCATCCGCCGGAAAATATATCACAGAGGAGGAAATAAACCGTTATATAAACACCTTACAATGCATCGATTCGTTCCATTAAACAGTGTTGTCCTTTCACTTTTGTTAACGGGAAAAAAAATATAGCGATAAAACAAATTTGATTTGTGATCATTGAACCATGAGGTCAATGATAACTGACATCACAAGACGGATCATACCACTGTCATTTGTATAAATAAGTTCGAAATAGAAAGCAATGTTGTATGATTGCCAATGAGACAACTATCCAACACAGTCCAAAAGAAACGGATTTAAGCAAAACTAGATCGTCGTGCGTCCTTCAACATTGAGAAAAACTTCTACCGTATAGTTGGCCATCAAACTAGGCTCCCACATAAACAAACGGTAAAGGTCAGATAAAACCTGCCAGACGGACATGTACACCTTACAATAATTTCATACATCAAATACAGCTGAGCTATTGCTTATAGTATCTGAGAAACAAAACAAACCACAAAAAAAAATTAACATTGAACAACTGCCCATGAAAATGAGGTCAAGGTCAGATGAATCCTGCCAGTCTGACAAGTAAGCCTTACATTCATTTCACACACCAAACGTTGTGACCGTTTGATTATAGTATCTTACATAAAAACTTGAACACGATTTTACCTTAATAATTGATCGCTGATCCGAGTTATGAGGTCGAGGTCAGAGGATCTCTGTCTGACGGACATGTAGACATTGCGATGATACATATACAAAATATAGTTATCCTTTTACTCATAATAAGAGAGTATTTCACATGACAAAAAATCTATACCTTTTCCAAGCAATCGCTGAACTTTGAAGATGAGGTCAAAGGCAATGGACATATGACAGACAGAAACTTCATTAAGGCATCTACATCCAATTGGTTTGATGTATTCTGGCTTCTGTGCATCTATCCAAAGATAAATACCATGTGCCTCTACCATCTATCTTGCCATGTAACATTATTCCTTAGTGCATTCTGCAGTAAAGTTTCATGTGCAAATTCATTGCCATTTATAAATAGCCTCGGGGGGTAAGAAGACTATACTTTTAAACGCTTAAATAGAAAGGGGTAGGATATATGTTCAACCTGTTTATACTTTGTACTTTATTGAGGTTTTTTACCCCCAAAAAGTGTCTTATATAATTGTTCTATACTCCTTGTGAACCAATGAAAAAAAAAAAACATCTTCATCTTTATTTGAATACAAACCACAAATCAAATATTGGGTACATGATTTCATTATAGGGGTTTACTGTGGATTAAACCTTCTATTTAGCATATCAAACAAAGATTTAGCTTAAAAGTGTTGGAGATTCACACACAAAAATGTTATTATCAATAATATATATTGTTTATTGCAAAATTACACCCATAACGGTCAAAGCAATACAAACAAACAATACAATTAAATACAATGCAATGCAATGCAATACAATACAATAGAACATATTTTAAGAAAGAGTTCAATTAACAAATTAATGTAAAAAACACAATTATAAACTTATCTGACATGGGTCTGACCCCCTTAGTTCTTAAAACTGCTTAACGAAGACTCCAATATGACAAACAAGTTCATGGGTGGGGTTTAGAATGTGTTTTAGTTTATTAAATGCATCAAGATGTTGAAATAGTGGTACATAGTCTTTTAGATAAGCAAAAACAATTTGAACGCAATGCTATGTTAATGTCACAATACAAAAAGAAATGAAATTCGTCATCTATGACTCCACATTTTTTACATAATCGTTGTGCTCTTGGAATGTTTCTATATCTGCCCAATTCAACTGCCTATGTATAAAATTATTGCAATTTAAATATTCCTCAGGCTGACAATTAGTTTTGACTTTCCCATAAAGACAAAATTTGGATGCGGAATCCAATTTTGAAAGTTGATTTAAAGTAGTTTTTTCATATTCCTCTGAAACACACTTTTTAGTATTACATTTTAACACTTTTTTGATTGTTTAAAAGGTTTATTAATATAAGAGTGATTTTCTGGGTTTATTTTCATATCTTTAAATTATCATTCCTCATAATTTTAATTGAAACATATTTCTCGAATTCTGGAGAGACCTCGATGGAAGACTGGTCAAAGCAATTTATCTACGTGTCGATTTTATTGACAAGGACTGCTTTTTTTTTCCGGGTACTCCAGGTTCCTCCACCAATCAAAAAAATGGCCGCCATGATAAAGACATGTGAGTGGCGTTAAACACCGGGGAAAAAAAAGAAACACAATATAATTCTGCTGGAGGCAAAATTCAGAAAGTTGGAGTTTTCAAGGTAGAGAAACTGTATTTTCTTTATCCAATAGAAAGGACAAATCATAAAAATATAAATATGTTGTATGAACGGAAATTGGAAAATGTTTGTTTATTTTGCCCCTAGGGGTATGGGATAGACCTCATATATGTCATGTCGAGGGGAGTGGGAGTGGGAAAGACAGGCCATTCTCAATTGTGCAATATTTTTGGAGTGGAAGGTCTGCCGGATTCTTGATCCGACTGTATCTGTAGCATTTATAGCAACATGTACAAATTTATCGTTCATGTGTATGTACCGAGTGTTTTTTTTTACTTATTTTGAGTTTACTCCCATTGTTTTGACATACAATTCAATGGAATATTTTCAAAAAGATGTAGAGGTAATAAATCATCCTGCAAGAATTATCTGGACACTATAATATGAAAGATCACGGTTAAAATACGTCTGGCAGTGAAGTTCACAGTGATACGCATCCAATCTCCTTATTCAAAAGTTGATTCAGTATTGCAGTTTAAGTACTGAAGTTATTCAAATTTCAATGATTATTCTGACTTCTATAATGTTCATATAGTTGAAGAAGCACTATTTCAGTAATACTATTATTCCAGTGGGTTTATATCATATCATCTGGGACAACACGGACCATTAAATGCCATATTGCCTCATTGCAAAATTTGTTCATACTTGATTGTAGCTGTTTTATGGACACTTATAGGGTTACCCAATACGCTGACTTAAATATATTTGGCTCGTTTAATTTTCATAAAGTTTTGACACAATATGTATTTTGACCTGTTGACAAAAATATAAAAATTTCAAAAAATATCAACCCCATAAGTTACTGAAATTATTTCGTTAGATGCATAGCAATTTTAGAAACACTACAGTGGAGATCACTTCTAACCTCTCATCAAATCTGTCAGAATCTGTCAGGAGAACTGTTCTATGACAATATGTAGAACTGTTATCCTGACACCCTTTTAGACAGTTGTAGCTAGAACAGTTCTAACCTAGAACTGATTTGGTCAGTTCTACCTAGAACTGATCCTGACAGTTCTACCCTAGAACAGTTTTAGACAGTTCTACCTAGAACTGAACAAATCTTTGGTCAATTCTACGACTAGAATAGTTCTACGGCTAGAACAGTTCTACGACTAGAACAGTTCTACGATTAGAACTGATTTGGTCAGTTCTACGACTAGGGTAGAACTGTTCTAGGTAGAACGGTTTTAGGACAGTTTAGAACAGTTCTATGACAGATTATTCTGACAGTTCTAATGAGAGGTTAGAAGTGATCTCCACTTTAGTTGTGATCATTGAGAAGCTTGATTTTCTTTTTACTTAAAGTATGTGATTAAAACGTTCAGCTGATTTTAAAGAGTAAAATCCCATAGGTGTTATGTAACCCCTTAAAATAATGACTGTATACATATTCTGACTCAATTGTTGAATAGTTTTACTCAGTATGGAATGAAAAATAACGACTTCATGATCATGATGATTAGATTTTAATGCAAACATCTTTTTTTTATGAATACAAGTGCATGTATTAGGTATCATAAATTAGATAGCAACCCAACGACACAAAATGTAATCTTTTATTCCTTTATATTTGTTTTTCCTTAAAGTCATATGAAATGAGTTTCTAGAAATTTTGAGTTTGTCGAAATTATAACCAATGCATCAATATATACTAAACTTAACTAAAAGTCTTGCATGCACGTTTGTTTTATATTTATTAAACATCTATAATCTACTATTGACAAATACTATTTCATTCAGTTGTTGTTGATTGCAAGCTGATTAATTTTCGAGTTTAGTGCCGAAGTTTACTGGATCCTGACATTGATAAACATTAAAAAAAAAAGTGCACGTGGAAAGCATGACAGATAAATGAAAAGAAAGAGCCATGACATTTGTTGTTATATTTCCCATGTATTCCCATTTGTTAATCAAGCTATTCCTTAAGAGTTGTTTAATGATTTGTTGTATTAAATTTGTTCCTTAAGAATCTGATATTTCTATTTACCTTCAAAAGCACATGTGTTTACATTCTTTCATGACAGTTTTCCCCTCGCACTTGCGCAGTGCGGTGGCCGAAGTTAAAACGACAGGTCTCGTTGATACGTCACTGCATACGGGAAAACATCGGCGAATTAGTGTCTTGGAAGCCAATAATTAAACATCGGTACATTTATGACGATTTTGATCATTTGGAGGATTTTCTTTTTAAAAACAAAGTTCACATTCGCTTCTTTTAGAGTAAAACTTACCTATTCAAAAATATAAAACATGTTCAATTTTTTTTTCAAATTTGAGGTTTCGTATGATAACACTTTCGGAGAAGTGAAAAACTTGGAATTCGTATATTACCCTTGATGATCAAATTGTATGTCAACAACTTGTAGAATGGTATTGAATTTAGATAAGTTACATATGTACAAACTAAACCGAAGGTCTCGAGGTCTTGCAATGATTAAAATGACTAGGTTGTTCGCCTATTTCACCCTTCTAAGGCCAAGAGACACAAACATAAATAAAAAATCAAGACTCAATCTCTCAAAATTTAAGGTGGGGATATTTATATAACACCATGCATGTTACATGGAGATTCATAAAAAAACATTTTTTTTTTAAAAGACATCCCTCTAATCTGTAGCGCTTATTCTTATATGGTTTGTTAACTCTCTGGTTTAAGTTTCAAAGTTGATTTTTCTGTCGGGAGAAACATTGCAGCGACACTAATTCTAATACATCAGATGCAGCTAAAATAGATGTTTACTGCTGGAAATAAATGCAAAACAGAATAATGAATAATGTCGGTGAATGTATTTTTCATTATATATAGTTGATATCTTTTCCCTAAGTAAGCTATCATGGCTATAGGGGTCTTGTTTGTTATCAGATAACTTTTCGCGTCGTAAAATGATTATTAAATTCTGATATACTCTCATTTAGCTATTGCTGTCGAAGTTTCCAGCCCGTAACCCCTGTTTGATCAATTGCAGAACCTGTTTATGTATTGTACATTTGCACTGATATGAATGATAACTAATGAAATGTCAATGTATGTTAGACTAACAACAAGTAATCAATCAAATGTTTTAGTAGAATGAAAATAATTTCTTTGTTGCAATTTGCGATTCAATAAATTGGATACAATTCAATTGACATAACAAACAGACTGTTATAGGTTTTACGCTAAAACAACAAATTTAAGTTCATGTTAATTTCTGATTTGATAAACTGAACATTCTTTGCTTTTATCAGTAATAATGAGAAAAATATTCTTGGTTGGATGAAAAGAGATGTGACGTGGGGTTACAAGATTTTCTAAAACTGGTTCCCTGTATCCTGTAGTCGTGTTTATTTGCACAACTGATCCTTTTTCGTTGTGGCAAATGCATGCATATAACTGTCCTTGTTCAGAAACGTCTAGTCCTCTGATCTCATGGTCACTTTTCATGTTGGTGGGAATTTCTTTGTGTGAACCAGTTTCTGTCATATGTATAATTGATTTGCCATCAGAAATGAACATTCCACCGCGGTTATCAACGCATATAAATAAAAGAGTAATTTTACATTGCAAAGTCTTGACAACAGTTCCATCTTGACTTAAAAGTACGATAGCGTTTTCGACATTTGAATAAATTAATGCATTATTCACCTTGACCCGTCTATAAGCATTTTCTGTAGAAGTTTCCTTGTTTATACGAGGCCCTTCTTTTAAGTTCTTAATGTCAATATTGTAAACACCTATAGGTGGAAAAGATGCATACACATCATTTGTCACATTACAAGTTACGTCTGATGAGCTATAACCTACATTTATTGTGTGGACATTGGAGCTAGTAATGTCATAAACACGAAACGGAGAACCATTAAAAACAATCTGATTATTCATAGTAAAAGAAGCTTTGTTCAACACTTTCATTTCCAACTGAGAACACCTAATATTTTGAAGAAGTTGGTGTTTTCCTTGTTGAACTTTATAGGCGTGAACTTGTTGGACATTCAGTGGGTGTTGAACTGTAGTTTTGATCTTCTCCACTTTTAATTTGGATAGTGTAGCTAAGATTGGTTTAATCTTTTCTATAAATTCAAACGGGGACGAGCGCAGGTTATATTCTACCAAACCTTCTTGAAACTTTGACAAGAACATTTCTTCTTCGACTTGTAAAAGGTCTATGGTTTTGATTGCTGCAAAGATTCTTGTTTCGGAAGTATGTTCTGTTAACGTTTCTATGGCAGTTTGCCAGGATTCCGACTTGTTTTTTCTTGCGGTCAGATCTTTAATGTGCTTTTTTATTTCGCCCTTGCATTCTTCATTACAGGTATCAAATTTTGTATCGATTTCCTGTTCCAGCTCATCCAAGTATGTGTTAAGTTCTTTTCGAACATTTCTTATTTTTTCTTTATATTCGTCTCTCTGGTCAGATATTGAACTCAAATTATTCTCGTATACATTGAGTATCTTACCTATCATAAGCGAAAATTCTGACATTCGATGTTGTAAATCATCAATCGCTGTTCCCATTTTCACGCCTTTCGACGCATTTTCTATTGACTCTACATCTTTACACGCGTTATGCGATTCCCGTAAACAAAAAGCGCAGCAGATTGTATCATGTTGTAGGCAAAAAAAAGAAATGTTCTGGTCATCATGAATATGACAGGTTTCTGAAATATTTAAAACCGAAAATCCAACTTTTCCGCTTCAAGAATCGGGATTGTTTTGTGATTCGATGTTGTTTTCCCTTTTCGATGGAACTTTAGACATTCTCCGTATAATGGTTCAGAACAGTCACTACACCAGGAATGTGCTTGTTGGTTTTCCCCATCTCTACCACATGGTTCACACCACTGTATATTCGAGGCGCCAGCCATAATCTATTTATTTGTTTGCAGTTCTACAAGAAAAGATGTATATTTTCCATTAATGTATAAAGATAATTTTCGCTTGACTGCGTTCTATTTGCATGAATTTATTAAACAAGATGTATCTGTTCGAGCTAATACTAGCATCATGGCAATTTGTATTTACCTATACATTGTACTACATGTCTTAAACCTTTTTGAAAGTTTGTACACAGCTTGAATAATGTAATACAAGGAGCATTTATGCCTAATTCAAGTTGATATTTTTCCTGGAATTTGCAATTATAATTAATGAGACTTACCAGGATGTTTAATCTACCGTTCATTTTGCATCTCTTTTAAAATTTCACAATTTTCAATTTCAGAGTTTAATGTGAAAAAATAGCCATCTGTCATCTCTGAGAAGATATGTTCATTTATTAAAAATGGAAGCAATATAGGATTTGTATGTATATATTTTATCTCTACATTTTGCAAACTTCAGTCCAATGTTTGTTAACTACGTCTTGCCACTTTCCTGTTAAAAGACCTTTTTAAATTGTTCTGAATAGTATAAGAAAAGACCTTTAGAGCATGTTCGGATATTTTTATGCCAAAATGTAATTTTTGTTTCGCATGAAATAAGATATTTGGTATAATGATATTTTACAGTAAATAGTAAAATCACAACAGTCCTGAACTCCGAGGAAAATTCAAAACGGAAAGTCCCTAATCAAATGGCAAAATCAAAAGCTCAAACACTCCAAACGAACGGACAACGACTGTCATATTCCTGACTTGGTACAGACATATTCTTAGGTAGAAAATGGTGGGTTAAACCTGGTTTATAGCTAGCTAAACCTCTTACTTGTATGACAGTCGCATAAATGCGCTTTCGAAACTGACCCTGTTTAAATGAACATTGTTTTTGAAAGAGTTATATCTCCGAACATTTTTTCTTGTTACCACTACTCCTTCGTAACCGTTTAAGAAACCGACAAAATTGTTTTTCCAAATTGCTCTTATGATATAAAATAGTTTTGAACGAATCAATCCGGAAACTCCATTTGAGAGTTTTCCTTAATGTAATCGACATAAGTGACATGTGATTGTAACTGGTAAACCGCAATTGATGGAGACCTGAGGGCTTTTTGGATGCTTAGGTCCAGCAAAAAATAAATGAAGTAAAAGTCACAGCTCAAGGTCATTTTCTAAATTTTGGCTTTTACTTGCTATCGCTACTTCTAAGAAACAGTAAAAGACATTGACAAAAGTGTTTTTTCTTCAAATTGTAGTTGCAACCTACCTAGGTCTAAATGATATGGCGACAAAGTATAGTAGTTTTTTCCTTGGAATGTTTGAAATAAGATGTATTGTAATATAACTCATAAACCATATAAAGTAGAGACCTTTGATATTTTTATTTTGTCACGTTAAATGTCAATGTGATGTTTAAGATTTAGATTTTTGTTTAAAATTCATACCGATATGTGATATAATCTAAAGGTCTTTGCATAACGTTAAAAACATACGCCTTTGAAAATTGTCAACCAGAAATGACATTGTACTGAACCATTGTTTGCACTTATTTCAAGTTTAAGCTCATAAAACCATATATATTTGGAACTAGTGAAAGCTAACCTATTATATGAAACTGGAAAATGATTTTATATGAAGCAGTTGTGGCAAATAATCTCCCTTTTTGCAAACAAAAGTTCATCAAAACATTTCATTTTTGGAATCACTGTTACTTTAGCTATAATTTGACACCGGATAATTAAATCTCTTATTTCCCTAGTGTGGACAGTGTATCACTTGCAATTTTTTTTTCATACACTTTCCAAATTTATTTCTTTATATTCTATGTATGAAATATTAAGTAAGGAGATTAAATTACATGTTAAAGAAATTTGGGTGCTGAATCTTTATGTTAAGTAGTTAAAAAAGGTCAAAAACAAGTATTTCTGAAGCTGTCAAACTGAATTTTAGACCCCCTTAACATAGAATTGTCAATATTTTGAGTTAAAGCTAGTAGACTTCTCTGTTATTTTGATATTATTTGTCCCAATTGTAGTACACTACACTGTAAAAATCTTTTTGAGATAGAGCAGGTGAGATTTTTTTAATTTGACTTTATTGTCTAAAAGAAATGCACTACGAAATAACTGAGTTCGCGGGCCTAAGAGATGCATTCAGGAAATGTAGACTCTGTACTTTGGCAACGTCCCTGAATAGTTTGCTGGTTTCAATTTGTCAAACTCAAAACAAAAGTAAAGGATTTACATCTTTATTTGAAAGAAATTCTGTTAAAATGTCCCATTTTGACATTATACGGCTAAAATAAGCATTTTAAAGCAGTTTCCATTTTAAGCCTAAGGCATGCTGACTCTCTATCTGACAGCTTTTTATGCTTTTATATTTGTGTTTCTATGATTTATTTAAATTCTATTAACCATTTGTGAACTCTGAATATAGAGAAAAGTAGATTATCACAGAAAAAAATGTGCAAAATGTGTTGTATTTAGGCCCTAGTGGAACTGCCTGTTTAATGTATGTGAAATGTGAAGAGCTTTGTACATAAAATGTGTAGTCCATCATTAATATTTTACTAAATCTGTAAAAAAAAAGCACTTGACAATGATCTGTGCACCTTATCAATTTCATATACTACCTTTATTTTCTTCTGTAGGATAGTATGTGGTTCAAATATATGCCAGTTGAGACTAAATCTACATGAAAGTTTTCCATTAAAAAGTGAAAAAACTGTGCACCAGACCGTACTGTCTGCAAAAAAAATTGAATACAAGAGTCCTTTTGCAATTAGACTTCTTGTGTCATGACATCTTAGCATAGAAATGAGCAAAAAGTAACAAATTTCTATTTTTTATAGCTTCTGTATGCATTTTTATATGTAAATATGTGCTACGGCCTAAATTGACTATAAATAATGTTCAGTCTTACATAGCCTTAGACCGTTTTATACTTATTTGGTATGCTTTATGTAAATTTTCTTTCCATTTAAAGAACATTGAATATATATGGAAGAATGATTTATGATAAAAAAAAACTTTAAAAACTTCAAATTGGTTGAAAAAAATGTATGTTTATGTAAGGCTCCCCTTAATTCGAAAATCTCTATTTTCAGGCACAGGCTTATATAAATTTGACTTTTGAATAATTGTAATAAATCTGATAAATAAAATCAGTTATCAGTTGCTTTTAATACTTAATGGTTTATATTTAAGAGCATTTAAAAAGCAATTTTTTTCAATATTTGATTTTTTAAGCCCAAATCTTGATAGTCGAAATTTTTTGATTTAAACATCAAAATTAAACATTCAAATTTCAATCTAAAAATGGCCATAGTTTCTATAATATATATCCTGTGGCCATGAAACTTGGCCAACTATCTTATAATTCCTTAAGCTTAGGTCATGCAAATTTTTAATAGAATTGGTAAAGTCTTTCTATACTAAGAGATGAATTCAGGAAATGTAGATTCTGTACTTTGGCAACGTCCCTGAATGGTTTGCTGGTTTCAATTTGTCAAACTCAACAATAGTAAAGGATTTACATTTTTAATTGTAAGAAATTCTGTTAAAATGTCCCATTTTGACATTATACGGCTAAAATAAGCATTTTAAAGCAGTTTCCATTTTTAAGCCTAAGGCATGCTGACTTTCTATCTGACAGCTTTTTATGCTTTGATATTTGTGTTTCTATGATTTATTTAAATTCTATTAACCATTTGTGAACTCTGAATATAGAGAGAAGTAGATTATCACAGAAAAAAATGTGCAAAATGAGTTGTACTTAGGAGCGTTGATTTTTACATCCTAAATAGGTCAAAAATAGAGATTTTTGCAAAATTTGACAAAATCGTACTGATCTCAACCAAATTAAGGCCTACGAAACAAAGAGCGCAGGCTTCGACAAACTAAATATTTAAGTCCGATGTGTAAAATGTCATAACAAAGATTATGTTAAAAGATTTTTTCTGTCGACGCCTGCGCTCTATGTTTCCTGTCTTAGAAATCAATGGAACCTTACCCGTTTTCATTGCATTTTCGTGGAAAATCAAAATGAGTGCTATTTGTGACGTCATGAATAGAACGAAAGTACGTAAATTTTCAACAAAAAGACATATTTTCTATCTAGTCATTGTATTAGCTATGATTCATTGTGATATTGGTCAATTAAATCTAATTTAAAATTTTAGCTAGAAATAGAGGCCATTTTAGGGCCTTATCGAACCTACTCCTTTTCAACTTTAATAGACCACCCTGCCTGCAGGCTTAATTAAGATTGTCAGTTTAGAGAAATGTTCAACTTTAATTTTTGACTGGTCGTAGAGTCGAAGAATTGTGCAATTTTCTAAAATTTGAGGTCAAAGTTCGATAATCGAGATTTCATTAGTGTAAAAAAATTTCACGAGGGGTTATAAAAAGTCAGAAAATAATATCTGAATTGTAAAATAGGCAAGAAAATACTTTTTTAATGAAAAAGTAAATAAAAGCAATTTATTTTGGAGTCATTTTGAAAAATATGTAATCACCAAATGCCTATTTTCATTCAGAAATTCAGATTGGCAACAAGAGAAAGACAAAAGACGAAACAGGGAATTGCTTTCAATTGATATTTTCAACATTACATGTACATTTAAAGATATATTGCTGAACTTTACGGTTTCATAAAAAGAATCGAAGAAAATTTTGTTTCTGTTTAATTAAATACTGGTTGCCAGCGGCAAATATTTCACTATGTAACTGAGTAAAATTGTTTAAATGAAGTACTGTTGGTTAGCTTATATTTTTTTCTGTTATAAATATTGAGATTGTAAGGGTAGGAATTTTGACATCAGCAACCTACCATGGACCCCCTCAGAATAATGTTGCTGCAAGGGTGCATTAACATGCAAAGTGTGCAAAGTGCACAACATTTTTCGAACACCGGGCTTCTCATTATTGATCCTTGGGTTTAAACATTCCGAACAGTTAAAGTGGTATCCACACTTCATGAGTTATATACAGTAGTATATTTGTACAATAATTTTTCCAAGATTTCCGACTTAACATATATTGTTCAGACATCCTTTTCATCACCGTCTTCTTCAGAAATGGCTTGGCGAGTAAGATGATTCCTACTTCACATACCGTGAACACGATTAAATACTTGTACAAGCCAAATTTTATGTGTTGCATACACAGCTTTTCTTTCAAGCTCTTTACCCTTGTATGTAAAAATAAGGTCTTGAAGAATCTCCGATGACATAGGTCCCTCGAAGAAAACCGGTATGTGTTCTCAATTCTTCAAACACATGTATGGTTTTTAAAAATAGTAAACAAATCTTCAATGTTTTCAGTTGGATGAGACAAAATATTAAATTATGACAGTCAATGAACACCTTCATACGTTTGGTTCAATGCTTTTTATACAATTAATGTATATGCGTCAATTGAAAAATGTTTTGAATGAAGGAATCATGAAAGCCTCCTATAGCAGTGTTAATTCTGGAACACCACGATTAAACTGTTCGAAAATTAGAAACTGTTACTGTATTTCGAGCATAAATTTCAGAGTCAACATATAGGCCAAATAGCTCAGCTAAAACCAATAATTTACCAACTGTTGATGTATAAAAGATGAAAGCCCATGAAATCCTCCTTTTCTTATAATGTTGGAGTATATAAAGTCTGACATAGACCATTTTTCTTGTAGGGCAACAATATAAGTTTGTATAGCATTTTGCTGAACATATCTAAACATTGTTTTATAGTGGTATATACAATAGTTGTTGCCATGTTGCTAGGGTTTGTGTCTATGACCGGAGCAAAGATTAGAAACGCATCTTCAAATTTGAATTATGATAGCCTTCTGAAACAATTGTGGACAATTTTTTCAGAATTTTCTTCAAAAATGGGAATTGGACATAAGCTTTTCTTGAAATAAGTCGGAGAAATATCCAATATATGTCAGTTGTATCTATGTTTTCCTTCAAACAAAACTCAATGTCCCCATTAGCTAGGAGTTTTTTGTATCTTATCGATTGGTCAGCATTCCATAAGTTTGGTATTAGAATCATCCAGCGTCACAGATCTTTCTAGTTCAAGTTTAACCTTAAAGGACTTAGAATAGCGTTTGCTGTGGGTTTTTATACTAAGAGACAGTCGTAGCTATGCAGTAAAAGTCTATTTTTAACCATCAATAGTCTCAGCATTGATGTCAACATTACATGCTCCCTTCTGTTTTATAATGACCACCTTCTTTCAATGTAGCGATATAGGTAAGTCCCATTGGATATGTCTAAGGACTGCGTTCAACTAGGATCTACTGAAGAGGCTGCATGTTATGTTTTGTTTTCATTTATGATTGTTGTCTTAATTTCAGTTTCAATTTTGACGTATTTTTTTCGGGTTTTAAATGGCCATTTGCTCGAACGGCTTCAACAATTTAGATTGAACTACTGAACCCAACATTTGATTCTCGTTCCCCTTTTTGTTGCCGTACAACGATTGATTTTTTTCACAATGTTTTTTTTAAATGTTGTCAAATCGTGTAATAGGAAGCAACAGCAGATTTCATAAAGAAAAGACATGACAAAGAATGTTGGTGAACAAGCACGTCTTCGTGGATGAAACTATTGAGGCAATGAGAAGCCTTCTCGTAAATCATCCAACTCATCGTTCAATTACTTTTATCTTTGTAATGCTAAGTAAAATCATAACCAAGCAAGTCATGTAGTGAACTGCCTCGGTTTGGAATTCTTGTAAAAAAAGAGTGATCTTTTTTCTAAATCCCGTTTTTGTCCGATAATTGTACAATTTATTTTTATTCCTTCATCAGTTTCAGTATAACGTAGATGTTTGTCGCGTTTGTACGAATTGTGCTTGCAGAAAGTACTAGAAGTCCAGTCAAAAGGAGTGGACATTGATCTGGTCAGAACAGACTAAGAACAACATGGTTGAACAACGATCAAAAATTTATCTGTATGATCATCTAAAATATCAGGCTGTGTAAACGTTTCTAAAAAACCATACATGTACTAGTGTATGATTTGCTATACGATTTGTGATACCTTAAAGTTTATATATCAACATCATCAAGCTAACTAGACTAATGTTATTGAGTCGGTGGTACACATCCTACTTTCTTATATTCACAGCATTATAAATGGTTCCTTTAGCAGTTACATGTAAACAAGAAAGTTTATTACTTGTTTTAATCAGATGTTTAATTCAACAAAATTCCAATTGTTTGAAGCACAACTTCTTTTAGCTTGCGAAAATTTCAGTATTAGTAGACTTCTAAAAGTAAATGTATTTCTGGAATACCACTTATTCGCCACAATTTGACTTTTAATGTTAGAAAAAATCTATTTTTAACTTTGAAAAAAACACGATAAATGTTTTTTTGACAAAACAATATCAAACAAAAACGTTGAAAAACGTTGTTCAATGGTCATGTGATAAAACAAAATATCCACACTATTATATTTAATTGACACAAACACGAACTATGGTTTGATGCATTCGACGATTAAAAGCAAACTAGAACACACCCGCGAAATCGCAGACATTTAGAGCGTGGTTGAAAGTATGTAAACTGTTGTAGGATGAATTTTTGTAAAAGACTTTATGACTGGAGAATTTCAGGAAAGGTATCAAAAGATATAGGTACTTGGGGACAGGTCAATTTGTTTAGCCCTTCCCCTTTTTTTCAACATCCGTTATGTTTTTGTTTTCTAGTTTTTCTGTATACTGTGAACAAACATATACTATAATCTCTTTATCATATATGACCGCCGATGATATTAAACTTGGAATTGATAGTAAATAGCAAATACACATTTATTTGTAGTATATGTATGTTCATAGTATATAGAAAAAGCGACAATAATTGTCCTGTCCCCAAATACCTATGAAAATTATGTGTAATTTTAAACAGTCCTAAACGGAAGTCTTGTCTATGACTTAAAAGTCCGTCCGATGACGGAAACAATTTTCGGACGCCTTTATTTTCGTTTTCCTCCCAAAATAACCCAAACGGAATAATCATAGGCGAGGATGACAAATGCGACTAGGCATGGTACCTATAGGACACAAAGGCATGATGATTAATGTATTGTGGAAGGAAGAGAAGCGACGCACAAAATGAGGTCTTCTCATTTAATAGTATAGATGTAATTCGTATCGGTTAGAGAAAGAAATTGGGAAATTCACTGAATTACAATATCTATTGAAAATATGTCGAAAAACGTGAAATTATTTGAAGAACTGAGCCGAAGTGTTCTCACATGTTTACAAAATGAAGTGTTATTACTTTTTATCTTGAAAATTTGAAAGATATCGATATAATGTAAATTTACAAAAGTCCACATTTTCAAAACTGAGCGAAAACGTTGATAATATGGATAACTAGAGAAAATTACAGTTTCACAATATGAATAAACACTTGAACTCTTCATAAAATGCCAAATCAAGAGTTTGAGGACTATAAAAAAGGCACAAAAGAAAATTTGTTGTCGAGTTGCATTTTGAATGAAAACCTCAACATGTTTTTTCCTTTCCATTTTATGAAAAACTGCACCGCAGGAAATAGCTATGACCGGGCAAAAAAATAAGATTAAGGTATTGGCTTTGCAAAACAATAATTTTCAGCCTGCAGTTATGCCGGTCCATTAAAGTCGTAAAATAAGTACTCTTTTCTTGATTTGTCACTCCACTATTTATAAGAACCTGAACATGCTGAAGCAGGGTGGAATATTTTCAAAAAGAGTAAAAAACATTAAAAGAAAAATATGCTGATCTCATTGGTTTCTAAAAAATTATCGCTGGGGAATGGCATTTTGATTTGCACAGAGTGCTTACAGTGAAACCAATTGGAAATTGAGATATGATTCATTACTATAGTATGATAAACAATTATCAGGAATCAAACATTTCGCACATTGTAAGAACTTTTAATGGCATATTATTTAGAATAACCCACATTCTATGTTTAAGATTTGGTGTAAACATCATGGTAAAAGGGTATGCATCTATGGTAAACAGAAAAGCGAAAGTAGAATCTTAAAATGAACTTAAATTAATATTATTGCATACATCATGGTAATGACAGATTTAATTTCGCCTTACCGTGAAATTCTTATACTTTTATCTTAATCAGACTGAGCAAAATAATTGTCAACAGACTAACAAAATCTGCGTGTATCCAATATCCCATAATTCCTTTGTCTACCTGCACGATGGGTTTTACTTGGTCGGCCAAGTATTGTCAGTTAAATCAAGTAAGATACGTGTGTTTGTAAACCTTAGATAATGTACTTTGTGTATTGTGTCAATTTAAAAACAAATACAAAAACAAATTAACTAAACATGCCATGCAGTTTGATGCAATTTTCAAACAAACATCAGTTATTACTAGAGTTGATCTTGAAATATATTTTTGGACACTGGATGATGCTGATGCAAATGCTGATCGTTGATGATGATGCTCTACGGTACTAATATAGTTATGTATAACTTGCAGCGGCAAATTGAATGCATATTCATTACGAGAAGCACACGTATATAACGTGTTATATGGAATCCTGGATATGTTTCTGCTTTATATTAAACCGACACATTGAGCCGGATGTTTAACCTGCTAATTTACAAGGTAACAGTCCACATGAAGACATGTCCACCTACTCGGATATATTATTAGGAGGCAACCAGTTTATATCTAATTAAATGGTTGTTTGACTAATCTGAATGCAAATATCATTAAATCTTTAATTTAAATATTTAAGGGACAATGACTTCTGACCGCTTTGGACCAATGAACCAAATGTAACCATTATAATAATCAAAACATTTTGCGCCTCGCCATATATTCCTGTACCTGTCCCAAATCAAAAATGTCTTTCATTATATATCAATGAGATTGTTGTTGGTGTTCGATCTTTGATTTTCCGCTTTTTTAACTTATACACTAATTCTCTAGCTTCGGGGCGATTACATATAATTATGAGGGATGCCAACTCGATGATGAAAAACTAATCTCCATTTTACTGATTTTGTGACGTTGTTTATTGGACATAAAACCCTCAACATTATTATCTATGATTAGATGATAGTTGTACCAGGAATTCCATACCGTAATGAATAGCTCATTTACTACATATACATGATATACTAATCATTTTAAAAAATAATCTAATAAACCGCCATTGAAAAATGATTGCAAATCAAAGCAGATCAAACAACAGTATAAGTCAATACATTCAGGTTTTAATGAAACGAAAATCTGACGAAAAGGCGAATCTGAAATATCATTTAAATGATTTGTAGGCTTGTGCTTAAACCAATGTTTTCGTTTCGATATTCACTTTCGCGTTCTGTTCCACAAAAACCTTGACTGCATCGTCGAATTTAAATATATTTCTGAAAGAATAAAAGCATAAGTGCTAGGAGTTAATCTGTAATGAAGTAGAAGTTTATTCATAATATAAGTTCCAAGTGGAAGAAATATTATGTTATATCATTTCTACTTGAACAAATATTACAGTGTTTGATCCTTACGGAATAAAGAGTATAAAATATTTGTTCCAACAACTTTTGTTATAACAAAGTTTCCGTTTGAAACTTCTGTAAGGCGAAACAAATATAGGTTGCACTTTGTAAATACAGCTGTTTCACAAACCACGCCTCTCTTGGGGAGATATATAATATTCATAGATATTTTGTAATTTTTTTACCTACTGGTTCCCAGATATGATCTCTATGTTTTATCTCGTAGAGACATAACTTGGGAATGTAACAAGTATACATTCACATGAATCGCGGTCAACTTGAAATCTGTGGAAGACCCAAAGTGACGGGAGGGGTATGCAGAATTTTAGTTTAAACTCTTAGAAGTTCGGGGCATATAAATCTTTGTAGCAACATTCCAGCAGCGCCTGCATATACGGAGTATATATCTCCCAATTGATACGATATTCCCGGGCTTGTATTTCCTATCATGATTTACTTGATAGAGGATTGCTGCTCACAAGGAAGCTATTAAACCAAGAGTTCCAAATGGTGAAGTTGAAATCATCCCTTCGTAAATTTTACGGACGCCATCACGAGTTGGTTGACCGTTATGGAATAACCGTTTCACAGATGATATCGGATATGTTCCTTATGTCGTAACTACAATACTCTTCCCTTTTCACGAATGTGACCTACCGAATTAGACTATTTACCGGATTTGTAATAACATAAGCAACACGACGGGTGCCACATGTGGAGCAGGATCTGCTTACCCTTCCGGAGCACCTGAGATCACCCCCAGTTTTTGGTGGGGTTCGTGTTGCTTAGTCTTTAGTTTTCTATGTTGTGTCATCTGTACTATTATTTGTTTGTTTGTCTTTTTATTTTTGGCCATGGCGTTGTCAGTTTGTTTTCGATCTATGAGTTTGACTGTCCCTCTGGTATCTTTCGTCCCTCTTTTGAAATATGCCGCACAGCCCTATATATTGACCTTTGAAAAAAAAGTAGTGCATATGAGCTTTCAATTCCAATATATTATTAAGAGTTATAAAACGTTAGTTGTGACAAAAATTTAGCTCCAAAATCCAGGTCGTTCATCGCTGTGTTGTCTGGTTAAATACTGTTTGCAAACATTGGGCCATACATTAGATGCACTTATGTGATTTCTGTTTGTTTTTTTATTGTTTGTGTGTTGTTGCGTTGTTATCTCTTATGCAGTGTAGACACATTCTTTAATTCATATGCCATTATAAGGAAATGTGAATTTAGATTTCTCGGAAGTACATAACTGACTATGATTAACATACGTGCAGCCACCCTTTCATGCATTAAGTTCAAAATATTGACATCAAATAGCGCTAGATGAATATAAACAGATTCATTATACACGAGCGTTATCCATCCGAGTCCAAATAACGTATATCTTGGTTAAAGATTTCCTTCAACGCCAAATTTTCAACAACATTTAAAAATAGGGAAATGGTATCAAAGTTGTTAACAATGTTAAGCTCTAAAAACATTTTGAATTAATGAATATATGCGTGAAGTTATTGAAAAATCTTTAATTTGTTTCATTTATTAAACTTTTAAATTCTCAAATTACATTAGGTTTTAAAATTTTAAAATGCTGACCCTTCGATCGACATGAGTTTACCTTACTTACATCAAATTAACGCAAGTTTTATATGAGACAAAATATATGAATACTTTCAATGATTTCTGAAGTTGACCTTTGAACTTGGTTTTTAATTGAAATATAATCATCTCTGAAATTTACGACAGGCATATTCTTAAAGTACAAGGTGTCGTCTTTCAAATGATAAATAATTTAGGTGTATGTTCGATGGGGTGATTGAATCCTTGGTCAACGAACTGTAACGTTAAAAAACACACGTGTATGTCACCTGATTTAACTAACAATTCTTCGCCAACCAGGTAAAAACTCAACAGAGATACAGGTAAATAAAGGAATTATGGGACATTAGCAACATGAAGTTTTGTAAGTCAGTTGACAATATTTTGCTCAGTGTATATCTGCTATAACGTACGTATACTATGCTTATACCGGGGCTTATACGCAAACAATGTATAATCAAATTCAAATTTTTCAACAAAATTTAAAAGTAGGAAAATGGTATCAAAGTTGTTAACAATGTTGAGCTCTAAATAAAATTTTGAATTAATGAATATATGCGTAAAGTTATTGACAAATCTTTAATTTGTTTTATTTAAACTCTTAAATTCTCAAATTCCAGTAGGTTTTAAAACTTATAGATTTTGACGCTTCGATTGAAAAGAGTTTACTTTACTTACACCAAGTTAGTGCAAGTTTTTTTTATGAGATAGAATATATTAAAAAAATCAACGGTTTCTGAAATTGACCTTGGAAGTTAGATTTTAATTGAAATATGACCATCTTTGAACTTTACGACAGGTATAGTCTTATAGTACAATGTGTCGTCTTTGAAATGATATATAATTTAGGAATATGTTCGATGGGGAGATTAAATCCTTGGGCATCGAAATGTAAGGTTAAAAAACACACGTTTATATGTCACCTGATTAAACTAACAATACCTCGCCAACCAGGTAAAACATCATCTAAGATACTGGTAAATAAAGGAATTATGGGACATTAGCAACATGAAGTTTTGTAAGTCACTTGACAATATTTTGCTCAGTGTATATCTTATATAACGTACGTATACTATGCTTATACGCAAACAATGCATAATTAAATTCAAATTTAAAAAATTTAAAAGTAGGAAAATGGTATCAAAGTTGTTAACAATGTTAAGCTCTAAATAAAATTTTAGATTAATGAATATATGCGTGAAGTTATTGAAAAAAAATTTCCAGTAGGTTTTAAAACTTTCAGATTTTGACGCTTTGATCGAAAAGAGTTTACCTTACTTATACCAAATTAGTGCAAGTTTTTTTATGAGACAAAATATATGAAAACGTTCAATGGATTCTGAAGTTGACCTTTGAACTTGGTTTTTAATTGAAATATGACCATCTCTGAACTTTACGACAGGCATATTCTTATAGTACAAGGTGTCGTCTTTGAAATGATATATAATTTAATAGGTGTATGTTCGATGGGGAGATTAAATCCTTGGGAATCGAACTGTAAGGTTAAAAAACACACGTATATGTCACCTGATTAAACTAACAATACTTCGCCAACCAGGTAAAACATCATCTAAGATACAGGTAAATAAAGGAATTATGGGACATTAGCAACATGAAGTTTTGTAAATCTGTTGACAATATGTTGATCAGTGTATATTTGCTATAACGTACGTATACTATGCTTATACGCAAACAATGTATAATCAAATTCAGGTATAGGCAAGATTAGAGCTGTTCTGTATCTCATACTATTGATTAATTTCAGTCAGAATTCTGATTCGTAAAAATTATCTCCATTTTATACCACCTTAATTTTTCATTCATGAATATGGAAGCCAGTGTAAAGGTGACACGCTGTCAATTTAGCTCTTGAAACCGATTAATTTATTCACATGGAATTATTAAGATCCTTATACTTTTGTCCTTTTTGGTGGATTATGAACTTAATTTTTGTGAGAAATTCGACATTTATGTCGCGAAAGCGAGACAAGGCGATCCTATATTCAGTCGTCGGCGTCGGCGTCGGCGTTCATCATTTATGTTCAGGCTGGGGTTAAACTTATAAAAGACATCAATAACTTTTTCAATTATGAAATTATGAAATTTAGACAGAAGCTTATTTATTAACAAAAGACAGTACCCAGAGCCAAGTATTGAAAATATGTATTTTCCTATTTCCGCATTTACTGATAAATGGACTTAGTTTATTGTACTATTAACATTCAGATTAAGTGCGAGGTTAAAGTTTTTTTTAGAAATCAATAACTTTGTCAAACCGTCATGGAATTTTTATGAATTTTGGACAAAATCTTGTTTATGATCAAAAGACAGTTTTTCCAAATTAATATTCATGTTGAATCAGAGGTTAAAGTTTGTTACACATCAATTATTTTCAAATTGTCAATTCTTCAAAGAATTTTATTAAATTTGGCAGAGCTTATTTATGGTTAAGAGAAAATGTCTGTAGCAATCTTTGAAAAAATATTTTTATTTTAGTTTCTGTATTTTTCTGATAGATTTAGTTTTTTTTCGTTTTTACACCGTCAGCAACAATCACGGGCGAGACACAAGTTCAAATGTGCATCTGGTTCAGGAAAAATGGTACCGGTATTTATTGCTTTTTACATTGAATTTGTATGTTAAAAGACAAAAGTATCTTCCAACTATTAAGCATCATTTACCGGTCTTTTGGGATTTTTGTCAACTAGAAATGACTTATCGGTTATCAGGGTGAAATTTCGAAATTTCAATAAATCACAAATTGCTTTTATTAACATATTTCATGGAAGGGTAGGTTTGAAATTTTCAGAGGTTGTAGACTGAAAAACTTAGCTAACAGACACAAAAAAAATTAAGTTAAGTTACATATTTCTAACTGATAAATATGGCCGTTTTTCTCAACAAAATTTCCGCTTACCGTTAAGACAAACATGTGCACCTGAATATTTGTAAAAACATGGCAGGACTAGATAAACATATTTTAAATGCATTTTATGTTTCAGAAAATTAAAAGCTTTTCGGGATTTTGGGATATCTTTTTTTTGTTTCGTTCCTACAGAAGATGTATTCATTTGTAAACGATTAAACTCGTGAATCACTCCTTGGCTGCTCCGTTGATAGAATATGGGACGGAACCGAAACCCTGGTGGGAGAGCAGCAAACATCACAAGTTAAAGCTATCGTATCAAAGTCTTTGAGTAACAGCTCGTTTGTCTCGCTGTTGCTAGTTCGCCTTAGGTGCAGGAGGTCATGGTTTCGGCTAGGATTCAAAATAATGTGCCATGGTAGCTATAGCTATATATGTCTTTCTGCAGAATGCCACATTGTGCGCTAGCACGTAAAAAATCCGGCTCAGTGTGTCGATCTAGTACAAAACATGGTTTTTATTGATGTTCTCTTTCTGAATAAACACTCAATTTGTCAATGGACGTCGCACAAAGGTCTAAAGTTTTGTCTATATAAATTGATGTGGTATCGTCTTTATATTTCAGGAAAAATTCAATGATTCAATTTGTTGATATATGATGTGTACGAACGTTTTGGGTCTTTGGTTTAAAACATAACCCATTATGTCTCTATGTTATTTTTGTTAAGTGTTGAATACTTGATGGAGTTTGTATAAATAGTGAAACAGCCTTCCAATAAACGTCAAGACTATTTTGTTCGTGATAGCAATACAACATAGACATATCTAAATTCTAAATGAATGAGTGAAGAGCTGTATTTACATAAAAAAAACACTAGAGGCTCCCAAGAGCCTGTGTCGCTAACCTGTATCTACTGTTGTTTTGGAAATCATGTAAAGTAAGGTAAAAATCATAATCAATAGTATTAGATACCCTAATAATGATTGAGGTCAAGTTTGGTTTAATTTGGCCCAGTAGGTAAATTAAAAGCAGGTCATCCCATTGTAGTCTTACAATAGTTGCTGAAGACCCCTCATCATTATTTAAATTAGTTTTCAAGTTGTGACCATTTGAAATTGGTTTTTTTTACAATTTTCCCTTAGACTTCTATAGTACACCCCTATGTTCACTTTTTATTCATGGCGCCCATGTTGGTTGTATGACAGGGTCATGGGATACATTTTTTAATCAAGATATCCTTTTGAAAATTGTGGCTAAATCTTATTCTATTTGGCCCAGTAGATTAAGTGGAGAAGATTTTTGTAAAAGATTACAAAAATTTACGAAAAATTGACTATAAAGGTCAATAACTCCTTAAGGGGTCAATTGACAATTTTGGTCATATTGACTTATTTGTAAATCCTACTTTGCTGAACATTATTGCTGTTTACAGTTCATCTCTATCTATAATAATATTAAGATAATAATCAAAAATTGCAAAATTTTCTTAAAATTACCAATTCAGGGGCAGCAACTCAACAACAGGTTGTCTGATTCGTCTGAAAATTTCAGGGCAGATAGATCTGAATCTGATGAACATCTTTAATCAGGCAGATTAGTTTTTGAGATATAAGCCAAAAACTGCATTTTACCCTTATGTTCTATTTTTAGCCATGTCGGCCATCTTGGCTGGGAGGCGGGGTCATCGGACACATTTTTTAAACTCGATACCCTAATGATGATTGTGGCCAAGTTTGGTTAAATTTGGCTCAGTAGTTCAGAGGAGAAGATTTTTGTAAAAGATGACCAAAATTTTCGAAAAATTGTTAAAATTGACTATAAAGGACAATAACTCCTTAAGGGGTCAATTGACAATTTTTTTATCATATTGAATTATTTGTAGATCTTACTTTGCTGAACATTATTGCTGTTTACAGTTTATTTCTATCTATAATAATATTCAAGATAACAACCAAAAACTGCAAAATTTCATTAAACTAATCAATTCAGGGGCAGCAATCCAACAACCAAAAACTGCAAAATTTCATTAAACTAATCAATTCAGGGGCAGCAATCCAACAACGGGTTGTCTGATTCGTCTGAAAATTTCAGGGCGGACAGATATCAACCTGATAAACATTTTAACCCCTGTCAGATTTGCTCTTAATGCTTTAGTTCCAGAGATATAAGCCAAAAACTGCATTTTACCCCTATGTTCTATTTTTAGCCATGTCGGCCATGTTGGATGGCAGGCGGGGTAATCGGACACATTTTTTAAACTAGATACCTTAATGATGATTCTGCCTAAGTTTTGTTAAATTTAGCCAGGTAGTTTCAGAGGAGAAGATTTTGTAAAAGTTAACGGACGACGACGGACGACGGACGACGGACGCCAAGTGATGAGAAAAGCTCACTAGGCCCATTGGGCCAGGTGAGCTAAAAAAGATGATGGCTAATATAACAACTCATATTGATATCATAAACAATATCAAGCAGGACTCAAAGCATAAAAGACATTTTAAAAACTGGCCTAAGAAATTCTAGTTTCAACACCGTAAAGTTAATCTGTATATCTAAATATGAGTACATATAGTTTTAGCAGAAGCCGGTGTTAATAATCAACAGCTACTTTCATAAATGAAAGTGTATGGTTTGCTTGCATGTCTGATCCCCGGGTTTATAATTGCAGCCATCATGGCTTTATAAATATGCCAACCGATGTTAGGAATTAAACCTTGGTCAGTAAACTGGTCTTTATTTCACGGGATGCAGAATAACCTTCGCACCTTTCGTCTTCCGTACTTTTTTTTGGTCTATTTTCTGGAAGAATATCATTTCAGAATACATGTACTAATTACTAGAATATTAATGTTCTGCTTTTACATTTTATACTGTCACTATTTATATTGATAACGTTATATCGGTATTACGTCCCTGGTGGACATCAATTAGAACTGCGACAAGAAAAACACGTTCTTTGTAGTACCTTTCTCAAAAATAATTTTGCAAAAACAAGAACATGTTGAAACGTATGAAAACAATTGATTCTCTTCTAAATTTCTAAAATTAATAAAGGTAGTCACATAACACCGGGGTTCTTGAAATATAAATACATGTATATAAATTGTACTTACCTAAGGCCAATACTGCTTCCATTTTAAAATCATCAAAACAGTTTTTCAAATTTCAGAAAAGGTGTAAAAAGCTTTGAAGGGGGTTAAATGTTCATCGTAAACTGTGACATTGCCAAATGTGGAAACTAAAAGGAATGTAGCTTTGACATCCTGGAAAGTCCTGTGATTCGACGAAACATTATTTAAGGATGTAAGGATATTATTTACAATTTAGCATAAATGGTCCTTATATTATTGTATTCTAAATTAAGCTGTATCCAATTGTCTTTTAAAATGAAGTTTTATTACATAAAACAGTTAAAGAAATGTAATATTGTGCTATGGTCATTTTTTTTATTCGTGTCTTTCATATTGTTTTTCTTTTTTGACATAGTTATTTTTTTATAGTGATTAAGATTATAACATAATATGCTGTACCCCAATTTTTGACTTTTTTACCTATTATGTTTGTTTGTTTTGCTCACACATTGTTGTCAATATAATGGAAATCTATGCCCCTGTCATATAAGTGAGAGGTTTAACTAGCTATAAAACCAGGTTTAATATACAATTTCTACATAAGGAAATATCAGGAATATGACAGTTGTGTCCATTCGTTTGATGTGTTTGGGCTTTTGATTTTGTCTTGTGATAAAGGACTTTCCGTTTTGAATTTTCCTTGGAATTCGATATTTTTGATATTTTACCTTTTAAAAATACATATATGAGACAATAAAAATTAAGGTACTCTGTGTGACGATACGCGGTAAAATGTTGTTTAAGATAACGTTATCGATGAATAACCTGCTCTATTTGTCTCTAATTGTATCACGGTAATTAATAAATGCGATTTGAATAATGACGATAATTTTTATACTATTCCTACAACATAAATGTAGCCAGCCAAGTTAAGATCATAGTACACCAAAGTCATTATAATATCTCTTTATATATTTGTTTTATTTGAAAACTTTTTTTTTTGTAGAACTGAGGAAAAAAAGATATTATGGCTGGCGCCTCGAACATGGAGTGGTGTAAACCATGTGGAAGAGAGGGAGAAGAACAAAGAGCTCATTCATGGTGTAGTGGCTGTTCAGAACCATTGTGTGAGGAATGTCTAAATTTCCATCGGAAAGGAAAAACAACAGAAAACCACAAAACAACTTCAATCCTCAAAATGTAAGGTTTTGTCTATATGAAAATATGTGATATTGTCCGTTTGACTTTTAAACATTTGCAGAAAATAATATGAAAAAAAACTAATCATATTATTTTTGATGTATGTTTATATATGATAAATACGAACTATGACGATCAAATTTATAATATCAGTTCTATAATTAAAATAGTTACGTATTAGGACTATATATCATTTTGATTTTTGAAGTGTTAAATACTTACTCATGTTACTGGAGTTAGTATAGATTTTGAATCAGACTTTCAATCAAAACAAAAACAACAACTGTCATGTGTCCTGAATGTCTGTTTAGTTGTACTTTGTGACTTAACATATTCAAATGCTAAGGGACACTAACAAAAATAATCATCACTTAACATTTTGATTAAAAAAATAATAGTTAATATATTTATGCTATTGATTCCTTAAACAAAAATGTTTCAAAAAAATCTTTTGTCTTTGTTTTATAAATTATTTCTATAATCTAAAAAGGACTATTTGCAAGCTTTGTATTCATTTCGCATGGTGAATTTCACAAAACAAAGATGCTCTGAAAAGATTTAGCAAGAAACACAGACGGAAAAATCCTTATATAAATATCTTTTCTTGGCAAAATACACATCTTTTGAGCGTTAAAATAAAAAAAAAACTAGAATAAGAAAATACAATTGTGAAAAGGCCTTAATGGCTCAATTAAAATAGATTGGTATTAATTGTCTACCTTACTTAAATTTAAAGAAAACATTACAATTACACCCAAAATTTAAAAAAAGAATATATAATTCCGAAAGTGTATAATTGTTTTGATGCAGAGTTGTAACAAAATCATTCGTTTCATTCATGGAATAGCATTGCCAAAATGAACTGCCTAATGTTTTATAATAAGTGAAAACAAATTTCAACAATCACATGACATTAAACTGGACTAAAATCTAATTTTGTTTCCCTGTCAGTTAAGGTCATTTTAATATCTTAATAAAGGCGACAGTAGTATACCGCTGTTTAAAAAGTTCTAAATGTGTAAAATCTCATATTTCAATGAAGCAGACATTCAAAGCACATGTATGTTGTAATGGTTTTAATTGGAAGACTGATACACTCTGTTTACTTATTCAAACAAGTCTTTATCCTTCAAAAAAAAAACAATTAGCAAAGAGACCTGATGGTTACCTTTTAAAACTATTGACCCACAATTTAAGAATTAATACTGTGGATTCATTATTATTCGTTGGATACCAATTTTCGTGGTTTTCGTGGGTACAGGTGAACCACGAATTGAAATGTTCAACGAATTACAAATTTTCTATCAGGTTGTATGCATGCTTTGGCAAAACCACGAAATCTGGTACCACGAAAATTGGTACCAACGAAAATAAATGAATCCACAGCAGTCAGTGTTCGCATATATCATATAGCAATATATACTAACAACAAAAATGTCGATTTGTAAAAATGGATGTTCAAGAAATTGTTTTCTTCAAATATGTAGAGGTCAAACGAACAATACGATTATGTCTTGTTTATTAGTTATATAATCCCACACCTACATTGGAAGCGGGTTCAATGAAAAGTGTTATTTACATAAACAATGATGTTTTATGTAGCAACTCATATGGCTATCATAATCATTACGAATTAGGGTTAATTTGAAGCATTAAAGACATTTTGGAAATTGACCTATTAAACGTTTGTTTCACTACCGTAAACTTAATCTGTAAATCTAAGTATGGACACATATAGTTTCTGCAACAGGCTTTGTAACTAATTATTAGTTTGTCTCATAATTAAAAGTGTTTGGTTCGCTACATGACTTTTCCCCAGCTCTATCATGGCAAGCATTATGGTTTTATAAAAATGCCAACCAATAGGAAGAAACAAACCTTAGTCAATGAACTGATCTCTACCTCTACGGGATATACAGAATAATTTCCACAACTTTCGTCAAATGTTCTATGGTCTATTTTCTGAAAGAATATCATTACTTGAAAACAGACATAATTATATAATGTTTCAATTGCTAGACCATAAATGTTCTGCTTTTACAGTTTATACTGTCACTTTTCATATTGATAAGGCTATATGCAGTATCAATTGATGCCCCTGGTTGACAAAAATCATGTTCTTTGTAGCACCTTATTCAAAAATAATTTTGCTTTTGCAAAATCGTACCTGAAATGCATTAAATAACTGTTTCACTTCTACACTTTCAATAAATATAGGTTATTTGATAACACCGAGGTCCTTGAAATATAAAGATATAAATTGTACTTATTCAAGACCAATACTGCTTCCAGTTCACAATCATAAAAATCGGTTATTCAAATAACAGAAAAGGTGGAAAAGCTTGAAAGCTAGTTTAATTCCTTTCCGCTGTAGACTGTGAAATTGCCAAATTAGGGATAATAAAAGGAGAATCAAGAGGTACGGAACTTTAAAAAAGAGGCAGAGGATACCAAAAGGACATCCAAATAAACTGCCAACGACATGGCTAAAAAAGAAAAAGACAAACAAACAAACAAAAGTACACAAAACACAACATAGAAAACTGAAGACTGAGCAACACGAACCCCGCCAAAAACTAAGGGTGGTCTCAGGTTCTCTGGAAGCAGATCTGGCTCCACATGCGGCACCCGTCGTGTTGCTCCCGTTAGTACAAACCCGGCAATAAGTCTTATTCGGTACGTGACATTCGGGGAAAAGGGGACGGGATTGTAGTTACGACAATTGGAATTTAAACATCTAATTCTATGAATCAAGGCATACATTATTTTCTGAAGTTTCGGATGGGAATATAACAATAGTATTTACAATTAAGAATAAATAGTCCACATTATTTGATTCTTTATCTGGCTGTATCCACTCGTTTTAAAATTTTATATTAAAATGGTAAAAAGATATAGGAGATGCATATATGAGGGGGGAAAGGGACACCCGTATGATGATAAACGATACAATGTTGTTAACTTTAACGATGAATATTTTGCTCTATATATCGCTAATTATAAAAATGACGATAATTTCTAGGTTCATTCGACGCTAACAGAAGCGTAAAATGAAAGAAGAGGTCGTTTGACGATTGCAATTAAATACCATTTCTACAGCACAAATGTAGCCAGCCAGTATAAGCTTATAGCAGTATACACGTATATACATCTTAATTCGTAATTCATACACATTCAAAATTTCTCTTAATATGTTTGTAATGGAAAATATATATTTCTTTTCTTGTAGAACTGGAAAAAAAGATAGTATGGCTGGCGCCTCAAACATGAAGTGGTGTAAAGCATGTGGTAGAGACGGAGAAGATCAAAGAGCTCATTCATGGTGTAGTGACTGTTCAGAACCATTGTGTAAGGAATGTCTAAAATTCCATCGGAAAGGAAAAACAACAGAAAACCACAAAACAATCCAAATCCTCAAAAGTTTTGGTTCATCGCGATCGGTTATCGAGATTCCAAAAACATGTCATATCCACGATTATAAGAAATTTTCTATCTATTGTATACATCACGATCAAATCGGTTGCGCCTCTTGTTTACGGGATCTGCACATCGAATGTGAAGAAGTAATTTCAATAGAGAAAGCTTCACGAAGCTTGAAGAGAACCGCGATTGAAGATTTACAACGGCGAATTTCAGATTGTTCGCTTATAATAAGAAAAATAATCGAATTGTATCAGAAAAATTTGAGTTCAATATCTGAACAGAAAAACGAATATAGAGAAAAAGTAAGTAAAGTTCGAAAGGATCTTAACACGTGTTTGGATGAGCTAGAACAAAATGTCGATAGAAAATTAGATGATTGTGATACAATATGCAAGGACGAAATTGAAAAAAGTATTAAAGATTTGACCACTAGAAAAAGTAAGTCAGAGTACTGGCACACTGCTATTGAAACGTTAACAGAAGATGATGATGATGGTTCCCAATCCAGAATCTTTGCAGCAATCAAGACGATAGACCATTTACAAGTCGAAGAAGAATCATTCTTGTCAAAGTTTCAAGAAGATTTGGTGGCATATGAACTGTTCTCGTCTCCATTTGACTTTTTAACAATTAAATCAATGCTAGCCACAATAGCTGATATAAAAATAGAGAAAATGAAAACTACAGTTCAACAATCATCGAATACCCAACAGATTGACACCTATATCCAACAAGGAAAAATCCAACTTCTTCACAAAATTAGCAGTTCTAAATTGGAAATGACAGCATTTGGCAAAGCCTGTCTTACTATGGACAATCGTATAGTTTTTGTCGGATACCCACTTCGTGTTTATGACATTAGTAGCTCCAGTGTTCACACAATACAAGTAGAATCTATATGGTCATCAGACATAACTTGTGATTTGAAAAACAATGTTTATGTGTCTTTTCCTGGTGACGGTATTTACAATATTGACATTAAGAACTTGAACGAAGGCCATCGTATCAACACAAAACAGGGTATATATCAACGGGTCAAACAGAAGAATGGCTTACTTTATTCAACCTGGGATGACGAGATCGTACTTTTCAATCAACAAAAAACTATAGTAAAGAAGATCGTACTTTTCAATCAACAGAAAACTATAGTAAAGACCTTGGAATGTATATTCAAGCCAGTATTTATGTGCGTCGAAAACTGCGATGGAATATACATTTCTGACGGTAAATCAATCATACGTATGACTGAAACTGGTTCACATAATATTGTTCCTACCATAATGGAGATGGGTGAAGTCATTACAGGACTAGACGTAGATGGGCAAGGGCAGTTATATGCATGTATTTATACCGATGTAGTAGGAACAGTTGTGCGAATAAACACGACTACAGGATACAGGGAACCAGTATTAGAAAATCTCGTAACTCCGTGTTATATCTCTTTTCATCCGACTAAGAATATGTTTCTTGTTATCACTGATCGCGGAAAGGAATGTTCAGTTTATTTTGTCACAAATTAACATGAACTTTTTAAATACAGTCGACTCTCGTTATTTCAAAGTCAGCCAGACCAGAGAAATATTTCGACATACCCATAGTTCGACTCAAACGGAAACAAGAATTTTGACATACTAAGGGACACAACACTTGCTTAGCCAGATCGATGTATTTGTATGTTATGGCCTTTATATTTTATGTCTCTTATCTATTTTTTTGTACTTGATAAAGTTGAATTAAGTTTTAATCTTTAAATTATAATTGACATGCTTGTTAAATACACATAAAATTTATCTTGAATCACAAATTATATTGTCTTCATCGTTCAAATAAGTTCATTGTTTGAATTTTATTTCCTTAATGTTCAGTGGCAAATATTTCATTCATATCCAGACCAGGACAAATCAACAACAACTTCAAGAAAGTTCTGAAATATAAATGATCTGGGAGGAAGGGCGGGACATTGCACTGCCACTAGTAAAAATGGACAATTTAATGTCACATACTTCTAACAAATTGCCCCTCTTTAAAATGTTTTACTAACACCAATTTCGTCTAATTATCTCGTTTTTGACATGTACTATTCGATCATGATGGTTGTTGTATTAAGAAAAAGTCTTTTAAAAAGCATCTGTAAAGGAATTAAAGGTATAAAAATAAATTTTGTGTCGTCGGATTTCTGTCTAAGTGATGTATAACTAGGATATTTTATTCATAATGTTGAGCATTTACATTCACTGAATCATTGAATTGAGTTGCAAGGTTTGATTCCAAACTCGAAAAAAAAAAATGAACGAATGAGCCTCTTTAACAATTGACAGAAAATTTCAATTTTTTAGACTAACAGCTAAGCTGTTAATTGAACAATAATCCATCTGAATTTTGCATTTCAATAGGATATTAAAAACTGCGGGTTTTGAGTACAAATTAACTGTTTGATGGACACTACATTGTTTCACAAAAAAGTATCAATAACCAAAAGTATACAGAAGTGCGTGCATGCAGATACATTGTGTATATTTCAATACATTGAGAGCATGGCGTGTCGAATTCCTGATAGCATAATTTTCAGCGACACATATTTTACATTTACACATTGTTTATAGTCAAGCGGATATAAACTAATTGGGATATTCAAGTTCTAGACATAGTGGAGGGTCTTGATGGGTTTGGTTTACAGAATAGGGAATAATGGGCAAAAAGTGCTGAATAAATGGCTAAAAATTAATGAATAGAGAAAAAAAGGCTAAAATTTAAAGAATAGAGAATAATGTGGTGCTAAAATATAAAGAATAGAGACTAATGGGGTGCTAAAATATATAGAATAAAGAATAATGAGCAAGATGTATAAACAAAAGTGAAAAATGGCTAAAAATTAAAAAATACAGAATTGAAGACACTCCCCCCCCCCCCCCCTACAATTCCAGACCCTCACAGTGATGATACTACATTGGATCGGCTCTTTGTATTAAGCAAAATACATATCTTGTATATAGATCATGACTTAGGGCCTGGGGTTTCAGTCTTGCATATGTCCAGTCATTGACACTAAAACTCAATGTTTTCATAATCACTACTTTTTTCCCAGTTATCATGGGTTAAAGGACAACAATGTGTGTTGGATAAATTTATTGCAAGATGTTCATACAGGGTTCATCTCAACTTGACCTTATTTCATGGTTCAATGATCGATGTTACTTTTTTTCCTTACTAGGTCCATTTTTTAGATACTATCTGTTTGGTCAACTGCTTTGATTGTATATAATGATTACAAAGTGTACATTTCGGTCTAACAGGAATTGTGAAAAATCTTTTTCTCAGAAACTATCAGCAGTAGATCAAATACACTGTATGAGGGGCCTTATGGGTTATTTTCGTTCTTCGTGATCGGCGCATTTTCGCTATCGTGATCGGTTTTTCTACAGATTTATTTTTTTTTTATATTTTCGTGATCCGTGACCCCCCCCCCCCCCCCCCCCCATCAGGCCCCTCCTGTATGTGCAGAAACTTGTAATGTTTACATGTTCGTTTGACATACCTTGGCCAATTGTTTCATAGTTCATTGGTCAACGTTAAGTTTTCGTGATTATGTCCGTTTCTTAGATACTTTTAGTAAAAGGTCAAATACACTGTAAGATGTGCATGTCCTTCTGACAGGGTTATTCTTAATTTTGAGGTACCAAGTTAAATTATCCCTTTATATATCCGACTCCGCTTAACGTTTTGTACAAAGCAGGGTATATTCTATCTCATTTACAAGTGTATGTACATGGTCAAGGTCGGATGAACCCTGTAACCAATAGTTAAAATTGAGAATGGAAATGGGGAATGTGTCAAAGAGACAACAACCCGACCATAGAGCAGACAACAGCCGAAGGCCACCAATGGGTCTTCAATGCAGCGAGAAACTCCCGCACCCGGAGGCGTCCTTCAGCTTGCCCCTAAACAAATATGTATACTAGTTCAGTGATAATGGACGTCAAACTAAACTCCAAATTATACGCAAGTTGTTTATTTGTCACCGGACGTTAAACAGTCTTTTATTTAGCATGCGCTGCAGAAGGAAGCATACATGTTAGAAGGATCGAATTGGGTCTATAATACAATGGAACTTAAAGAATTTCATCATCATGTCGGGTGTTAAATCTCTTACATTTTTCTTTCAACATCATAAAGAAGCATAATATTTGTCGCAATTTTGTAACTGAGGAGATCTCGAATTCCCGCAGTTTTGTATAGCTGATTACCGAAAAGAATAAAGATTAATAAAACAATCAGGCCCCAGCCTCATATAAACTTTAGGCTCATTCAAAAGTCATTTGGTCTTTTGGATAATATTTGATGGCATTTGACCTTAACCTAAATCAACCGAAATGAACTTTATAGTAACCAAATGTAGTTGTTTTTGCACTCATTTTATGGAAAAGTCCATGAAAACCAGATATTTCTACAATTAGTTTACAATAACCTAGAAAAGACACCAAAAGTAACAATGTGTAAACCGATAGTGACAAATAATATCCCGTATTGCATGCAAAAGTACATAGAAATCATGTATTTGTCTTTAATCCGTATTATGTTAGCCAATATTCGACGAAAATTAACTTTGATTAAACATATTAAATTGATAAAAAATACAATATTGTTTTATTGATATTCTAACAAACCCTTATTCTCTAGTTGGAGTAAAATAACGGTGTGTATGGGTAACCAGAATAGAGAATAATGAGCAGAAAATATAATGAACAGAGAAAAATGGACCAAAAAAGTAAAGAATAGAGAATAATGGGAAAAAAGTATAAAACAAATATAGAAAAATGTCATAAAAAATTATAGAATACACAATACCGTGCATTAATTGTTTATCTTATTTTGTCTCAAAATTAATGAAATACTTGTCACTGAACGTTAAGCAAGCAAAATTAAATCGTTTTCAAACTTTTTTATTTCGTTTTTTTTAAAGTTCGAACTATCTCGTCTCCTTAAAGATAAATACAACATAAATAGTAGTTTATTACAGTTTAGAAATAATTTAATATCCTAATTTCCAGAAGATCTTTTTGTGTCGTTTTAGATAAAATTATAAATAGACATAATAGTGTAACCTTTTGTAACATGTCAAATCTTTTCGTGAAAAATTCGAATCAACTTTTATTTCTGTCGTACTACACTTTAACAAGGTTATCATGTGACTATTTAAACCACCGTCTACGCATTATTATCTAAATCTTTTTTTAATACTAACTGCACTGCACTGATGTATTTTTCTTATACACGCTCGCATTATATACTAACTCTTTAACTTTCAACTTTATTTGATCACTCAGACACATTACATATACGTGTAACAAGAGGAATACAATATTTACATATGTACAAACAATACAAAGTAATAGTGGGAATGAAAAAGAAAAAAAATATACATTATTATAAAATCACTTCACAAAATGTTTATAAGTTTACTAATAAACAGTTATAGATTTTTTATGACCCACTTTAAGCTAGCTTTTCCTGAAATGAAGTTTTGCAACACCTCTATTGAAAGAAATGGAGGTTAAACTTTGACGGTTCGTACATATCTTTTTATGGAAATGCTTAAAATGATTTGAAATTAACAGCAGTTAAGGATGTTGAATTGATTAAAGAAGTACTCTCTAGAAAATACAGTAAACAATTTTGGGTAAAAAACATCTTCGCTAGCCAAGGGTTACAATCCAGTCCCCTCCTCTTCGAGAGAGGGAAGAGGAGAGGGAAGAGGAGTGGACTGGATCGTAACCCTTGGCTAGCGAAGATGGGTAAAAAAGTGCTCTCCGTTTTCTTTTTTTTTATTATTTTTATTTGCGAGGAAAATGTTTGTTTCAGTTCACATGTAATCATTTATGCCATCAGATTCACCCCTTCGTTAATTTTGTGCGTTGTAGACATTTTTTTTTAACGAGCCCATGTGAAAACAATTATAAAAAGTGTTATTTTCAGTCAGAAGTTGTGTTGGTTAACCTTTTTTTGAATAGTAATAATCATCAACAACTACTATGTATTAAAAAAATATATTAAATTCCATTTTTGTAACCACAGGCTTTTATTTTCCTTCCACGTTTTGACATTTTTGAAACTTTATTTTACCTTTAAAATACGACAATTGCCACTATAGTAGAGCAGATTATCCTTCCAGAGAAATCGAGTTTGCCCGAACTATGTTTATGTTCTTGTTTAAATCTTCAGTTTTGAATACGACAATTGCCACTATAGTAGAGCAGATTTCCCTTACACAGCAATCGAGTTTGCCCAAACTTTGTTAATGTTCTTGTTTAAATCGTCAGTTTTTGTCTCGGCTTGACGGAGTCAAAAAGCGAGACATAGGTATGCTGTTTCCGGCTGCGGCTGCGGCGGCGGCGTCAACAATGTATTGGTTTGTGATTAGGTCTATTTCATGGTGAACCACTAGTGGTAGGTCAATGATATTTGGTATGCAGTTGTATAAGCATTGGCACATCTCATTACCATGGAGATTATTTGACCCCGCCCCCTCAGTCAAGGTCTATTGACTTTGAAACTTTGCTTAGGTTACATGTATTAGTTTGTGATTAGGTCAGTTTATGGGGAACCACTAGTGGTAGAACAGTGATATTTAGTATGCAGTTGTATTAGCATTGGCACATCTTGTTACCATGGAGATTATTTGGCCCCGCCCCCTCAGTCAAGGTCTATTGACTTTGAAACTTTGCTTAGTTTACATGTATTAGTTTGTGATTAGGTCAGTTTATGGTGAACCACTAGTGATAGGTCAATGATATTTGGTATGCAGTTGTATAAGCATTGGCACATCTCATTTCCATGGAGATTATTTGGCCCCGCCCCCTCATTCATGGTCTATTGATTTTGAAACTTTTGCTTAGTTTTCATGTATTAGTTTGTGATTAGGTCAGTTTAAGATGAACCACTAATGTAAAGTCAATGATATTTGGTATGCAAATGTATTGGCATTTGCAAGTTACATTTCCATGGAGATTATATAACCCCACCCCTAATTATGGTTCATTGACTTTGAAACTTTTACATAGTTTATAAGTTAATGTTTGTGTTTAGGTTTGTTTAAAGGGAACGACTTACGAAAAGACAATGGTATTTGGTTTGCAATTGTATTAACATTGGCACATCTCATTTCATGGAGATTGTTTAGCCCTGTACCGTCAGTCATTGTTCATTGACTTTGAATATATGCATAACTTACATGTTAAAGTATTGCTATTTTAATTTCAACATTTGAATTATCAAAATAACAAATAGGCGAGACATATCTCTGTGTTAACAGTTTATGTAATTGATGGTGAGTGACTGTTCTTCGTCTCTAATACTATTTTCTTAATTGGTATTCTTTGTATTCTTTCGACTGAAAGCTTTGACTGCATGTTTGGTATAATCTTACGTTTGAAAAGCCAAATCTGGAATTTTTAAAATCGGGTTTAAAGATATCAGATAATCAAAAGCAAACAAAAACAGCTATTTTTACGAACAAAATTTTAAAAAAGGTGTGTCTGAAAGTAGGAAACTGCTCTACTTTTTATTTAAATGACCATAAGGTAGCAATATACAGTTAGGTAAATAAATAAAATTTTACCGTAATAAATTTTACCATCCCCTTTTCCTTGCTTTCTTACAAATTAAGCCTACAGTTTGTGTCATATATGTGCATATGTATGTAATCAGTATCTTCCAAAGATTTGATTTCCAGTAGTTAAAATGATTAAATAAAGTTTCTTTTAGGTGTATCTATGGCAACAGTCTGCATTTAATAGCTATAAAATATTGCAAAAAGGGGGGTAAAGTTGACCAAAAGCAGGATTTCAATCCCTTGGAGTGATACCTTTTCTAAAACTGTTTGCATATATCTATCAAGAGATCAAACAAGAGTGCACACGCTGAAATGTCTCACCTTCTTTACTCAACATTGATATTATGTTGATAGTCCTAAATATAAAGCTTTACTACAACTATCACATCAATTAAACATGATCAAAGAAAATGAGGTCAAGGTCAGATAAACCAAACTGGAAATACATGTACACCTTACAATCATTCCATACACCCAATATGCTTTAAATATAGTTGACCTATTGCACATCAAATAAACAAACTTTAACCAGGAACACTTAACATTGATCAATGAACCATGAAAATGAGGCCAAGGTCAGATGAACCCCGCTCGACAGACATTTACACCTAACAATCATTACATGCTTTAAATATAGTTGACCTTTTGCATATAGTATCTAAGAAACAAACTAAACCAGAAAAACTTAAGATTGACCAATGAACCATGAAAATGAGGTCATCGTCAGATGATAATTGCAAGACAGACCAGTGGCGGATCCAGAGGAGGGGTTCCGGGTGTTGGAACCCCTCCTTTTTTCTTGACGATCAATGCATTTGAATGGGGACATATAGTTGGAACCCCCCCCCCCCCTTTATCCTGGGTTGGGAATCCCCCTTTTAAAAAATGCTGGATCCGCGCCTGCAGACATATACACCTTACAATCAATCCATACACCAAATATAGTCGACCTATTGCTAATAGTATTAGAAAAACATACCAAAAAAACAAATATTTAACATTGAGCAATGAACCGTAAAAATGAGGTCAAGGTCAAATAAAACATGCCAGGCTTACATGTACATCATAAAATAATTTCATACACCAAATATAGTTGACCAATTGTATACAGTATTAGAACAACAGACCAAAACACAAAAACTTAACTTTAACCACTGAACCATGAAAATGAGGTCAAGGTCAGATGACACCTGCCAAATGGACATGACCACCTTACAATCATTCCATACACTAAATATGGTAGACCTATTGCTTATAGTATCTGAGATATGGACTTTACCACTAAAACTTAACCTTGTTCACTGATCCATGAAATGAGGTCGAGGTCAAGTGAAAACTGTCTGACAGGCATAAGGACCTTGCAAGGTACGCACATACCAAATATAGTTATCCTATTACTCATAATAAGAGAGAAATTAAGAAACTGAATACTAAAAATCTTAACTTTTTTCAAGTAGTCACTGAACCATGAAAATGAGGTCAAGGGCAATGGACATATGACAGACGGAAACTTTATAACATAAGGCATCTAGGATCCAGCTAGGTCTTCTACCTTCTAAAATATTAAGCTTTTACGAGGTTAGCTAACACCGCCGCCGCCGCCGCCGGATCACTATCCCTATGTCGAGCTTTCTGCGACAGAAGTCGCAGGCTCGACAATAAAAATTATATGTCTTTTGTCTCATTTTTTGGTAAAATTGTGTCAAAAAGTTCGTGTAAAAAAAGTGTTTGTAAACATATCAATAATTTCTGGATCTATGACCGGTCTGGCTATGAAAATACGGACAGTCAAACAGAAAATAGCCCATAAAACATGTAAAAAATAATCCTGAAGTTCTTATAATCCCACTTTGAAGGCTAAATTAGTCATCAGCTGTCTAATCACTAGCCAGTCAACACTGTGGTTGTGAGTTCGAATCCCACACGGGGCAGGTCCACTCCAAGGACTCCAATTGACTAGGATTTGTCTGTTTTCCTACTGAAGGTCGGTGGTTCTCTCCGGGCACTCCGGCTTCCTCCACCAATAAAAACTGACCGCCACAAAATAGCACAATAGTGTTGAAAGTGGCGTTAAACACCAATCAATCAATCAAAAATAACTTTCATATTTGAAAAATTCACCATGGCCAAAATGCGAAACTTCATTCCTAACTGTGTATTGCTACCTAAGTTATATTTAAGATAAAATTAAAGCCAAATCTGCGAGGTTTCTAAAGTCATTGATAGGTCATTATGTGAAATTTTTTTATACAACTAATATATCGCAAATACAAAAGTCCGACTTTTGTTGAATTTTCTGAATGAAATAAATGTTTTGTCCGAATCTTATACCCAAATATGTAGAGTTGTAGCGCGTAACCGTTAATGTGTTTCCGTTTTATTATATTTATGAACATTCCTTATTTAATCACGTAAACTTGTATTTATTTTTAAATTCCGTTTTTAAATGGTTAAATAAGAATATTAAATATCGCCAATATAGAGTAAACATGCTATCGATTTCAAATTTAAATTTTTTTCATGGTTTTCATTTTTCAATTAGCTTCATTGAAAATTAATGATCCAGTCAAGTAGATAAACATTTTGTTCAAATCAAAACAATAGACTTGTTTATACCTTCTTTTTAACATGAAAGGAATTGGTTTATTTTCGGACCCATCTACAAATTTAAACACTGACCGAATTTTTGTAGACCAAATGAGAAGGATAATATAGAACAAAATGGTGAGTAAGAATATAGGTGTAAAATTTTACATTTTAAGTATTAAGAGAAGCTAATGTTTTGTTGAAATTGGCAAACTGAGTTATTTCAAAAGTCATAATATGTTTTGTCTCGTTCTTAAGGGACCCTTATGTCACGTCTTTGATTGAATTTTGTGTATTTATTGAGGACGTGTAGCGTTGCTCGTTTGGAATTTTGATCTTCCTCTGCTTAAAATCCTTTAATATTTTCTTTCCTTTTTTTTTAACTTTGGGAAATCGGTAGCAAGCATTATTTTCATTGTCCTTTAAGAAATATTAACTTTTTAAAAATGTTAAATTTGAAATGTTTGTGTTATAATGATTTGAAGGGGGGAAAACAGATTAAAAATTTATCAATGCTATCCCACAAGTGATTTCACACAAAAAATGGCATAACAATTTTGCTATTGACAGGTCTATAAATGTTACTACAAAGAACAACTATTCAATATGACTAATTACCAAAACAGTTATATTGACTGTCCTGAATTATAAGCACCATTTTTCACATTCCAGGAGTAAGGTTACGCGAGGAAGGGGAAAAGGGGGAGGTGTAATATGGGCTCCGTTCTAGATCTTAATTGTATCGTTTAGCTCCAGGCTCAAGATTATGAATTGTAGGTTAATTTCAGCAATTTTGGGGAGGGTGTTCCGGGCACCACTGATAGGACTCCAGTTTCCTCTTGCTGGAATCTTGGCTCCGCTGATAGGCTTCGAGCTCTAGTGATAGGGAACCAGACGACAAATTGACAGGGGTGTGATTGTCAGAAAAGTAAAGCGGCCGTACTTTTTTACACCACATAAAACCATTCATTATTTATAACTAAAATATAGAAGAGTATCAAAATGACCTTGCTAATAAGAAAAAAATAGAAAATTTTGAATCGGGAAAATATGTAATAGACAGTGATTCAAATAGCAATAACATTTATTTACTAATAAATTAAATAAAACAAGAGCTGGGCTGTTAGAAAAAGACTATATGGAGGAGAGTTGTCTCATTAGCAATCTTCTTATATTTATAATAAAATCTCTTCGACAATTATAGCAAAATCTAACATAAGCATGTGAATAAAGAGTAAAGGATTATGTATATGAAAGCGTAATTTCATTCCACCATGTATTTATTTGACTCGCAACTCGACTTTCGTAACTCGCAACTCGACTTTCGTAACTCGCAACTCGACTTTCGTAACTCGCAACTCGACTTTTGTAACTCGCAACTCGACCTTCGTAACTCGCAACTCGAATTTCGTAACTCGCAACTCGACTTTCGTAACTCGCAACTCGACTTTTGTAACTCGCAACTCGACTTTTGCAACTCGCAACTCGACTTTTGTAACTCGCAACTCGACCGTCGTAACTCGCAACTCGACTGTCGTAACTCGCAACTCGACTTTCGTAACTCGCAACTCGGCCTTTTCAACTCGCAACTTGCAACTCGACGATAAGAAACCTCGTATTTATTCCGGGTAACTGTTTTTCACTAGAGAATATTGGATGTAAATAGTGGAAAAGCGTCGATCTTGATATCGTTGTTTTGTTTATATTAGACCGGTTTATTGTTTACATAAATTAAAAGGTTAAAATTAGAATAATTTTCAAGGAACCAGTTTAATTAATCTGAATCAATCTTGCGCTATTTTATGATATATTATAAAGTCGTACAACATAAAATGTAATTTTGACGGGGTTTTCGCACTTACTTCAGAAATGGATGAGAAGGAATATGTACTTAAAAATTGCAAAAATATCCTGAAGATTTAAGTGAAAATGAAAAAAAAAGAATAAGAGCAAAAAAGGACGTATTTGTAATCAAAACACACGATGGAATGGATTGTCTGTATATAAAAACTGAGGTTCAAAATAACTGGAACAAAATCACTAGTGTAATCCTCCATGGTAGAAAAGCACTAGTGTAATCATTCCTGCATGGTTCAAAAACACTAGTGTGAACATTCCTTGGATGAAAAACACTAGTTTACTTTGTCCTTTTATTACATAAATCAACTATGCAAGTTTCAGTTCATTCAAATACCCCCCCCCCCCCCCCCCCCCTCCAAAAAAAATACCAAGCCCCATTTTTTATATATTTCCCCTGTGACCACTATAACACATGTGTTATAGCAGTCTCAGATTTCCCGTTCAAAAATCAAAAAACCCTCTTTAGAATCTCATGATGTGTGGTGGATATTTTACACTGGACCCAGATTAAAAAAAAACTAGTGATTTTTAAAAACACTAGGAATTTTCATCCTCCGGATATCACTGTGTATCATCGCCACCGGAAATTGGGTACTAACGAAGAGGAGAGAAATGAAAAAAAAGTAAACAAGGTAAGAATTCATTCAATTTAAAGCATTTCTACTGATTTGACGAGGGTACCGCTTAAGAAATGATTTTCTGATATATAATTCTTTAAATTATTAGGCCGATAAGTACAAAATTATGTCAAGATTTTGTGTTATACTCCAAAACTTGCCACTTAGTACCCGAAAATTTCGAGGTCGATCGTCCTTTGTCGCCCCATTGGCAAGATATTCAACTATTTTTCATTATTTTTTCAGACACACTTTAAGATTATTATAGTGTGGCATCATATTTACTGAGATTTGTAGTCAAAAAGATGTTTTTTTTAAGAATATAGACCATAAAAAATAAAGTCTAGGGTACGGCAACTTGCTCGTGTTGACAAATTTACTGTATGGCAACTTGTATTCAACTGTATGGCAACTTGCTAATTTTAAAATATTTATTTGCCGTCCTTTTAAAGAAAATAAAGTATTAAGTTCATATATCCAATTATGCATTTGATAAAAATACAATTCGCTTGACAGCATTTAAGATGTATACACAATATAAGGCTTGAACACAGTCCTATTAGTACATCTTTTACATACTCGATTTATACAATATGAATACGGCATATATACAAAAGCTGGCAAATGTTGCAACTTTCGAAAAGGCATGTCACTGTTTCACTGACCTATTTTTATGCCCCTGACGTTATATGTGTCTGTCCCCGGTGAGGAACATGTATAATATAGCGGCTGTCGTAGGTTGCTGTCTGACATTTGTTCATGATTTTGTCATAAATCAGGCAATTTTGATACAGTATATGGGTTTTGTTCATTGTGAAGTGTATAATGACCATTAGTTGGTCAAATCCGTTTCATTTGGACTTTGTTGGATAGTCCTCTCACTGAAAATCATTCCACATCTCCTTATTCAATTAATGTTATTGTCTTATTTGTAAAAGGCAGATACAGCCAATATATTATAATAAAGAAATGAACAAGCTCGGTGGCTAACACTGTTTGAATTTTTAAAAATATCAACCTTATATTAATCATTTTTGGAAAGAATGAAAGAAAAATCCGATACCAGGGATACAAATCCCGCTGTGGCTTCGGCATAAACTATTTATATAAACTTTTTACTTGAGAATAAAGATGACCTTGTATGAAGTTTTTTTGGTTGTCATTTTAATGCTATATACTTATAAATACAATACACAAAAGCTAGCATCTTCGACTTGTAAGTTAATGAAATATAATCAAATAACATCATGATAAGGACAGGTTGAAATATTTTTTAATTCCTGATGATGCATACTCATAAATTCTTTTGGAAAAATCTATGAAAATTTAAATGTTGATTTGAAAGCGTTCTTTTATTTATTTGCCCTCGTAAACAGTTTTGTTAAAATACCGAAATCGGTAAATTCTTATCGTGAAAGAATAAGTCGGGTACACCTTTTTACATTCAGTCGTGCTTTAGTTGCAATTTTTTCTTCTTATTAAGAAAAATGATTTTAAGCACTTTTTTCTTCTTATTAAGAAAAATGATTTTAATTTTAGCATCTATCTAAAGATTATATTGTTTACACACACCCAAAAATAGGGCTAACTGTTGATTTTGAAACACTTTGAATTTATATCCAACCAAACAGATAGGCCGAGATCCATACATTTATAAGTTTCAAAACAGAGAAGGTGTGTTTGAAAACAAATAATCACGTGCTGCTACATGTATATCTTTTAAAGCAAATGCAAGTCTTACTTGTATTAATTATATAATTTTAATTGGCACAATATCACATTAAAATTTACTGAGAAATATTATACATAGTAATCATGAAAATTTAAGTACATTGAGAATTCGGACTAATACACTCCATCTCACTACCCCTCCATCTACTCCTTTAAGTTTAGGCCAAACAGCCTTAGCAAAAGTCTTTTATTCTTTTATCCCTGTAAATAAAAAGATTGAATGAATTTACTTAAACTAAAAAAAATACAATCTTATTTTCGATAAGAAACAAGAAAATTAATTCGAAACACAATTCATGATTTATTTCTCCTAATTTTCAATGAAAAAAAGGTATTTTCTTCACTTTTCTTTCAACAAATTATTCGTTTCAGAAATTAAAAAATAAACAACGAATTTTACCCAGGACATTCTTAAAGTGTCTGTCCGAAGTCACGAGCCTGTACATGTAGTTCGGTGGTTGTCGTTGGTTCATCGCTATCATATGTGTTGTTTTTCGTACATTGTTTTGTTATGAGTTAGGCCGTTAGTTTTCTTGTTGAATCCTTCCACATTTTTCATGTCGGGGCTTTTTATAGCCGACTATAAGGTACGAGTTTTAGTTGTTGAAGGCTGTACGATAGCATATAATTGCTTACATACAATTTATTTGACCCTGGTGAATAGTTCTTATTTGCAATCATACCACATCTCCACTGTTTATATTAAAAAAAAAATTCTTTCAAGCACCAAGGAAGGATGAATGGTCGTTTTTTTTTATTGAACTTACAAAATTTCACCCTGACAACAAATAAGACAACAGTCGTTAGTATTATAACGATATATGAATGTATTTAGGATAATATGGTTGAAAAAAACCTTTTTGTCTTTAAAAACACAAAGTCGAATAGAGGTACGCAACGACGACTTCTGAACAAAAGTAACGGCATATATTTTATAATATTTGATATGTAGTTTATTTTGTATATTTGGAAGCCGGTAAAGCTTTAATATGGACAAAATATCGTCACTTGATATTTTCTAAACAGTGATTAATTTCATCTTTAAATTACAATATATTGCAAGACGCCGTACAGACAAAAGTTGTTATTCTGCAATTCGCCGTACAACGTTCTGCAATTCGCCGTACAATAAACAAACAATATGTTGATCCATATTCTTTAAAAAACATCTTTATGACAACAAATCTCAGTAAATATGATGTCACACTATCATAATCTAAAAACATGTCTGGAAAAATAATGAATAACAGTTGAATATCTTGCCAATGTGGCGACAGAGGACGATGGACCTCGAAATTTTCGGGTACTAAGTTGCAAGTTTTGAAGTATAACACAAAATCTTGACATAATTTTGTACTTATCGGCCTAATAATTTAAAGAATTATATATCAGAAAATTATATCTTAAGCGGTACCCTCGTCAAATCAGTAGAAATGCTTTAAATTGAATGAATTCTTACCTTGTTTACTTTTTTTTCATTTCTCTCCGCTTCGTTAGTACCCAATTTCCGGTGGCGATGATACACAGTGGATATGGCGGAATCTATCCACTGTTACATATACACCATACAGTGACCAATGGTGGCTAACTTCCGTTACATTCGGTCTTTTCTGGATAGTTGTCTCATTGGCAATCATACCGTGGCCACACCTCCTTATTTGTATATTGATCAACATGGGGAAAAAACTGAAAATGAATATTGAGTCGTTTGTAATATTTATTATGACTTAATATACGCATGATGATTTTTAATATATTTAGAAATTTACAACATTACATTTTTACGTTACACTTGTAGGAATTGTCGTACGATGTCCAACTTTGCAACGAAGTTTTAATGTACTTTATGGACAGGAAATCTGATGGTGCAGATTCAAACATAAATGAAGTCTACAAAAACCTATTTGTAGGAAATGAGTAAGTAAAAATATTGTCCTTTGTTTTTTTTCATTATACTTCTTTTTTTTTTTTTTTTTTTTTTCCTTTTTTTTTTTTTAGGTTAACACACATTGTTCAACTATAGGTAACTGGCCATATGTCAAGCTCTAAACTCTCCGAGTTTAGTACATAAGTTGTGAGTGAATTGAACAGATTCATAGAATACTATCATGCTTTTACAATTTTACACTGCAAAATACGTGCAGAGATTATTTACTTCATGTATGGTTCAGATCATGGCAGTCCTGAAATCATTGATTACTGAAAATGCGCCACCACATCTACAAATTCATACATGTAGCTAGAAACTGAAGCAAGTGGTAACAATTTCAGTGACACGTTTTCGGAGGATACCAAACAGGCGTTGTTTAAGTGAATAGAACAGCTAAAACAAAATGCAATCATATTACAATGATTTACTCCATATTCCTTTTTTCAGGGTTATTGCACGGGATGCAGCAAAGCTGAAGGAACTTGGAATAAATCTTGTTATAAATCTGTCCCCAAACGAAGTGAAAACGAACCCATTAATTTATGAACCTTATGACATAAAATATTGTCCACTTAGTTCGGATGATAACGTGTACACATGCTTAATAAATATTGTTGAAGATGGTGCTGACCTGATAGAGGACACCATAAAAGATGGAGGTAAGATTTCATTAAATTAATGACTCAACTAATGATTAATCCATTTCTGGTATCAATATTTATTTTTTACCGAGCACGTTCCTCGTACTTTAAGCCGTTTGTATGGAATTTCAAAACAATTATAAACGCATACAAGCAACCAAACAGTAGAAGCTTTTGAAACCCTCTCCTTTGCATAAAGAACATACATGTATATGGTGTTAGGGAGCTACCATTTGATTTTTATGGAAGGGGGGGGGGGGGGGGGGTAGGATGAAATTTGAAAAAAAGGCAGGACATGAGTTTTGAGTAAAAAAAAAGGCAGGCTGAGCAACTTGGCAAAAAAAAGGCAGGCTGAGCAACTTGGCAAAAAAAAGGCTGCACTGAATAGAGTGAAAAATAAAAAGGCAGGACAGATATTACAACAACAAAAATGCAGGACAAAATTGTTCATCCTTGCAACAATCCCCCCCCCCCCCCCTAAAAATCAAATGGTAGCTCCCTTACCTACATACTGCATGTGGAAAGAAAAAAATATAATTTATGTATGTTATCAATTATTAATATGAGTAATGACTGAACAAATTTCTAAATCCTAAAAAAAAACATTATAATGCCGTTTATTTAATTAGACGTTATTTTTTATTTATTTTTAAGACAACACAAATTAAACATTATCATTCTTTCATTGCAGGTAAAGTCCTGGTTCACTGTTCAGGCGGAGTCCGAAAATCGCCCGCAATGGCAATTGCCTACCTCATGCTAAAGGAACAGTTACCTATCTGGAATGCCGTAAAGTGTATCAGAAGATGTCGTAAAGTGTGTCCTAGCAACGGTCTCATTATGCAATTGTGTAGTCTGAATAAAGAAATATTTGACGATGTTACGCACAAATAGATAGAAAATGAGAAAAAACATGGCTGCATTTACATTTAATTTTAGTGATCATGCTAGTATGATATTAAGTACAGCTCTTCGCATTACAAAGTTTACACTTTAGAAGTCCCTGTTCCAATAACTCATATCGTTAGAGTAACACCACTCTTTGGATTTTTTCTAAAACATGACTCATTGTGCTATTTGTTAAAGCTACCTCAATTTTACGTGACTCTGGTGTGATTGAAGTTTGACCAAACATACTTGTGGTGTTCAAGTATGTAAATAAATAAATATATGATTCAAATGTATGTGTTTCATAGTATTATAAGCCATACATATATACTTAATAATTATGCTCGATAGTCATTTATAGTGGTCTAGCCGTAGACTCCGATCAGCTATTACATGACATGTTAGATGAATGTTAACAGCCGAGAGTCTAAAGTTGAGACATTTTAAAAAAAAAGAAACATCTCAAAAGTATGAATTTCATTATTGATTTACTAGGTGTCTATGTACAGTGGCAGCTTTTGTAACGTTGCTACCAAAGAATATATATAACAACTGATGTAGCAAATTTTTGTTTTAGAAAACAATTGGTAATGAAATTCATCCATATTTCCTAAGTTTAATATATAATAAATATAATTTATAGTTGATTGGTTGGTTGGTTATAAAATGTTTGACTTATATCAGTTCTTCATATCGATGGGCAAACTCCGAAACAGTGGTAACGTCTTCCTTGCTACACTACGTTGACTTTGATAGTTAAGCGAAGCAACGGCACCACTGTTTCGGAGTTTGATCGATGGGTCGGTTGTATTGATCGATTTGTAGTAAGTTTATTGATTGATGGATTGATTTATTGACAATTTGTATACTGTAAAGAGATGTATATTTCACATGGTCTAATTCATTGATTGATTGTTTATGTGACGTCCAGTGACAAATATTTGACGAATATGTTTTACTCAAAATAAATACAATGGAATTTTCAGATTCACGTTAACACGGGTCCGATTTAAATTACAATAAAAATGCAAATACATACCCTACAAAAAAATAAAACATAAAGTCCAAGGAGTTCTAGAAAAGGGAATTAAATTTATAAAGTAAGATTCAGGGATATTTCACATTTTGACAAGAAAGAATATTGACAGTTCAAGGGTATTATATAGGTCCTCCAAAAAAATTCTAAGCTTTCATAACTTTTAATAGCCTGGCTGAACAGAAGATTAGCTCAATACAGCGAAAGCATAATTTTCTTTATCTATCATATTAATACAATTATTAACATAACAGGCAAAAAGTGATTAAAAAAATCGTCATTAAAAGGACAATAACTGCTATCAGGAGTCGATTAACGATTTCTACAATGTTGAAACCAACTGTTCCAAGTGGTGAAGTTGAAGTCATCCCTTCGAAAATTTACGGACATCATGGGTTGGTTGAAAGTTATGGAATAACTGTTTCACAGATGACGACGGATATGTTCCAATCGTCGTAAACACAATCTCGTCCTCCTTTTCCCAGAAAGTGACCTACCGAATCACCAAGTTTGTGCTGATATGATCAACACTACGGGTGCCACATCTGGAGTAGGATCTGCTTACCCTTCCGGAGCACCTGAGTTTTTTTGTGGGGTTTGTGTTGCTCAGTCTTTAGTTTTCTATGTTGTGTTTTGTGTGATGTTTTTTGTCTCTTGGTCTCTTTTTTTTTTCTTTTTATACGCGCGTTTACGGGACGTATTTTGGTATACCGTTGTCCGTCTGTCCGAATGTTCGTCTGTTCGTCTGTCCGTCTGTCGTCAACATGCCGGACAATAACTCGAAAACGCTTAAACTAATTTTCATGAAACGTTTGTGAATTGTTTATATCTATTGACGTAAGCCCCTTTCGATTTTTATAAATTTTAGTTTTTATGTTTCCGAATTATGGAATTCAATTCATAAAAAAGGGGGGATTTTCAAGTTCGGACAATACCTCAAAAATGCTTTGAGCAGTGCTCATGAAACTTCGGTGACTAGTTTATATCTAATAAAATAAGATCCCCTTAGATTTTATGAATTTCTGATATGACATTGAGGCGTTAAGGAACTTTATTCGTTGAAAAAGTAGACGGGCGTATCATGCGCTCATGGCGCAGCTCTTTATTTGACATGGCGTTGTCAGTTTATTTTCGACTTATGAGTTTATAGAAATAAGAAGATGAGGTATGATTGCCAATGGAAACTATCCACCAAAATTCAAATAAAGTGGATGTAAGCAATTATAGGCAACCGTACGACCTTCAACAGTGAGAAAAACCCATACCGTACAGTCGGCTATAAAAGGCCCCGACATGAAAAATATGAAACAATTCAACTGAGAAAACTAATGGCCTAATTCATAACAAAACAATTAACGAAAAACAAATATGACAGACATGAACTACTGAACTAAAGGCTCCCGACATGGGACAGGCACATAAAGAATATGGTGGGGTTTCAAAACATGTTTGTAAGCTTTCAACCCTCCCCCTAACCTGGGACAGTGATGTAACAGCACAACATAAGAACAAACTATGAAAATCAGTCATCCCTCATCCCTAACAACAAAAAGGACACTGAGTATAGATCTGAGAGTACTCGCAGTTACTGACAGCTAGTTCAAAACCAATAACAACTTATAAAAAAATCATGTATCTAAGACTAAAATATCAATCATTACACATCCAACATCCAATGAATTTATTGTAAAGACGTCATTACCAGTCAGAGACAAACATGATCTTATGCAATGCCAAAATAAAGGATCGACAGATTGTAGTACCATTTAAGTGCATATGTTAACTTTCTTTGGTATCTTTCGCCTCTCTTTTCTTTTTCTTTTTATTGTACATCTTCTTTTTGCTGATCATGTTTGTTACTGAAAGTTTCTATCTTTCTATGATTGTTTTCATTATAACACGCAAAAAGGTAAAACGCAGAACAAAAGTAAAATAATTTGGAAAGCAGGGTCAAAATGTACTCGCTTCTAATATGCGTGCCATAGCTATCGATTGGTTGAATGCTTCCGTCCATTGAAAAACAGATCTCATGCAGAAGAAAAAAATCCTAACCGGTTTCATTCAGTTTATAGATATCAGAAATATTAATTTTTGAGAGACAAGATAAATCGTCAAACCGCCAGAAAAAAATTAACTGATTTCTCGGTATATGATATGTTACAAACTAAGTACAATAATTTATGTGATAAAATTTATATACATAATATAAAAATAGAAGATGTGGTATGATTGACAATGAGACAACTCTCCACAAGAGACCAAATGACAATTAACAACTAAAGGACACCGTACGACCTTCAACAATGAGCAAAAACCATTAAGGATCAGAAATATGAGACCAACCATTGTCAACAATGACGGTTGAGTTTTGTTTTCCAATGGAGATTATGTCAGATATTTCTATGATGAAATAAATCAAAAAGTCTTTAAACATTTCTCGATGACGAATATTCCCTTGGCAAATGATTTTCCAGCAAAACTTTATAGTAGTGGTACCAGGTTATGAACATTTGTAATACAGGAAATTATTCTGGTTATTTTTTTTTTCATATAAGAGGCCAAAAAAATATAAATTAAATTTTGTGGATTACAGAAAACCAATACTATGACTTACGAACAGGATAGAGTCAATGAAAATAAATCTTACTTAAGCCAAAGAATCGTGCAATTATTGGTAAACAGTGCATATTATGATGAATTTATCATATGATCAGTTTTCATATAAATATAGACCGGGTACAATAAGTATTCGTCGCCTACAATTTTTTGCTGTAAATTTCATATAAAACAACGTTTTTTTCCTAGATGAATGTTTTCAGGTTATTTCTGTTTGGATGTCAATGAATTGGTGCCAATATAAGCAGAATTGTTACAGGATTATGTATTTATTTGGTTAACATTTTTTGTGAAGTGTTCTCATTTTCTAGTAATTGAACAAAAATGTAAGGGTTTTGCTCATTGTTGAAGGCCGTGTGGTGGCCTATAACTGTTAATTTCTGTGTCATTTGGTCTCTTGTGGAGAGTTGTCTCATTGGCAATCATACCACATCATATTTTTATAAAACCAGAATATTATTTTTTGTCCAGAAATTTGATATTTATCAATTATGATATTAAACCAAATCAAATTGCAAACAAATATTAAACTTGTACATGTTGTAAGTCAAATCATGGCCCGGGAAAATAAAATCAACTGAAGACACAAGTATCCGATGACCAAATAAACAAATATACCTCCGACAATCATCTGTGTCATTCAATACACGAATCAATAAATGTCCAAACATGAATGCCTTAGTTTATTATTTTAAATGTGTAATCATGTAACAAAAGCGTCTTGAGGGTGACGAATATTCATAATCAAAGTACTGAAGTACTGACCATCAGATGACCGCAAGTTATGTTGGATGATGAATAAATGACAGACGGTAATACGATACCTGACAGACAGATATGTACACCTTACAATCATGTTGCTGCAGTTCTTCTTTTGATCGATAAACACTGCAAAGAATTTGGGAATGATCCACAAGCATGTACCAGTAAACCCAGTTCCTGTAAGTGGAATAAGGGAAACGTAGCCATAGGACCCCAGGAAAAGTCTGCGAAGCAGCTTATACATCATATATACAGAAAGAAATAAATCTTTCAGAATTTGATCCCCGACCTGTGTCGATGAGGAGTGCAAATGATGATAATTTTAACAGTTTTGTTTTAAATCTTAAATATTCTGGGATAAACAGAGGGAAGAGTTCAATGTGGGAAAGCTTTATACTGAAAATATCATACGAAGACTATGAAATTTCAAAAGAAAGAGAGGGAATATTACGTTCCCAAGTACATGATCTATTCACCAACCTGAATAAAATGCTCCGCTGGGCGCAGCTTGATACGACCGCAGAGGTCGAACCCTGAACAGCTGCGGCAAGTATGGACACAACATTCAAGCTTGATACAGCTCTGAATTTGGATTGTGATTAAATATTTGACACAGCCTTGGTTTTTGACACAGAATGAATGTGGTCTAAGAACTTAATTTACCTATTCAAACCATATCATTATTATTTGATTTTATATATAAATCAGAAATAACCAACTTAAAATGGAAAATTTTAAAGAAAAAAAAAAGGAAAAAAAAATCCCCCCCCCCCAAATTTTCTGAACTCTCTTATGATTCATCACACCCAAACTCAATCCCAGCCTTCCCTTTGTGGTATGGTACCTTGCAGTACAATTTCAGAGAGATCCATACACTTGA